AGATGCTACACCTTGCTTGTTCGTGCATAAAGCAGCTCGCTGAAGGCTTTTACTCATTAAAACCGGCCGTTTCCGTGCCGCCAAAATCCACCCAAACACTCATTCAGACCTTTATCCATGACGTTTTTATTTCAGGATACCGTGAGAAATGCTGTGCATGTCTTATATAACTACCTTGGTCCAGAGGAACTGGAAAATAAAGTCTTTCCACGGCTAAAGGATGCAATTTTAGAGAACGAATCATCAGATCTGGTAAGTACCATCAAGTCACTCAGGTCCATGCTTAACTAAATCATTATGAATTCACGCGAATTGGTGGCACCCTGTCACTGAAAGTACCAACAGTTTTGACTCTACACAAAGAAAATTATCGAAAGAAGCTCGTTCAGGCGCTTTCTGTAGTGTGAACTCTAAAACCCTGGAACAATCTTGAGATAACTAAATACAAAGGGGAATGAGTGCTGCACACTTTTCCAACAATTATTATAGTTTACGGCAAATGGATTTGAAAGATTTGCTAGAAGGCCCAATGAGGGTAAATGCCATAAACACTGAAACACACGCAGTAAACTAGGTTTGCATGAGAGGGTACTAAATTACTGGTCTGCCTCATACCACTCAGCAGAAATATGTTTTACACACGTCAGTTCTCGTGACTGATTACTTGAAAACAATGCATCTCCGTACGTTGTTGGACGTGGTTCGGGTATCTTAAAGGTAAGAATTAATTAAAAAATACAGACAAACATGGAACGTGTTTTGAAGTGAAATATAGTCAAGTAATATCATGTCCCCTGAGTGCACAAATTTAAAAAGGATGCTCATTTAGCAATTAAAAACAAAAACCAAGCGGATCAGTTCTGAATATTATGGAAAACGCCAGAGGACCTCAGTGATTCTTTAACAATTTAGGAATAATTTCCAGTTAAAACTGTCAGCAAACAACGTCAACTGTCAAATTAAATAAGTGAATTCAAAATGAGTCCAAATTAAGGTCGGTAGCCCTGAAAGTGTGTTGACTTGAGGTTAGTATAATTATAATTTCAGCGCATAGCGACCAACTGTCTTGCTTGTAATTATAAAGAAGGCTTTACTTAGGAGTTTGATGGGACTTAAGTCAGCGGTTAAATTCGAGCGCGAAAATCTACCTGGGGTTTTGAATCAAAAAGTAAAAGCAATTTAAAAATCACAATTCACCATGCTAATAAATAAGCATTTAGTTTCAGAAATAACCTGTCTGATTTGTCAAGCTAATTAAAAACAGGCGAAACAAGAATTTGTTGCATTTGTGATAATAGGCAGGAAATTGGTGTGTTTTGGGTAATTGCAAGATAAGCATACTGCGACAACTATCAACTCTTGCTTTGGGAACAACGTGTCTGTGAAGCGACATGCAAGTCCTTGGGAGAATTTCGCAAAAATTAGCCGCTAGTCTGCAAATCACTGGTAATGACAAGCGTGGTTGCGCTGTCGCTGAAGGCATGAATGTGTGTTTTTTGTGTGAGTGGGCTTGTGGATTTGCTGCTTGTGTAAAGAATAATGGGAAAATAAATTAACATTGCAGTCAGGATTTCGGATAAAATGTGAGTACGTGGAGTGCGTAATTACCATGTAAATGTCATGAAATCCAAACTCTTATTGAAATCTTAGTTTATACTAAGTTATACACAGACGTGCGTTAAGTGCTAACGGCTTGAGTGTTTCAAAAAATATAATTTCGTGATTGAAAAGTGTGAACTGCTGTGTAGTTCACCTTCCATCGGCACCTGATTTACAAATCAAGCATTTAGACATTCGAATAAATGCCATTGGGACAAATTTAAGTACCTTAATTTTAACTTGTTAAAGTGAATTCCGCGAGCACCTCAAATGCCTCTCTAGTTAAAAGAAAGCTATTTGTTGTAGACGTATTTTGTATGGAACAGGCAAGGTTGTCTTACTGCCCACCGTAATTCACACGTACAATCGGCTTTCTCTAGGTTTGTAATGATTTTGTTTAATATTAAATTAATATTGCACTTGCATTTATTAGACATGGGCCTTGTTACGATCCAGACAGTGCTGTAAGTACACGGCATTAAGGTTTCTTACCTCACATTACAGGTACAAAATGCAATGTTGGAGTGCATAGACAGTCTCGTTCCCCACTGCAGACCGGCTTTTGTGAGCAAGGAACTGCTTGCGTTTTTGGCCTCGATGCCCACCGCGAATACCGAGGTCGTTCTGAATGTTGCAAGTAAATCACCATTCATCACTATTGCATGGCTACTCTGTTTTAGTTAAGCTGAATTTCTAACAAAGCAATGTACGAGTTCATAGCTGCACATCAAACCAAAATAGCGGTAAAATTTATTCAATAGTATTAATTTTGCTTATTTGGTTACTAAGCTCAGAAAAGTGGATCGGATTCATTTTTGTGCAATATCGCACGCAAATTACAAAATCCGCTTAATCATTCTTAAGAATCCATGTTATGCCTAAGCTCTGTGCTATTTTTTTGTGACCACCAACACTAACACGATTAGCTAAGTGTTTTTATTCATCTTTTCATCAACAGTGTTGTTTGTGAATGAGCAAAGTGGCTGACTAAATTGAAAGGTCTCTACTGATACTTGGTCATTGTTGTTCCCGGATTTGAAAAAAAAGCTACGAAGTTGTTCATTTATCAGAAGCAATTACATGGCTGTAATCTCCTTGCTTAACTGCAAATTCAAAAACCAGCACTTGGAACTTTCTCTAGCATATTACACTAAGAAAGTGATAGTTCAAAATCTAAGTGTAAATAGGCAGAAAACCTGGCGCACGGGCGCAAAGACTTCATATTATTGCACAACTCTAATTCTTGTGCTACACATTGAATAGCTATTCCACTTTTAAAAAAGATAACCCAGACTCTTAGTCAATGATTGCATGAAGATTACTTGTTTGTGTGCGTGATAATGGCCTTTTCAATACCTTTTTATGCACAGGCATTTTCCGGCGAGTACTTTGCAGCTGCAAATTCCACGTGCCCTACACACTCATCGCAACGGAGCTACTCCCTCCGTTAATACCACTCCTCATTTTGAAGAAGCTGAGTCTAATGGAAGTAAGTTGCCTCTTTCCGCGTCCAATTTTGAAATAGTTTATGTACATTCGCATGATGGAGAATAAGGTAAACTCCTAACTGCAATGAGAATCTCGCAGGGAATTTTGGAACAATTGGTTCAACTTGGAAGTGAAACTACATGCAAAAACACTGAGCTGTTGACACTAGACAATAATGCAGGTTATCAGGTGCGGCCTCAACCTTGATAAAAAGCTCTGTTGAATACTGTGGAAATTATTTACCTGCATGATTTGTTCTAATGTGTAAAACGAAACCAAATAATCAGTGATGGAAATGTCAGAAACGGACGCATATCCACTAAGGCTCACTGGAGCGTGACGCAAATTCACAAGCGTCATTAGAGGTCAAGATGTTTTTACTTCGAGAAGTCATAACTCCAATCAGTCGAAGAATCGTCACCAGTTGAAGGCCCTCACGTGACGTTAGCCGACGCCATGAGTTTAAACCTAGGGCAATAAAGACTACTACCCTTAAAATTCTTCATGGCAGCTGTCGTCCATAAATTAAACATATTGAACAACTCAAAAACTCGCGCTTTTCTGCTCCATTTTCCCTGTCATTCGCTTCTTAGTCACTGTCATTCGGATGATGTGATGTTTTGTTATTGAAAGAAGTTGATATATCATTTGGATATGCTTTGCTTCATCTGATCAGCAGTTATGCGTTTGCCAGCAAGACAAGCACATAAAACGTTGCTAGTTGCAGTTACACGCTAAATTATAAGACTTTGTTGATTTCCTCTAACAAGGAAACTTGAAGGAGATAACGAGTCATTTGTAGTTAGTAGGACGCTGCTCATTAATAATTGCCTGGCCAAGTTGATTAAAGGCAATATCCTGCGCAATCGAAACAAATGGCTTTAACGTCAGAATGTCCCGTTGCAATAACAATGAATTTCACCAGTGAACTTATTTAACAAATCCTTTTGCCCGTTTATATCATGCAGCTTTCGTATCATGTGAAACGGCGAATATTCAAATTTCTCTGTTTCATTTGAGGTTTAAAGAAAACGTTGATTGATTTTTGGCTGCATAAGTAGTTGAACGTCTGTCATATTTCTCTTGTTCTTATTTTGCGGTCATGTGTCGTGAAACAGAATTGAAATGCTTGAAAGTGGTAGATGAAGTCTTCGACACTGATGGTAGACATTACATTGCTTAGAAGTTTAACAGAACAGGGAATGATTTATCGTTTTTACAATGGCGCTTAGGCTTTAGGGCCTTAGTGACCATTCAGAGTGTGCATCGCACAGTGTTGCCGTACGATACAGCGCGAGGTACCCAAGGCAGGCATGAGACAGGATTAGAGGGAGACTCAACCGCTTATTAGATGTTCAAACCAAATTGCGGTGTCGTGTATGTGTGTGTGCATGGACAGTCGTGCATGCCAAATGTAGTTACAGACCAATACAGTTAGGGTGAATTTATGAAAGCACAGATGATTGAATAGCCAGATGAGTGAAGCGGATAGAGGGGAAGGTATTTGCAGGGGTAGATTTGTCGGGTCACCAGCTGTTATGGGATATCAAGAATCCTTCATCCCGTCGGGATCGTCAATTTGTTTAGACGCCGTATACTACTAACTACCCATCAATGATGAAGTCTGCGGAAGGACAGAGTCAACCGTTCATTCGAGAACTTGACAAAGTCGTCGTTGGCGTGAGGTTCGTGCGTGTACATTAATACCTCAGATGTGTGTCATACATGCACTAACATCCATGTGAATGAGGGGGGAGTTGAGGATCCGCGCAGCTGGCGCCATGTTGCGAAAAGGAGAACCGTGTGTTGGAGGACAGAGCGAGTGGATTAAGGAGTGTTAATAAACACGTTTCACAACAGTTTCATCAGAGCTACCGGGCCCGCTGTAAAAAGGGAGTAGTGTGTGGGAGAATGCGACGACCGGATCAGTGGACGTAAATTAAAGCGATTTTTCGATAAACGTTCAAAGGAGCGTGCAATGGTAGAAGATGTAGGATGCTTGCTATTCCATTGATTGATGTGGCGACAAGATTATGCCCATCAGGGTTCAGCGTAATCTCCTACCTAAAATGTCACCTACAAGCTAGTGAAGTCAAAACTGCCAACAGCTGATTATAAAATAAAAGGAAATTCTCATCATTCTGGATCCTTATTGCAGCTGATACAATCAGAATTTCGTCGTCGTATGATTTCTATGCATTTTCACCGTAGCAGTACGCGTATTTTGGCAGACTGTAGGGTTATGTCGTTTAAATGAGGTAACAACAAAAGCATCTCGTTGTAAAATAAATTACTCGATACCATGTTACTCTAAGTGTAAGTTTTAAGGAAGGACCAAATTAAAAAAGTCGAATATTCTAATTCCGGCTATTGCGAAATGCGCAGTGTCCTTTCAGTATCACTTCGTGGTAAGAGCAATGTGAGCCAAGTGATGTTGAATTAATGGCTGTACAGCAGTTTAAAGTGTAATTAATCAAGCTTGTAGTACTAGTAGTCGTGACAAGACTTTGTCAATGATGACATTTAGAGCTGGGAGTGTTAACTGATGGTTCTTAACACTTCTGTTAGAGTCACATTATCTCGTCGCAATCGCTTAAGTTACAATTTAACGAACAGTTATTGTACTAAACGTTTATATATTTATTAAATGGCTGTCTTGATTTCATGCATGTAAAGAGTTTGTGCATTTTTCACACAGAAAGAATAAATTACTGGATTGTTTATTTCGCTGTTTACTTAACGCTTAATTATTAACTAACATACCCGCAGACACTGTTGAGAAACCAAAATTTGTTCTATACTAACGTCCGTGGCGCAATCGACTAATTTTATTTAAAAAATTTTTTGATGTTCATTTAAGAAATCTTTAAGGCATCTTCGATATTAGAGAAAATATTGGCATTTATTTGAAAATACCTACACCCCAGCAATAGGCCTTGTTTTGCCATTTTTAATCCATTAAAGGCTTATACACAGATAACTACATGGAAAAAGCCTATTTAACCTGTTGTGGGTCCTGACATGTTGAGTCAAACCACGCGAAAATAAAGATCGGAGTGGGTGAGCCCCAACAATTTACTAGATATCTCAAACAATTCCGTTGTGCGTGCTACGGTCATGTATGTCTAATTCAATTCAGGTGAGACAGTTAACGTACAAATGTCAGAATGTTCAGATGGATGTAGCTGGTAGTGTTGGTACATACACAGGGGTGAAAACGAGACATGTGTCCGAGACTGCGATGACCGGGCTAATGGATGTGAATCTACACAAGTCGCTACAAACCGCATATCTTAACGAAAGGTTTCTGTTCGAATTTCACCTTCTATAATAAAGCACCTCCTTCTAATGGCTCCAGGTAATTTGAGTTTTGGGTGTACTGAACACTGTGGTGCTACATTAAATTGCTAAACGCCTTATTATTTTTTTCAGTTTAGAACGCTACTGTGCGTCGTTCGCCTGATGCTTGAGCAAATTGATCACGGAAGAACCATTGAATATTCACGAAAGAAAAGTCTCAGCGCAGACGACGGCATAATGGACTACAAGTAAGTAAATGATATGCTCGATTGAACCAGGGATCACGTCAGAGTAAGCGGTTGTGGTAGTCCTGAAGTGGGTCTCAAGGACGCAGCATGACTGCCATTTATTGAGGCCCTCTTAGGATGGGTAAGACAGCTAAATTCACAGAGAGAGGACACAGTACTGAGTACATTTAAACGTTGTAAGTGTGCATCCGCATCTCAGACGAATGAGCATAAACTAGGTCAACATGGAGAGAAGGTAGAGAGTGTACGAATTGTGAGGAGGCCTACCGAGCGGGGTGGGTAACCAAGTTGACTGAGCACGACGATGGAATTGATGTAACCCAAAATACTGCAATAATTAAGGGCAACTGTCATAATTAGTAGTTATTTGGGATTCACACTCCGAAAAGTAGATGACAATTAAATTCTATTTTCAACTTTACAGATTACCCTTTTCTTAATTTGCAATATCTTGGCCTTTTAAATAAAGGAGAAGCATCTAACGTCCATGACAGAAAAGCCACATGCCCAACCAAATCTGGATGTTTCTAAAATTATGGCCTAACTATCTTATGAGCAATGAAAGAACAATGACTGCATTTTAGAGATTAGATAAATAAGCTTTAATTATTGAATTAACTTGCTAACAGACTCTCAGTCAAAGAGACACCTTTATCCTGAATCCGACTGTTGAAGCTGCTATAAAAGTAACACAACTATTTATCCTGCTTCATTCATTTGACGACCACCACGAGGTGAGTATTGTCAATACTTTTTCGTGAAATCAGCCGACTGATGTGTCAAAGTATTTGGACAGAGGAAAGCCATTGTTTTTCGCTGAAATGTTTTGTTTTTATCGTTCTTGAGGGCTTTCGTAGTTTCCTAATAGACTTTATTTATAAAAATTTTGTTTTTCTTAACTTACGTAACTATTTCAAGTACATTATTGATTGCTTATGCCAAAATAAATGAGATTTTAGAGGGCGGAAGAACAATAAAATTACATTTTTGTGCTGCAGAAATACTACTGGCCACGCTGTACAGATGCTAAGATGGGTTACCATGGCTATCCAAATGTATTCGAATCCATACCGCTCAAACATCATCGAAAATCGAACTTAATTAACCAAATGTTTTCATTCTGCCTCCTTGAATTGACGAAGTGCTCGATGATGCAAACAGACAAACAATTTTTTTTTCAGCGCAAGATCAAACACCTCGTACTACAGAAACCTCCCCTTGATATCCATGCAGCAGCCCACCGTCGACTTCTCCCGAAGTCCACCAAACCAGGAATGCACGAGCACCGCACGTCCGCGTTCACACTCTTCAGGTAGGCCCTTCCTTTAAGCCCATGTCTTGGTAGTGACGGCAAGTACACTCAGTGTGATTTAATACCATCTTATCTCCTTACCACGTGTCTTACGCATAATGCAATTCAGCGAGCTTCCAGACAGCAATATAAAGTAAAATTGAGTTACCGTGTGAGAGAAACCACGTGATCTTTGCTTTCTTCAGACTTGATGTTCGTGGGCTAACCGATACCAGGTTTCGTTTTGGAGACATAAATTCAGAGGCGATGCAAACACAAGCGTTTAATATATGACTCGGCCTAGTTAAAACTATGTATAGACAAGGTTGCGTATGCCTAGATGTCTTAAACATGAACAGGTAGGGCATCAGTAAATGCGAAATGAGCTGAGGGAACAGGAAGTTATGATTAAACCCGTCCTCGCATTTATAACGTTCCAAAAGGACTGTATTCTGACACAAACACAGACACTGATTACGGCGGCAGTGATGATAGTGTTTCCTTGGGTTTATTTTAAAATCAAATTTTGGCTTGGGAATCGGGTGAAATTGTGGAGTCACAAGCTTACACTTGATGCTGATTAAATGAATTTGTGTAGAGTCTAGAGAATACGATATTTTGATAGTTTCGAAAAGGAGGGCTCATAGATGAATGCTCTTCCAGGTTTGGACCCAAGGTTGCCTTTAATAGGTGCCATCAGGTTTGTCAAGAGGCCGCATTTTGTTCACCGGTGCGACAAAGTCAAATCCAAGGGTTGCGCGTGTGACAGCAATGTCACCTTTGTAATAATGCCGTCGAAGTTTGAGTTTTTCCTCCATGAAACCTATAAGGAAACTCAACATTGTTACTTACTACAATCTTAATGTAAACAACTTCCCTTGGAAAAATTCATAGATTACATTGAACCTTATCTGACTTGTGAGAAATAGCAATCAAAAACCGAAAAATCTTAAAGAAATGATCTGGGAAGCAAGCTGTGGACAGTTTGTTAACGTCCGTGAACATAATTGTTACTGGCTTGCTGTCCTATTCTTGTGGCTACGGGTCTTGGAATTCACAATTATGTCAGACAATATATGTGTGCGTATGCGCATCAACGTTTACTCAGCTACCTTGCATTCAAATTATGGGTCGTGTCTCAGGCTACCAGAAAACCAAGATCACTTCAAAAAGGTGTCTGATTAATTGACTAAATTTGTGAGTTATCGAGGGAGATCTAACTGCCAAATTCCAAATATATTTACATTTATGTTTCCCACCAAAGTTCCTCTTTGAAGCTATTCAGTCAAAATAACATTGTATCTCAGTTTCTTAAATTCTAATGCTGCCATTAGTTAGCCAGTGATCCAGGTTATAAACTACATTTGTACGGGTTCATCGAAGTGTCTAGTTGGCACAAATTCCTTAACCATCATCAACAATGCACAAAGGTCGAAGTAGTATTCACTTTAAATTGATTCGACAAATTCAATTGGTCTAATTTTTAGAGTGAACTACAATTTACCCTAGGCAAACACTTGATAACCCCCATAGGACGACATGCTTTGGAACTATACCAACAACATTGTGTTTGGAAAGTTAAAGCGGCAGGTAGATGCAACCGAAGCATAAGTTGGCTAGACTGACAATCACCACAGGATCTTTTGGCCACTTTACGTTAATAGAACTCAGGACTGCTGCTGGGTAGGAGGAAACACTCCAAATCTACCTCTCGAATTCACTGTTTGTTTTTTTTGGAATACAGGGAAAAGTAAAAAATCACAAACATGTTTGATTATTTTCACACTAAATGTCCAAATTACTTACGGCAAGTGACCCAGAGGCCAACACTGTTTGGGTGATATGGGCTGCGGTATTTGCAAGATGACTGTTAATTTGACACAAAATTTAGATGGAAGGCAGCTGTTTTAGATTATGGCGGTCTCGCTGGGGAAAAAGCAAGGATGGAAGTCACAAATAAAAACATCCAAGAGATGTCATTTTGTAAACAATCGGTCGTACAAACTTGGCTTTTCATTTGGGTTACTATTGTCACAACGAACATTTCTGTTACCCTGCCTGTTTACATAATACTTACATGAAAGGAAAACGCGGATTTGAAGTAAAATATCGTATACAGCAACTTTATCTACTGAAAAGGAGCACATGCCTGTGGCATCAGTAAAAGCGGTAATCACGTGATTGTAATGTCTTGTTTTGCATCAGACTCTACAGCCCTCTCAATTGGAAACCAATGCAACGTATCTTATCGGAGTTCGAGTCGGCAATTTCTCAATCGTCTTCGAGCGTCCAGTCAATGTTCAGAAGCGATGTTTCACAAAGGCTCGACTCCATTTGGTAATTGTTCTTTTATAAGTAATGAAACTAATACTTCACAAGAGGTTGTGTTTCATACTCACCCTTTAGTAGCGTAGCAGATCGTTGCCACAATCGATAACTTGCAAGCTTACATTTTAGTTCTTCACAAAACACTTGCACGCTGCGTATCTTGTAGGACAATATAAATTGGTTTAAATCATCAATGATAGCAGTTATTAACATACGTCTTGTCGTTTAAAATATGACAGACCATATCAACATTCAGCAGCATTCTAAGGCAGGTCACTTAAACTAAAGTATACCCAAATGGACTGAGACATGTCTGCATACCAAACACTCCTACAACTTCGGTCCATGAGCCGGAATACGACAACAAAGTAAGTGACACTTAAGACAAAGATCTAACCATTGAGCAGCTTCTTTTATGTGCTTAGTGAGCAATGATCGCTTTCCTCACTTCCTATTTCGTCACACTCAATAGTTTCTAGCACAAATTTAGGGCTTGGTTGTTAGTTTTCAAATGAACGCAATTTTCTGCTGCAACAATTTTCGGCTTTATTCAACTACTTGAAATCGTGTTACGCGTTCACCTTCTATACATCGAGGTCGATTGCATCTTTCAAAACTAAAACTTGGATGGAAATCTGTTCGTGGGATTAGTTTGACCACTTGTCATATTTTTTTAATCACTATTGCATTGTGCCAGAGTGATTTTTTCGCAGTCTGGTTAATAATTAAATGGTGCTTATCAGAAATTTTAATCTTTTTCAGAGTCCCTATTTCCGATTAAATTCTCTAATTGAGCACCGTAAACTAAGGCTGTTTCCAGATCATTTGAACTAAAAACTAAGGTTGTTAATAATTAGGTGACTAGCTTTTCCGATACCTCTAACTATGCAGAAAATAAAAATTTGTATTTTAATCCAGACGAAACATGTGGAAAGAGCGATAACAGAGCATATTTATTTCATTAATTGATAGCAAACAATATGTAAGGGAATCAGAAAGTCGGGGTAGGCATATATTGTTAAATCTGTCAGTTCTGCAAAGCGTGAAACCAATTAAGATTTCTAGGGACGATAAAACGTCACTACTGTTTGTTTGGGTTTCCCTTTCTAAATGCAACAATAGCATTGAATAACTTATAAGGCAGCTTGAAAACGGCATGCACGCTCAGTACCAGGACTTGAAGTCGTTTTGAAGGTACTTCCCGAAAACTTGGGCTATATCACGAAGATGTGCTGGTATGTGACCACTTCTCATGAGTTTGTTGCGAATAATAAGTCTGATTTGTGTAGGTGGTCTGCAGTGCCTGCGACCTCAGGATAAGACAAGCAGCAACCCCAACTTTGGTCAGCGTCTGTCGACGAGTCTGCTTTCCAAACCGTCCCGTGCCGCCTCGTGGAATAACTCAATCACAGCACTTGCAGCTCCTGAACGAAGGCGTTCATCCGGTGGAAACACCACTCGAATTTTGGTTAGCAAAATTGCAGCATTTATTCTTGGTTTTTGGGTTAACAAAAGCATTCATCATCATTTTTAACAGTTTAATGTTCTGATTGTTGACGTAAATCACTGTAAAGCACATTAATTGATGATTCTAACTCCTGAAGTGAAAGCACACATCTTCATCAGGTGTCTCCACTACCATACAAGACTTGATGGAGCCAACAGGTTAGAAGTCCAGTCAACGCATTTAAGGAAGACAAAAGACCGCCGAATTGCGTTGAAGCTATCAGCAATGATATTATTGGAAGCTGTTTATCTTCGCCTTATCTGTTGTAAAACACTTTAAAGCCTGCGTAAGAAAGGAGATTCAATCAAAGCATTGAGCATCGCAACGACAAAATAAACCAAAGCAATTAAAAGCAGAGAGGTTGCTAAATTAGGTTATTTTCTAGCCTTATTAGATCATGTAAGGAATTCACCATAGCTTAACCCATAGACGGAGAGTCGACCATCGAATGAAACAATTCTGGGGACTTTCTGTAGGATTTGTTTGCCAAAAATGGCAAATAAAGCCCCGAGAATTGGTGCTTCTATTTTGCACAAAATTTTTAAAGAAATGATTCCACGGTGGTAGCAAAAATTCATTGCTAGTAAAAAACCAAGCAACATTCGATGCAACATTACTTAAACGTTGTAATGAGGTGATTCATTTAGAAAGAGACCTATAAATGCTAGGAAATTATCAAAACAAAATGAAGGTTCAGCTAGATGAAGATAAGGATCCTATTGCTCATGGATGCAAAAGAGGAAGCTGAATAAAGTGATCACTGAGCAGCCGTTAGATGCTATATACGGCCGAGGTCGCTAATCTAAGTCATTTTGGTATGCTGCAGTAGTATCTTTAAACACCATTAATTATGAAGCAGGAAGTAAAACCTACACTCATTAGTGAATTAGCAATAAGCTTTTATCTCAACTTTTAGGAACGGGTATGATGGTCACTAAAACTCTTTGTAGATTACGACTGATATTTTTAAATTTTCTTTCGTAATTGTACCCTATCTAAAAATGATCCTTTGTCCAAATATACGTACAGAAAGAACGCTACAGTTATCTAACTGTGGAAAATCATGGAGTCGCGGGATTCCTTGACCCTCGCCGACATAGCTACGAATTCTCCGCCACCTCCTCAGCCAATTCACTTCTTACTGGCGGGATTTGTGAAGGTCCCTTCTCGTCCAGTCTACTTCAATCTGGCCAAATCAGTCGACGACCTTCTGCTCCCATTTTTGGCCAAAATATCAGTTCGGTAAGTTGTTTTAAAGAATTCACTACGGATTCCTATGATTATTAACAACACTTATTATTAAGACTTTCATAATTAAAAATGTTTTTTGTATCCTATACACGTTAAGTGGATTTGTAGGTTGTGGTGGAAACTTTTGCATAAGTGTCATATTTCCTTTTGAGAGTTCAGCGCAAACGGGGACTTCACCACCGACATGGCAGTCAAACGGCAACTTGTTCAGAAAAATTGTGGTAGGCTGTCCGGTTTATTTCTTTCAATTAATTTAGTCTAGCTTTCGTGAATCTGCTTAAATTTAAACATCAAATGTTGACACTTTTAATGCTAAGTGGTAAACTCGAATTTCTTATCTACTTCCAAGCAACCTCCACAGCCTTAGCAAACATAAAAAAATTTCATTATTGGTTTTTTAGTGAAGAGACCAGATTTTTCTGAAGAACGCAGAAAATAATAACACGAAACATTTTTTTGCTGTAAAAAGAAATTTAACGCATAATTTTACCATTACACAGACATCATAGGTAAATGTCGGAAATCTTTAAGCTTTTTTCTCGTTTTTTTTAACAACTGAAAAACAGCTGCCCTTATTTAGCCAGCAAGTGATGATTACCGTCATTCTAGAAGAAAGTAGTACAAATCCCACTGCACATTTTTGTGCACTTTCTGTTTAGACCAACCTGCTCAACAGACGCTGAGAATTAAACCAGAGAATTGGTGATGAGGAGGAGGCGAGAAGAGACTACGAATATTCCACACTTCGATTCTTCTTTTTAAAAAAAAACACAACTGTCAACCGCTTTCAGGCTAACCTACGAAATTATCTCAAAATCTTTCATTCTCTGTCTTCACAACTTTGCCGTTTCCATTCTTTTATCATCTTTAAGGCGGTGAGTGCAAAGCCGATTCTTAGCGCCTCAAGGAGTGAAGTGCATCTCTTTGCCGATCACGAAAACAGTGGAGGCAGTGCGAAATTAAAAACATAATTTTGTAGCATCCAAGATTAATTATTAAGTCATACCTCTTAATCGCAAGTTAGCAATTCCTCGATTTTCGATAAAGCGATTTCGTTTGCACTTACAAGCACCTAGTCCTTTCTGAGCACACTGCAATCATTCTAAACTGGGCAAATGCTGATTTTCCCGAGAATGGATTTATTTGAGTAATTAGGTATCCATTCCTACCAGTACGTCATGACGCCATCTCTTTGTGGCCATAATTACCTCGAACATGCCATTTACCGAAAGGCTTACCATAAGTTTTCAAATACTATCTAAAAGTACGATTTCACATCAGCTGTGATAAAATCGCAACATTATGTTTTGCAAAAACCTTGTTGCATGTGGGTTTCTTTAACACGAGTAGTGGGCTTCTAAATGCACAAAATTGGAATAGTCAGTTCAATTTATTTATTCTCCCTGTGACCATTTTCTAACATAGCCTTTATACACCCAGGGACACAGGATTGGCAATACAAATGAAACGTGCTTTCAACTTGGGTTATAGGGACTTTTAGTTTCAAATGTGCGTCAGCAGCGGTTTGCCTTATGCCTAAATGACCCGCGTTTGAACGGGCATAATTTTAACACGGATTTCAGCACTAACAATGACAGTTTGATGCATTAAAAACTCCATTCTAGTAACACAGTTAGGGAGGTAGGAGGAGGCTTGCGTAGCGTAGTTAATAAGGGACCGTTTTACTGTATAATTACGCTGATTAGAATTTGATTAGGCAAGGAAGACATAACTACCTCCGACCTTTGTCATTTTAATTCACAAACATGCTCAATAATTTGCTACCCTTGATAACGTTGGCTGATAGGGAAGAGGTTTAAGATGCAAATGGCAGTTGGGATTAAAATTTTTAATCATATCAAATTTATGAAGCAAATCCTTAGTAATCCTAAGTGTCATTAGAACAACTCTAAGCAAGTTGACCGACATATGCAATGGCGAGTTGTCAGCCCGCCCACCCTTATGTGTCATTGCCTTTTTTGCTTTTTATGGGCTATTATATGCACCCAAGTTTGATGACCTCACAGAACACTAATTAAAATTGTCTGGGTTTTAGTAATTACTTTTTTGATAATACTACGTACCGAAAGGCGTTAAATAATTTAAAGGCTGCCTTGTACACAGATCGACCGGTCAAAATTTGATTTGATTCTTCTGGTGCATACCTATTCACTGGACAGTTCCAAGATGTCAAATCAAATGTATTCACTCGAAACACAATTAAGGAATGCAGATAGACACTCTTGGGATTAAGTACTTTAGCGTTATTTATGGTAACGTATTTAAACCCAACTAGCAACAATCTCTGCACATTTCGATGGATATGAATATTTGTGTTTCCAAGTTAAGTCGAGGCTTAAAAAAACATGAATGCGATGTGAGGAACCTGTTGGTCAAACGCTAAAGTAGGCGTAAGGCTGGCAATGGTTAGGAATGGATATTTTGGTAATTGTGGGATCCAAGTGAAGTGATCGCAAAATCTAGTAAATTTCAGGAAACCTAGTGCAAGTGTGGTTTTCGGGACAGTTATTATCCTGTTTAGAGACACGATTAAGCGCTCAAAAATTGATTTACAAAGGTGTTAGGTGCACAGCAACCTATTAAATCCAATTTCTCAAAAATTAAGCAAATAACCTGAACAAATACAATAATAACATTTATAAATATTTGTAACTCTTATATGATTCGATTTTTTTATCCTCCATCAGTTGAACCATGCAATAAATGACGAGACAGTTGGCAGCATTGCTAAGTCAAAAATATTCCACCAAATTTAATCAAGCTCTGTCGAAAAACTGTATGAAATTATCAAAAACGCAATACATTTCCAGAATATAAATTAGAAACATGCACTAATTACGTGTTTCAATTCGATCATTTGCACCGATACGTTATGCAGCGTACCTTTGTAATTTAAAAAGGAATACAAGTGAACTTATAATTTTCCCATATTTGATGTACTCAGCTAATTTAGCAAGTGCCGAATCCTGCGCAGGCAACCGAACATAATCTTAGCAGGTGCCAAAACGAAGCAAATAGATTAAGTCTTTACAGGTAACGCATGAATTCTACCCTTCATTGAAACAAGCAAAACCGATTAGGCTTTGGTGAAATTTAAAAAAAGCATTTCCAATACAGTGCAAGCGACAACATACCTCGACGCAAGTACCTTTAGGACACAAAAACCTTCAGTTCTGAAGCTAATAGCGTTTTTTTCCTGGAATTAATTTAAAAAAGAACTGATTCGTCCACTATGTAATCGAGGCAAATTCTGAGTTTAGATAGCACACAATGACTAACAGAAATGAGAATATTCTAAGAAATCATGAAAGAAAATGTTTGAATTTTGTACATTCGCCGTCTTGACTATATATGGCTATCTTTTCTCTCATTGTACAGATTCATCTGAAGGAGAATTATGTGTCTGATATCTGAATTATGTCACTTTACACCTCTCACCTCCATAAATGAAGAAAACGGATTCAGAAATGCTCAGATTGTGTTTTCAAAATTATTTCTGAAGTGAGGACAAGCTTATTTAAGACAATCTTCCGCCAGAGTCCACTGATGCTAGCCCAGTTTGTTTAAAATAAAAACTATCGGACTCAAATGAATGGTGGTTATCCCTTGATGTGATTCATTCGAACGACCTTATAGGTCAGACTGTCAACATTAGGTTTGACCGCACCAAATAAATTCTGGTTTGGCTATGTGATCACTTAAGACTCATTTATGTTGTGGCATGAAATAAAGAAGTCCACTAAACAACACAGTTCACACAATATTGGTGTTTTGGAGCTCTGGTGCTTCTCAAATGTATCGCAGTCACTGGTGACGTTTAGTATACTTATACATGAAATATCTTCAGGGAACTCTAAAATTATGGTTGATGTAGCTTGATCACCAGAAATATACCTTTGTTTCCTGATATTTAACAGTTAATTTATATTGAAAAGTCTTGAAATTTTTTTGTTATCAGGCCATTGTGACTTTGTGAGTCATGCCAAGGGGATATTTTTAGTAATAAATTGCCATTTTACTTCTCTGCGAAACGCATGCAGCCTGTATGACCCCTGCAGAAACACCGAAATCTAGTGCCTGGAGATAAAAGGTAGTTTTTTTTTATTAGGGAAAGACCTAATTTTTTAGTATTTGCATCGTTAAGGAGTAAATTCCTAGGCTAAACCAGATAAGCCAGCATTGACCCAGTGACGGCTTAAACCAGCATGAGACAATTTAATGGAGATTCGTTTCCTACTGTTTACGTTCCCCTAACAAGGAAAAGTATCTGAGTGGACCACATATGGGAGCATCTTAAAGGGGCACAGTTGTAGACAAAAAACACTTCCTCCACTGGTAACCGTGTTCTGTGGTCAAAGTATGTTTGACGTCCAGTGTGATTAGTGCTTCAAAGATCTAACAAAATCTTAGAAAAAGTGGTCACCGTTTTGGCCATTTTCTTGCGTAACATTATCTCAGCCTAATGCATCATTTTAGATCTTCGTGCATTGCTTACATTGCCATTACCTCAAAAAACAAACCTGGTGGTTTATTCAAATGAAATAAAACTGTTTCAGAAAGTTAAATGAATTCGTAGTTTGCAACATTTCTAGATACTTAGTTGTTCCCTACTTTCGTAATTGGGTTAACACTAGTTTGCACGAGTTAGCGATGATTTTTATGACACCAGATAATAAGAAGTAACAAGAAAACTTAACTTCTACTTATGTCAACCTTATTATTGTGCACATCTTCTAACAAATAAACTGCGTAACGCATTTTTCTCGTAAACAAAGGGAGAGCATGCGATCTTAAATAAGATTAGTCCCCATATTATTATCATCATTTGACTTCATGCGGTTGTATGGTGCATATCACCAGTTTGAGTTACTGTTCTGCAACCATATTTCAGAAAGTTCATGTAACCTTAACTTTTGCATGTTGATTGAGTCAGCCAAGTTATTAACTGTCTCAACAAATGGAACATCTATATGCACTGGTATAGCTACTACGAAAAACATCTGAGTGCCTCAGTTAGAATACAGTCGTTTTGGCAAATGGAAAATGATTCTCTTGGCTCCTTCATTCAAAACATTATTCACATCCATAACATAAATAAAAATCACTTTTCATATTGGCGTACAAGTAGACATTTGTGTCCACTAAAGTGAAGTATATAATCCCGTTTATGAAGCTTAATGCGTAAGAGTTGTCAGAGCTTTCAAATACTTTAGGGTGTACAGGGCAGTGTCAACATTAAATATTCTTAACTGGATTTTCATGGCTGCATTTTGGCAAATTATAATCATTGCACTGCTTTATACCTGCTGACGGGATGAAAATTACTCCAAAAGCAGGCCACCTCCTTCAATCATTTCAACTAGGCTTAGAATAAACGAACAGGATCAAGCATAACGCTGCATGTGAGAGCAATGAGGGACTGTCTATGCAACAGTATTTTTTCCTGAATAAGAAGAAGTGGTTTGTTTTGAGGTTAGTTCGCTCAGATTGTGCTACAATATGTCAAAAATTCCTAATATTTAATAATGCAAGGAACCACCTACTGCAGCTCCACTTCGTTCGCGTGCCACCGGAGACCACACATCTGGTCACGCAGCCTTCGCTGCTGTCGCGATGACCTACGTACTGCTGGGTGAATATCGCTCCAAAAAAAATTAATATGAATTAAATTATGCTCTGAACTACTATAAACCCTACTGTTGTATTTTTGGGGACGTCAATATTTCCCAAGACAACGCAAGTAACACTTAGATTTGCAACTGCTATTTTACTTAGCTCTGTCGACACAAACCCAACTTCCAACCACGTTACACCTCATCACTCAGTCTTAATTACTCATATCATCAATCTCAGATCACCCAAGAATGTATAAGTGGACGCATCTGCGCATACATTTGACTTCCTCCTTGACCCAAAGTTGTGCGTGAACCTTTCACTTGGAAAGTAAATTTCTCTGCACGAACTCCAGTGTTGTCCTGTTCTGGAAAAACCTTTGACGTGCCAAACAAAGGGGATAACTATTTTCGCTTCGGGATTTCCATCTACCGTCGAAGTATGGGACGTGAAATAAATTCATGTAATCGTGGAGTTGATCAGTGCTGTTTTAAGTTTGCGAGGTCCCTATTTTATTACAAAATGTGCGTCGTGTTTACTTTAAGAGTTACCGTGTAAGTTTTTCCTGAAACCTTTAAATAATATCCTCATTGCTCATTTGATTTCAACGTTTATTGAACAGTCAAAAGGCAAGTTTACGAAAATGCGTACCCACACACACTTGTGCGCTGTGGCATAACTGAGATGACTAGGTAAAAGTTTACTGAAGAATGTAACTCCCATAATGATAAAATGGTATTTTTTATACCATTAAGTGCCCTCTAGCCGTGATCACACAACAGGATTAGTAGTGTTTTTGATTGATGTTAATAGCCTTGTTGACAGGCACCTCAAAGTATTGTTGGGGCTTATGACGTGCAAAGCAGTTTAACAACTAATTCATCCGAGTTTTCAAGCAAGCACGGACTGCTTTTTATTAATTGACGCCAAACAACCTAGACGCTAAACTCTAAACAAATCGCTTAGCCTCATAAGAGGCTAGTCAAATTATATTTACAGAAAACGCCTGTAGGACTTCATTAATTAGCAGTCGTATCCTATTCGAAACTGCTGTTTGCATTGACAAATAACTTAGTCGCGATTTATGGTTTCGAGTTGAAGGTCCATGCACTCGTCACGTACCACTTATCGTGAGCCCTGGCTTTCTTCTTTATTAGACGAACAGTCTAAGGGCTTTTGAGCAAACATCGCTTATTGGATTCTCATTATTTTATATCTTAAATATCGCAAGTTGTAGTCATTTAAAAGGACCCCCATCAAATGAAATTATTATTAGCCCTATTACGGCACTTAGATACGTGGGACAACTAGGATGATTAGAGATGGCGGAGACACGACAGTTTAGTAGGCAGTTCAACGTAGCTGTGTTTGTTTGTCGCGCAACTGTGAGTAGATAGTTGTGTTGTTTATCGATATGGCCTGGATGAACTTGCTAAAAGTACAAATGACTGAATCGCCGCATAAGCGGAATGAGTAAAAACTCCTTTGGTCCAAATTTTAATGCCAGTAAGAGGTTGGATAGCCCCTGGCTTGTGCCTTCACACATAAGGGTTCAGTGAATTTGAAGGTATGAGGGATCACCAACGTAAATGAATGCCATTTCCTAAAGCGATCTTAACTTATTTGTCACTATGGTATATCCTTCGTTTCTAACATTGGTTTTGAATTAAGCCCTGTTGCGTTTGAACAGAGTCTATCGAAATGACAACTGCGAAGCCAAAAAGCTTGCTTGTGTTCGTTTTCTGGACCCTCGAGGCACCAGTTGGAAGTCGTAAAAGTTAATTCGTTAAACGTTACAACCTCATATTTATTCGGTGTAAATGCTCGACAGTGAATATTGAAGCTAAACACACTTGCAGAATGTCGAATAAATTTAAATGCAACTGGAAGTATTTTGTGGTAAGTAGTTGGCATCTCCTTGCGGACATTTTGGTGTTTTCAGTCATTGAAAAGTCATGTGACTATTCAACAGGTATTGTGATATATCATTTAAAAATATCAGTTTGGTGACGCCAACATCCGCCCAAGTGTTAAATAGTTAGCAGAATTCTTTAAATTTTAAATTTATACATCAAAAATGAACACGTCGTTCTTTAGGCTTATTCCCCAGAACTAACTGCAAATACATCTGTTGTTGCCATGAGACACAAATTTGAAGTACACCGCCCCAGTTTGAACTATTTAAGCTAACAACTAAAATTTAAATAGATCTTTTTTTGTTACAACAGTTTTAATATTCTTTCCAGAAGCATAGTGGTTCTAATTTGAATCAATGCTTTTTCAGTGATTCTATTTATAATAAATATAAATTTTGAAATGTGGTCAGGTAATTTTTCTGAGAAATGTTTAGGACTGAAAAAGTGATAATTTTCAAAAGGGCCTGTTTCTTCCACAGTTGACAATTATGCTCGCAATATAATACTGGGACCTTTTGCGTGTTTAAAATTATTTATCGTGAAAAACTGTTAGCTTATTTAGCCATGTATATCTCCTCTTAATAATTAAAAAAACTGATTTTAAAATTGTCGCATCATGAGGTGCACGTTGAAATAGGTATGTAATGGTTGCACAAAATGTTTTGTAAAATGAAAGGGGGAGGTATTTGATTTATACTAAAATGTCGATATTCAAATTATATTCAATGTATACAAGTTTTGTTGGTGTTCCTACAACCGGCAACAGAAGTGCATGATCAAAATATGGATACAAGAACCTATTAAATATGGGTTATTGAACACCATTCCGATACAGGATAAAGGACACGGCCTACAATCAAAAGTGTCAAAACCAATTATCAATAATGAAATTAATGTTAATGTACCTGGTCCGATGAATTGGGGTAATAAACACTGATCAAACTTGTCAGTGTAAGCATATATTTTTGATGCGACGATAGTTGCCTCCTAGGTGTTGTCACCATCATGATCAAATGAATAGAGGAGGGTATGTAAACATTTACGAACCTCATTATTACGAAGTAAATTGTCTTGGGGAATACCGACCTTAAAATTAAACCCGATTTCAATTTCGTTTGAAAATAAACTATTTTATTGAGACTTGGCCTCTTGTCAAGATTAGCGTAGCGTCTACCTTTAAATATACGGCGACCAAGAAAACATAAATCTCGTTTTCAAGTTTCCTGGACGATGTTCCGTTATTATAAATTTTCACAACATTCAACTGAAATCGAATACATGAAGGTAACATATAAAAAAATCAGCGTTGTTATTTTCATTTACCTAACCTGAATAAAACCGACACAATCAATCAAACTTTAGGTTTTAAGAAAAAATGGTAAAGGTACTGCTGACAAATCTTGTGACAAAAATAATTACACGTAATCGTTTATGTTGACACCTTAAATTGGTTAAGATCTGAGACTTTCCACCCGTCTGTTCTGCAAATTGTATTTGTGGGTTTTAATATCGAAAGGCAAAAAGAAATTCGTACTCTCTCATTCACCATTTTGCCTTATGACACATACAGTCAGGTTATACTAGCACAGTCTTATATAACCCTTTTATTAAAATCTACGTATTGCAACGTATTCCCGCTTTTTCCAGTGTTAAATTTGGATGGCGTCCATGTGGTGTAAATTTCAGAATAATATTCTCTCAGTTCGTTGCTGTTACAAATCCAATACATGCCAACATTTTGGCTAAAACGTTTTCTTCTTTCAACTCAATACTTGGTTAGCAGCACAGCAGGTCCTTGGTGGCGCCTCACTATACGAAGGCAAGATACCATGCATACAAATATACACCACCAAATGGCCTAACTTATATCTCGAATCTAAGACATGATCAACAGGCGGATTGGTCTTTAAAACATATACCACCTAATAATACTGCACATTCCTCTACAACTACATGCCAAAAATACCGCAACATCGAGCTATTATAAGCAAACATTATATTAAATATTATGGAGGAAATAGTAGTCTATATACGCCGCGACTTGCACTGATACAATAACGGCTTATTAAAGGACGGCAACGTTATTTTACAGGAACTAACGTTCACACTTGTTTTCATCAAAGTTGAAAACCCATAAACGAGTATAGTTCATCTTCACTTATGCATGCCATCGTAAAATCCTTTCAAATTCCCTGTCTTCAAATTCATTTTGCATTTAATATAACATTGATATTAAGAAAATATTATAGGTGATCGTTAATATTTCGAGCATCTGTGTCTGTTTTCGGAAGTCAAATACACATTTACATGAAATTGATTCCACGAAGTGATTGGTTGGCGTTCTGTTAATTGACTGCGTCTTATCGCAATTTTGCCGTGGTCTTCGTTTTCAGTCGGACTAGTCGAATGAGTCATGCTACCTGTGACTCAAGATGAAACTTTGAAAAAATTGAAGAATAAAGAACGTCTGGTCCCCGCTTTTCTTAGTGTCAAGGGACTAGTAAAGTTGCACATCGACTCCTTCAACCACTTTATTGAAACTGAAATTAGGAACATTGTACAGGCAAATAGCAGAGTGAGTGTGCCATCTGCCAATTGGTGGCTTGAATACAATAATGTTTACCTGAAGCCCCCAACCGTCAATGACGGAAGCGTCGTTGCCAGCCGAGTAACACCTCACGATTGCCGTCTGCGGGACTTAACGTACGCCGGTGAAATTTTAGTTGATATCACTTTTACGCGCCAGCATGAAATTGTCTCGAAAAAAGGTGTTCTTATAGGCCGGATGCCCCTCATGCTCAAGAGTTCTGCGTGTGTACTGAATGGTACGTCGTCTATATGTACATTTCGGAGATGTCCTTTTAATTATGTCCACTAACAGTGCTAATGAATTTATAACTGCTTAATCTAGAATTTCATGCTTAAAAACTAGCGTTTTTTCTCAAAACCTTATAAAACTTCCTGTATTTAGGCAAGTCTGCATTTGAACTAATGAAAATGAAAGAATGTCCACTGGATCCTGGTGGATATTTTATCATCAATGGCAGTGAAAAAGTGATCCTGATGCAGGAACAAATGTCTAAGAATAGGATTATTGTAGAGGGTGACACAAAAAAGGGATTGATCTGCTCCGTAACTTCGTCATCAGCACAGACAAAATCGAAAACAAATATATTGCTTAAGGATGGTCGTCTTTTCCTGCAGCATAATTCATTCACCGTGGATGTACCGATAGTCATCCTTATTAAGGCAATGGGCATAACATCAGACAAAGAAATTCTTCGATCTGTTGGCCGCGAAGAAGCCATCTGGGCAAAAGTTGTACCCTCATTGAAACAGTGCATTGAAGCAAAGGTTTGTTGTTTGTACATTTTTGTTGACTACAATCTATCTGAAGAGGAAATATTACATGCAACTATCTTTATTTTTAATATCGAACACTTTTATCCTTAAGTATTTGAAATATAAGCCCGATTTCGCTTATGTTGTCTACTGTTTTAGTCTTTCTTAATTTGACCGTACTCTAAAATGAAAGCATCAGCATAGGTTCAGTTCATCTTGACCTATCTAATTTAATTCAATAATTTTGAAACCTTCAAGAGATATCGCAACATCAGTACATTGTTGTGATGTTCCCGCGTTTTTGCGTGTAGGTACATACAACGTTGGAGGCTTGTAAATGGCTTCAATCCAAACTCCGCATGCCCCGTTTTCGCACCGTACGAATTGGCCCTGCTGGTGGGAAATCCGGCAGCGACATAACTGACCGCGACGTTCAAGCAGACATCCAACGAATGCTCCGGGATATCATTATTACTCATATCCCAATGGAAAAAATGAACTTTGAGGACCGCGTTCTCTTTCTCGGTCAAATGATCCGATATCTCATAATGCTTGCAGATGGCAAAATTCCCGTAAGTCGTTTTGTAAATTATTTTTCTCATTCTTCGCTGTTATATTAATATTAATTTTTTTGCCATTTTAGCCAGATGACCGTGACTTTTACGGGAACAAACGAGTTGAGCTCGCTGGATCCTTGATAGCCCTGCTATTCGAGGACATTTTTAAGACCTTTAATGAGGACCTCTGGCTGACAGTCTCAAAGTTGGACACAAAAAGACGTGTTGCACCTTTCGACATATCGCGTCACATTAAAACGTGGCTCATTACTGACCAGTTAAACCGGGCTATCTCTACGGGCAATTGGGTTATCAAGAGGTTTCGGATGATGAGGCAGGGAGTTACTCAGTTGGTCAGTAGATTGTCCTATGTGGCCGCTCTTGGGCACATGACTCGTGTTACAAGCCAGTTTGAGAAAACGAGAAAGGTGAGTTCCAGATTTCTACTAATGGAGTGGTCATATGCTACCAAGTCTTTTATTAATGTGTTATAAAGCCCCGTGTAGGAAGCAGTCTTGCGTAAACTTTTTCCAATATAGTGTAAATTCGCAAACATTGACGCTTCAGTTCGTTTGTGTCAGTATACTCGTGCAAACTTAACAGATGAGGGCTCCTACTTTATTTCCACTTACCATGTTATTGCGGCTTGTTTTAGTGTAAAGCCCATCTTTTTGTAACATCCGTTGTGCTCCGATTAGATTCACTAAAAGTAAGCGCTCCTTGTCGTTCCAATTCGTATCGATTTTTTAATAGGCATTTGAAAACTGGAATGTCCGATTTGTAAGGTCCCAGTAATTTACTTTGTTTATTTTGGTCATTTCTCTGCAAATTACTCTGAACAATAATAGGTCCTTTGTTAGTTATTAATCTGGTTCAAATCAGTATTAGTGCTCTACATAAAAGCGAAATGCAATATTTGGTCGGCGCCTCATTTATTACACGCCGTAACGCATAAATTTGGTTTTCAATCGTAACTGTATTGGTCTCCATTCACTGCCGACCGTAAATGTGCTGAGTTGAACGTGTCTTGGCCTCTTTCTCATACGATGCCCTAGCTGTACAGCTTATTCTGCTTCTTACAAGTTGGCAAACCTGTTTAGACCGCTGATTACAAAATTAGTTTTTCTTCGAGACTTTGCTTTCATACTACAAGTATTCATTATTTGCGCTAACTTGTTCAGAATCGTATCATTTCATCCACTAGGAAGCCAACCACAAGTGTGTTAAAATGACACTCGGTGTATCTTTCCGCGTTTCACTTAGATCTCATAACCGCTTGTGGTAGGTTTTGTACCTAAAGCTGTACTTACAGGAATACTTTCTTCTTTATTAAACAGATAGCCGGTCCTCGTGCCATCCACTCAAGTCAGTGGGGCCTGGTGTGCCCTTCAGACACCCCCGAAGGGGAGGCCTGCGGTTTGGTTAAGAACGTCTCTCTTATGTGCCACATCACCGTTGAAGTGGACGATAAGAACCTCATCCAGCTGATCAAGAGTTATCATGTCTACCCACTGCGTGAATTTTCTTACGGCGCAAATGAGTAAGCGTTCTTCGTTAACTATGCAATAACCATCGACGGCTTTTAGGTTGTGCTTTTAAAAAAACTTGACTTTCTACTTACTAGATGCATTTGTACTACATCATCCACGAAATCACCACAAATAAAATCGAAACTGAAGGGATTGAGTTAATGAAGCATTTTGATAGGTTGTTATAGCATCAGCGAGATTTAAGTAGAAATGAAATACGCCACCTGTTTCAGTACTTTCAATAATCCAAAAATCAAAGTACTATTGGCGGCAGGCCCGATCGTCGTATTTTGGATGGTTCTGTCAATTTTACTACTCATCGCCTGTCCCCCAAAGACCCGAAGTGCAGTTTGTGGTCTAGTTGTGAAGTCCGTATTTGAAGCGTGTTAAAGCTGTCTACTCTCGTGGTGATTCCACTCGACCCTCTTACATGGCATTTTATGCAAAAGGTTAAGGATTTATTTAGGTTCTAGGTTTTGTTTGGTATTGGCGGTTGCTTTATTTGTCGTGTAAAGGTTCCTCAAAGTTCATCCTAAGCTCCTAGGCTAGCATTGTGAATCTTCGTTTGAGAACATAATTTTAGCGCCAACTGTCTTGATGTTCTTTACTATGACGATTAGTTGATTTATTCGACTCACGGTGGTAGGGCTGCAGGATTCTAAGGATCTTCTATGTCTGCTTTCCATGAATCTCGAATACTTCGCCTCCAATTCCGGTACTTTGACTAATATCGCCTCGGCCAAACGTTTCAATTAACAAAAGATTTGTGACGTTTTGTTCATTATCACTAACTTTCTGTACCGTCTCCGGTGAGTTTGAATTCTAGGCCGTTAAGCTGGAATTAGGGAGTGTCTTATTGTAGAAGTAAGTCATGAAGTGGAACAGCAAGAGGCGCTAATTTAACAGACGTTCCCTAAACTAGAGTAACGTTCATTTTCATCAGCGTCACGTATCATGTAATGTTTCTGCATGAAGTAAGTGCATTTGGCATCCTATTTATTTGCCATATCCCCCAGATACATTGTCTACGTGAATGGCAAGCCAATCGGGTTTACAGAAGAACCGGAGGAACTAGCTGCAGTGATTCGCGGTCTCCGACGAGCACGCTACATCCACGAATTCGTCTCGGTTCACTGCAAACCGGTGCTTCGCTGCGTCCACGTAGTCAGCGACGGTGGTCGTCTTTGCAGGCCCTACATCATTGTCTCAAAGGGTAAACCCCTGGTCACGCAGGACATGCTTGATGTACGTCAATGTTTATTCCCATCTCTTTACGTCCTTTTTTGGTTTTTTATCACCTAATCGGCGGGAATTAGCGCTCTTTCCATGATTTCTTTGTAGGACCTGGCAGCCAAGGTCTTGAGTTGGGAGGACTTTCTAAAAAAGGGTGTAATTGAGTACCTCGATTCGAATGAATTAAATGACTGCTTGATCGCCATGGACGAGGCAGATATCACAGCCCAAACCACACACATGGAAATCGATCCCGCCACCATCCTTGGGGTTGTTGCAGGACTGATACCCTATCCGCATCACAACCAGTCTCCAAGAAACACGTATCAATGTGCTATGGGCAAGCAAGCCATGGGCACCGTCGCCCTTAACCAACAAATTAGGCACGTACTCAGGTTTCATTTATTTTTGTTAATTGTTAGGTGTAGAGACTGGCAGCTGTTTCTGCTCTTTGCAGATTCAATCATTCATAATCAAGATAGTCTGTTTTGCAAAGAAAAAAGTTTTCTGTCCAAGAGGTTTAGGTGTTCAAGTGCCGCCACCAGTCGTCCAGACTTGGGTTGGGCGAATTTGTGTACTAAAAAGACTTCACGGCACACTGTATGAGTCAACATCTTGTACGGGCCCCGGTACGGTTTTGGAAACTACACCAGGGCCGACAGTCTACTTTGACATGGCCCGACCGAAAGAAGGCGTCAGAAAACGCAGATGGCGAGTCGATCAACTAATTTATTAAAGCTGTAGCGAGGTGTGTGTGCAAGAGAGCAAGTTAGTTTATACTGAATCGGCTAAACACCGATTTCTGAACGAACACAGTTGTTGAACCAGCTGCTGTTGTTCTACGTCTGTAGTGCAAGATGACCCAGAGGTTTGGGATGTCTGGAGTGAAGAATTCGTCATTAGGGAAGAGTACGTTTGGGTGTTAAAATGTGACAGAAGTTGGACATACGAAGATAGTATAGACCCTTGCTCCGATGGTGTGGTAGGAGCATTGACGCTGCAAAATAGCTGCGCAGGTGCTTTGTTGACCTTAGAATACGTGTCTGGGCTCTGGCAGGACTGGCCAGTTATATCACCACAACCTTCAGCTGGAGTAGGCCTAGGACTGCTCTTACGGGCTATCGGCTAGGGACTCGTTGAGGAACAGTTGGGGATTGTAACAGGATTGGAGATCTCTGATGTGCCCAGTGCAGCATCTTGACCCCGATTTGTCAAGCTGCGCTGTGTGAGGGTTGGGGAGAATTTCCACTAGACTGCTGTTGTAAATGACAAAGGTCACAGGAGTCTGGGCGACTACCACTCGGTGTTGTGACTGTATTTGAGTGTGCAACGTCGGTCTTTTTGGACAAATCTATTAATCCGTCTTGATCCATTAATGATATCCTTACAATCCTGCTAGTCAACAGTTCGTAACGATCTGCCAGGAAAGGCAACACACGAATACAATGATTCTGGCCTAGTTTACCGCATTTTCAATTTCGTTTAAATCGCTTTAGTTCTCGACTCTCTAGCACTCACTCTAGGTTCCAAACTCTTCTAGGACACCATAATTCGACTGTAAAATACTTATGACCTACCTTTCAGAAATTCTATTGGAAAGAAAAGTTTCGTTTATTCCATTCGCCAAGGGGGAGAGCTGTGACGAGCAGCAAGCAAACACAGCAATCGTGAGCTAACGCTAGTAACAAGCGTGAGCGAACATGATTCAATTGATTCACGTGAAGCACTTCATGGGAGTTGGCTGCGCCTCGGGTTTCTTGCTTGGAGGCGACTCTGTCGAGAAATGCTGGTTTTAATGCGGTCAGTAGATACGGCGTCTTTATTTTCATTTCGTCCGACGATGAAAACCTTTTCTTCTCGTCTGAGTATTCTGAAAGGTCCATCGTAGGTGGGTTGGAGTGGACGACGAATGGCATCGTGCCTGATGAAAACATGAGTGCAAGAGAACAGTGTTCTTGGGACGTAGCATCAAGTGGAGGATGAGCGAGGTTGAGTTGGTATCAGTTTGCTCATTGCTTTCCTCAAGTCAATAACGCAGCCGCTTGTGTCCGGCCACGTTGGTCGAGGGTTGATTCTGACGGTTGTCCATGTCGGGGTCACCAATTTGTAGCAGGCCCCAGTGCGGTTTCGAAAACCTCGCCAGGGCCGACAATCTACATTGACACGGCGCGACCGAGAGAAGGCGCCAGAAAACGCAGGTGGTGAGTCGCTCAGCTAATTTATTAAATCGGTAGCTAGGTGGGTGTACGAGGTAAGAAGTCAGTTTATATTGGATCAGCTAAACATCGATCTCTGAACGAACACAGTTACGGGAGGCGCATTCACGTAAATCACTTAAATCATGTTCGCTCACGATTGCTGTGTTTGCTTGCTCCTCACCGCAATCTCAATTTATTGGGAATCGATGGTAATTTCTGTGCATCATAAATAACTTTTGGGTCTGGATTAAAACAGAAAAAGCTTGTCTTGTGATTTCTAGAATAATCCTATGTCTGAGGGTGTATTTGTTGGACTGTGCATCTCACAGTCTGTCAAGAATTTGATGAATACCTCTATGCTGAACGCGTGCAACAAGCGACTAATTTAATATAACACACCGCAAGCTACCGTTAGTAAATGCAACTTTTCTACTACAGATTCGACACCCTCCAGCTCCAGATGGTCTACCCACAGCGTCCGTTGGTTCAATCAAAAACCATCCAGATGTTACATTTCGATCAGTTGCCCGCAGGGCAAAACGCCATCGTGGCTATCATGTCCTACTCTGGCTACGATGTAGAAGACGCTCTGATTGTAAACAAGGCCTCACTTGATCGAGGCTTCGCTAGAGCATGTGTCTACCGAAGGATCGGGCTTCATCTCAAAATGCACGAAAGCGGAGTCTACGACCGCTTAATGGGCCCTGTTATCGATCGTGGTATGATTCTACTGTTTGTTGAAATAATAATCCATTTCCGCATCATGCACAAAATGACAACCAAATTTGGTCCATGTTTTCAGCAGTACGAAAAGTTACGAGATGAGCTGTGGGTCTTACCGCAATTCTCCTGTAGGCTTCCGTCGAGTTTTGCATCTTTTATTTTCATCATTGCAGAGACGGGAAAACCGCGCCGTGAGGACGAGGTCTTGGAAGCCGATGGTACGGCAGCTGTTGGGGCTTGTGTGCAAAATCAACGGATCGTCATCAATAAGGAAATGCCCGCCGTGAAGGTCTCCTCCGCGGCCGAAGCTAATGCTGGACAATTAGGCCTGCACTCGGCCACACCAGCTAATGCGGTATGTTTCACGCAACGAGCAGTCGGTAATTCCCGGCGTCACTCATGTCAATTTATCCAATTATTCACTCCTACTTGATGTGATACTGTGCCAATGTGCTAACGATTTTTAGTTTCTCATTCCTATTAAGCAATCAATCACAGAATCCCATTGTAGGGCACACAAGTTCCATGTTCGCTTGACGCTAGGGTCAAGGTTTTAGAGACAATTTGGCTTTTGTGTCAAACTTTCCTCCCCCCTCCGGTTATCGCAATGGCCATCAGGAGAGCACGCTCCTCGATCCATATGAATTGGGTAGTCTCCGTGTGCCTATTTGATGGGCAATTAGATGTAGAGAAAGCTGAAGTTGGGCAAGTGCAATTCTACGCGAACTATTAATCCCGTGTTAATTAAATGATGCAAACTGCTGTTGGACCAAAACCAAAACCTCGTTCCTATATTTGCTTGGCTAAGCAAATTCCAGGTCCCTAAAACGTTGACTAATTCCAATTCACATCTTCTATTAGAAGAGTAATCTCAACTGAGCGTCTTAACACGAGTAGCACTTTTATTTCTACCATACTCATTTAGATCGAATTTAAACGATGCCCGGCCGAATACCGTGGGATCGAGCCCTCATACGTGGACAAAGTCATGTTCTCGACCTCTGAGGGCAACCAGGCTGTTGTCAAAGTACTTCTTCGGCAAACTCGTCGTCCAGAAGTCGGTGATAAATTTTCTTCTCGTCACGGCCAGAAAGGTGTTGTCGGCTTAATTGTCCCTCAAGCTGACATGCCTGTTTCACCACAAGGGATCTGTCCCGACATTATTATGAATCCCCACGGATTCCCTAGTCGAATGACGGTAAGCAGTCCTCACAAACAACACTGCAATTCTGGAACATGCAATGTGAACGAGGGTTGCCATTCTGTGGCAACAATTGGGAAATCATTTAAGTGGTTGAGGGGAACTTCACGCAGAGGTGCGTTGAAGCAGCAGCTGAACAGTTTTGGCCTTGTATAATGGGTGTTCTCTTAAAAAAAGACATATGGCGACTACTTCACGGATTATAATACATTCATGCATAAAGAGCGACTTTTTGGACAAGTGAAAGCCCGTAAGGGCTGCAAATTTAGCATAAATTCCTGTACTGAAATGAAAGATGAGCAGGAATTAATAGGTCAGGGGACGGCATGGTCAGCTGTTATGAATAACGTCGAAGGGCGGTTGATTTTGGTGGTGGGAACAATTCCAGGGAAACCGTCCTTGTCCTGAGGTTACGATTATTTTTTTTTAGTAACCCTTTAGCCAAATTAATTCAAATGGCTAGCTTATGACCCGTTGTGCGAGCATACCTCTTTAAACCTATGTGTTAAAATGATTAGCCTGCAAATTCTTAGCTGCCACATGCCTCGTATGATACATTCAGTTAACTTGCCAGTTCATACCTGAGCATAAATACTATCGTGTTTTTAAGTCCTCCGTAAAGCAAGTCCTAATTTGTGATTATCAAACAGGTAGGCAAGTTGATGGAACTCCTGGGCAGCAAAGCTGCTGCAGTTGACGGGAGACTTAGAGATGGTTCGGCATTCTCAGGAGATCCAGTGGAGTCCCTCAGTGAAGTACTCGCTGAACATGGCCACCACTACCTAGGGAAGGAGATTCTCATATCAGGAGTAACAGGAGAGCCTCTCGAAGCGTACATCTACTTTGGACCTATTTACTACCAGCGCCTCAAACATATGGTGGTAGACAAGGTAAGAACTGTTTATTTATCAGACAAGCCAGGGGATGCTTGAGCTCTGATGTCAGAGAAGTATTGAGCCAGTCTACCTCTATTAATTTCGTAGGTTCACGCTCGCTCTCGTGGCCCAGTTACAGCTTTAACTCGTCAGCCTACTGAGGGTCGAAGTCGTGAGGGCGGTCTACGGGTCGGTGAGATGGAGCGAGATTGCTTTATAGCTTATGGGGCATCGCAGCTGCTTCTAGAACGCCTGCTAACCTCCAGCGACGCATACGACGCTGTTGTGTGTGAGGGCTGTGGTCTTCTCGCATCTTCACGCAGCTGGTGTCAGTACTGCAGAAGTAGCAGTCAACGTATTTCCAGTGTCTGTATGCCCTACGCCTGCAAACTGCTCCTGCAGGAGTTAATGTGCATGCGGATCCTACCCCGGCTACAACTAGCGGCCCCCAGTGAATCGGCGTTACAACTCCACACTTCCCAATTTGCAAAGGTCCACACCAAACGATAACTTTTTTCGCCCATTGTGTACATGTTGTTTACTTATCAGACGCTAATAAACGTTATGCTTATTTACTAAACAGGAGGTTGAATACTTTTTTTAAAAAACTCGATAGTATGTATTTAATGTGTGTTGAAATCGTGTCTCTGAGGAAAGTGTGCCTAGGGGCGGAAGGCTGCACAAATTTCTTCCAATTGCTGGCAAAAGTTGAGATTCGCCTCCGAAATGCTCTCGAGATCCCTTTTCTACATGGGTTAATCGTTGGAAAATGTAACCTACCGCCTTTAAGATAGATTCCCGCAGCTGACAGCGCTTTTGTTCAACTGAAGCTATGTTGGAGGAATCAAGTAAAGTCCGGCTTAGTTCTAAAAGTGCTTTTTTTACCAGCCTTCAAATGTAGGATGAACCGTAACTTACTCATGCTGAGAAACTGGTACGGGAATAAATGATGAGCATTGTTTAAGTCTTTCGGTGTATTCCATGATTGCCTGGAGGTGTTCACGAACACTGGCTAAGTCTGAGCGGAAGGTGCCACATCGGTTGATTGCTTCCTTATCACTGTTGGCAGAGCTAGTCACTTCAACTTGAGTAGGGCATAACTTTCGGTCAGCCAACAAGTGCTCTTGAGTTTCATGATTCTGACAACTCTAAGGAAATAAAAAGAAAAAAGTAACAGGACAGATGCACTAGCCTTTAAACCAGCATGGGGATTGAAAGGCTACCAGCAGAGGCCGATTAAGCGCCATAAAATTATGTATTTAAATAAGAACTTGATGCGTAAGGCATCTTAAAATCACATTAACGGAAGCGGATACTGTTTCGTTTGCTTTCACGGCAGATGCGTTTATTTGCTATGTCATTCGATGGTCAAGGAGCGAAAATACAGATGAGCATAAAATAAGACGCAGTCCAAAAGTAGTTTAGTGTTTATACTGGGTGAATATTGCCTAGGAATAACTGGGAATAGTATGCACAAAAAGGGCTGGTACTACCAGCAGCGATTAAATTGCTTGCGATAATCAAGCAAAAATCGATGTATAGAATGCGCACTAAATCCATTATTTGCATGGATATCTATAACGCGTTACAAACTAAGACAATCAGATTCAATCAAGTCCCACCAAATGTTCGACGATACATTCGCATCACCAGCGTCTACAAAATGACCGAAAGCTTCTAGCATCGAAACGAATGACAATAACTCAGTGCCGAAAACAAATACCATCAAAAGGAACGAAAATCACAAAACATCAACGTGACAGTTTTCCTAATAACTAAGGAATAGATGAATTTCATCAAAAATAACATTTCAACAGGTTCCTCGGAAGGTAATAAACCGCATTAACCAACTTCAAACGTTCATAAAGTATGCCTGGGTGCGACTAATAATTGGATTTTAAATCCTCCAGGAAGACAATTTGAAGGCGAGAAGTTTAACGGTTGATGATTTGCCTAACCAACACCCTCAGGATGATAAAATTTGGTATTTTGTCTTATTACGACAACGATACGAGTCATACTTCTTTAAGAATGTCAAAACCAAACTCCTCTGCCAAATCCCAGATTATATCGAACATTACGAATATCCCAGCCTAGGTAAGATATTTACTCGTGGAATATTGAAACAAACATGAATATATGAAGAAAACATTAGGAGCTACATTATATGCCAAGAAACGTTAACCACCTGATCAACTTTGAAAAATAGGTCCAAATTCGCTTGACCCGTCAAAAATAGTTTGAATTATAATTACAAGATACATGACAGTTAATGACTTTCGAAATCTCATGAATTTGTCGAAGTGGTGAATTTATAAGCATAAGTCAAGCTGATGTGAGGCCTGTGTCTAATTTAGCCAAAAGGTATAATTTGTTTTATTCGAAACGCAAAGGAATTTTTCTAGTCTACATATGGACACCGAGAAATGAAATCAAAAATTGTATCAAGTAAAATAAAACCAGTTTCTTCACACAGAACAACATGCATTCTGCATTACAATAATAATGATTAGATGTTGAAATCAATAGCATTTCTCAATAATGAAGTTGACGTTATTGTTAAAAATTACTGTTGAACAAGTATGTTCCTACTCCGGGCAATGATTTAGGAAAAAAATGATTACCTTTTCTGCAGTTTTTAATAATTCCCACTTAAAATTAATAACTTCAATGAAATTTTGCGATATTTGAAATAAATTCGAATCTGATCACGAATGTATATTGTCACTTGAGTAAGGGCGCATCATCACCAAACCAAGGTCCGATAATGTTTCACAAGTCACTGAAAATTCAGAAACCCAGCAATACGATATCAGAACATGGTCTCTTCCTATGTGTAATTTCAAGCCGCTTAGTTTGGCATTCCCTAATAGAATATTCATTATTGATTAAAGAAAATATCTTGCTGGATTACTTAAGTACAAGAAACAAGTTCAAAACACCCAACAGAAATGTCTTATTTTTATTGACTCGATTTTGCTTACGATGTGGTCTGCAATGTTTCATCATCAAACTACACACTCATCGTGTTCTTTCAATGGTTTTGTTGACAATCATTTTTCATTCAGCAGAGATAATCAATTAAATAGGAACTACTTTCTTGTGTTGGATTTGACGATTGCAAATAGTAATTATATGTAGTGATTGAAATTATGTAAGTTATGTACAACCAAAATATCAAATGATTTTCAGTTGGCTTGTGTAATTATCTTGACGAAGCTGCAGTCTCCAGAACAGTAATAAGACCATAATATTACTTTGTCGCCTTAATTTTGTGCTCGTCAACTTCAGTAGAGTAAGCTTAGACCAATTTTCAACTAAAATTTTAAGACAGCTTAGTTCTGTTGAGTGATATATATCTTAAAATCATGTAACCCTGATTAAAGCACTTCAGTATTCTTACCATTTCAGAAATTAAGTGCCAAACGTGCCTAGGTTTTTGGTAAGTACATTCTATGTTGTTATGACGTACATTTAGTAGTTTGTTATTGTGGAAATTAATAGGTGGAATTTTCGGATTTACTGTTTAAAAACTAATCGCAACCTTAGCATTTGGTATATAGATCTTAATACCAAATTGGCTAAGTGCTGTTGATCATGCAAATGTACAAACTTTAAAACCAGAATATTGCGCTTAGACATTAGCAATCTGCTGTCCTTTTTCAGGTTTGCCTCCAAGTCTGATAATTTAATGACTTTAAAAGCATTAATGCGGGCACGTAAGCTATTGATCTATCTAATCACTCTTTTTACCCCTGCTGTAAATTAATTTACTTATTTATCTTTTTTGCTATTTTCAATGACCTCATTATGCAACCCTTTTTACCGCGCCTTTCATTTTCCCGTCGCCCAAATGGATGATTTTACTTCTGCGCTCCTTGCCCGGAAGAAAGAGGGACTAAAAGATGTTGAAAACTCCATTATATATACGCCATTTGGCATTGACGCTCAAGAATCACCAGAACTACAGGAATCAAATTGTGTTTCTCACGATCCTTCTTGTATAGAACCAGAATCGGTGAAACAGTGGCGTCGCGAATTTAATGCTGCAATTAAAAAGATAGATGACAACGAGGCTAAAAATGAGCAGGCAATGAAGGAATGTGCAGCAAAAGTATGCAATTCTTTTGGATTTTGTTGCTAATTTCCCAAAGCAGTGTACTCAACTTCAATTTCATGCTTTATAACAGTAGGTAATGCAATTCTCAGGGTAAAATAATCATAATTTTGCCAGCGAAGAAAATGCTCATTGCATATACAAACCATGTTTAGAGATTTTTTTAATTTATGAATATTATATTGCCAAGGCGGAAATCGGATAGCTAGAATAAGAGTCAGGGAGACACTTCTCTATTTCCTGTGTTACTTTTCTAAAAGGACATTAACCGAATGTGCGATGGTAGTATTCGGTGACCAGAGGCCCAAGTGCTGAATGTTTCACACTAACGAGACTGTTTGCGAGAATTTTTAATGCAATTGTAAACGTTCAGTGGGGAACGGTCATCAATTGCAGCAACGACACGTGTCTTCTAACAATCGTTCTCGGTCCTGGTCTGCAGTTTGCATAGTCCTCCTAGGATAATAAATCTTGTCTTCTTTTAAGATCGCATCCAGCAAAGTCGATGTTACTGCCAATGCACTATGGCAATGGAGAAAAAAACCCTATTTGTTTAAAGCATTTATAGGTTTAATAAGTGGAAATCTTTGAGAATCTTTAACATAAAATGCTACCTGAAATAATCATTGACAGTATCAGTATTTTTGCTTTTACATTGCAACCTTACTTTTACTGGTGTTAATGGTTCCAGTGTTAGCTGGGTGCCTCATTTTTACTGTCCAACTTTCAGTACCCTGTTTCAAAATATTTATTAAGCACGGAACTTTCTAACATGCCTGTTAACGCTGCAATGAGTCATTTTCTGCCGATAACGGCTCTATGTACTTTAATAATTAGAACTCGGGTTGTTTAAACTAGACATTTTACCGTTTACAGGAACTCGCAGAATGGATGTCCTGGTACAAGAAAAATTTAGTAAAAGTCCATGCTCAAAATATCGCCCATGAAGAAGAACTTCAGGCTCAAAGGGATAAAACGACGCTAATCTCCCGATCTGTTTCCAAAGTCAACCCGTCTGAAGCCGTAATTTGGGATCATATTTGTCAGCTGTGCAGTCTGTCAGTCTCTACATCTTGTGGGGACTTTTCTGCATTTTCGAGAAGCACAGCCGGTTCGTCTAATAAAGATGTCACCCGATTCCGTTCATTGTTGCTGTCACTCAAAAATAACCCGCCAAAAGTGTGCCAATAACAGTATACTTTTATGTGTTGTGTACTGCTGCATTCCAGTGCATTCATTATGCACGAACTCGACTTAATTACACAAATATTGCCTTTTTCCGTGACTATTTAGAAGTTTGTGTTGTTCGTCAAGCCCACCGACTGCGAAATTGGTGTGTATACATTCTATTTGAACAGTGCCCTACACTTCTTTTTGAAAAGGAAGATAAAAATCTGGTCATGTCCGCATATATCCTGCTTTCGGTAGAATGAACTTTCGTTGCACATTGTTTGGGATAACTATGTTGGTGCTTTTTGTTTCATCTATTTAAATACAATTAAAGTGTTTCATTTGAAAATTTGATCTTTCCAAATAATTGCGTCCTCTATTAGCGTCTAAAAAGTGAACTAATAAAACAAGCAAAACAGGTCCTAGAGGCCTCCACACTTAAAATCTTCCTGTTTGTAATCGGCTTGACGTATTTGAGGAATCATCTACAGCCCATACTAGTCTCTTATCACACAGTTTGTTCGGCATGATCTTCTTTGGCACAACTTGTAGACAACCTTTTATTTTTGAAAAACGAAATAAGCAGGTGCATTTACCAACAGCTGCACCCAAGAAACCCCTTGAATAAGGTAGAAAAATAATGCTGGATGAAATATAACAAAGGTAGGTTATACCTTTTAATCAATTCCAATCACCCATAAGTACCTCGGTCACTTCCAAAAGCACAATTTTTCTGCAACGTACAGGATAGAACAGAATCCGATCGACAGGACGGACAATTCAAGTGGAATTACGATAGCACAAAACAATAAAACGTCCGCATAATCCGCACAGTGGCCAGAATTATCAGCGAACATGATATGGTTTGTTTTTCTTAAAGACATAATTGAATTTGGGTATGTGTGATGAACACACATAACCAATGTATTGACATCGCACATAGACACAAAACACACCTATATGGTACAACAAAGACAACCTAAAAGAAGAAAATGTGAAAAAAAATCATGATAGAGATGATCAATTTGTGGTTTGTGAAGGTGGAGGAGGGGGGGATGTTGGGACAGAGCCGGGTGTTGGGGTACCCTTGAGGTCAATTGTTTGAATCCCTGCGAGTATCCGCTGCCACAGAGCGGGGGAGCACTTGGGGTGCCGTTGGATGCGCGCCAAAAGGGTGTCCCAACTGACCGCTCGGTCCGTAGCCGGCATCCCCAAGTGTGCCTGGTAGGCATTCAGGAGGGCCCCCACGAATTCATCCCATTCTGTTCGCGACTGGCCTATGTGTCGCAAGCGTTGGTTCAATTGCCTGTGGTACCTGTAGGCACGAAAAAAACGAACTTAGCATAATCGTTCCACAAGTAAGCCCTGATTAATCTCATATAAACGGCAAGTATTTGTTTCCACGAGCCTAGATTAGGCATGTGTTAACTAACCGCCATGACAAGCAGCCCTGAATACTTTTGGGATTAACCTTGGAAGCCATAGGAAAATAAGTCAAGTCAAAAGGCTAATAACTAAGGCCATCTGCATTATAGGCAGAGCACGGCAACGAAAATTTGGCATGGTTGATTCACAAAAAGCAGTCCTGAACGACAAAATTACCCTGACTTGGCATTGCTTTTGGTTTCCAATGAGCTAGAAAAGTTGTGTCCTGGGCACAATTGGTGGAGTTTACACAGAATAAAAAGCCTAGGGCTGGAAGAAGTGCACGAAATCACCGCACAATTGGTGACAAACGTTGTTCAGTTAATTGTAAAAAGAAATTAAACGGCTAAACTGCCGGTCTCATGTGAATCGTGGTTTTCATAGGCTAATCAAAATAGGAAAACCGTTGCCCGCCTGTATTCCATGAACGACCAATTTTTGTCCTGCAACAGCACAAGGGTAAAGGAGGCTGCACAACAGTTGGCCGTCCTGAAATCTTGCATGTCTCTCTCCCGAAGCAACGTGGGAAGCGTAGCCCGACATGCTTCTGTTACTGATTACATTTTCATAAGCTCCTATGACATATCCAATCGCTAGCAAGTGACCTTGTCGCGCGATCGGGTAGAAGTAAATTTGAGTGACCCAAACCCAACCCACATAAACAAAAGTAGTATTCGATAGATGCAATGCCCACCTTGCCGTCAATTTAACTACTACGGGTCTTTTGTCAATGTCCTATGATGTGCAACGAAAAATCAACTTACAGATTGTGAATTCGATTTACCATCCTTTCTACAAGGTCTTTTCCGAGGAAGTTGACTGAGGTCTGGTTATTGACAGCGCTGGTCGAAACGACCATGGACTGCTGGGGCTGTGCCGCGACGCTCCAAGGTTGATAGGTCCAGGGGATGGTATTGCCGCTGACACCCACGGACGACTGCCACCTTCCAGCGTATCTATGATGCGTGGGCTGGTAGTAGGCTACGCAAGGCACCCAAGTATACCCGTTCCAGACAGTGGGTCCTCCACTCGACCCCTGTGAGTAAATCAGCGGTGGGACGGGGTCACTGGGAAGATAGTGTCGTTCGAGTACCTTTCTTGTAATTTGATACATCAAGAGAGGACATTGGATGCACTGCAACACACGTGAACAGTATTCACAAACCGCTGGAGGACCAAGGAGCCCCGCTACATCTAGAGTCCAAAGGATCTGGAAGTTGAAGGCTTTTTCAGGGGTAATGCTTCCAGCCGTGGCACCAGAACATCTCCAGGAGTCACTTTCTTCGCTCCATAGGATACCATCAGTCTCCCCAAGGCTTGGTATCCAGATAGGATTATTGTCGATTGAGTTGGTGGTCTGGGCAGGTTGCTGGAGGGTCGGGGCGTAAGTTCCACTGGCGCCATTTCCTTGGTGGTAACTATGGTGACTGTGGTAGTGATGATGGCGATGACCTGAGCGACTACCCGAACCGCGATTCTGCGGCGAGGACGAATCGAGCTGAAGAGTCTGTAATCAATTACATGGGGCAAATTAGTGAATAACAACGCAGGGTTGTGTGCAGCTTTTAAAGTACCCGAACTAATGTTGAATGGAAGTCAAATCGTAGGATAGACACATAATCTACGACTTTATTGTAAAACTAGTGATTTTTTTGATAAAAAAATATTTATTGATTATCACCCAAGGCATATTGAAAGACATGGCAGGCATCGATGCGCAGCGGAGACCTCGAACTGATTAAAAGAGATAAACACATGCTAAAAATTCATTACAAATTCCAAGCCAACATGTTTTAATTCACGAAATTCGCATTGAATGGAGAGCTAGAGTAGGTGTGCACGGCACCTAACTCCACAGGCCTAAAAATTAAGTAAATCGATGAAACTCCCTACGGATAACACCGATAATCCCTTCTAAAATGATCGGGTGGGGAGAGGGGGCCGAAAGTCGTAGTAAATGTTCATTTATGGTCAAGCGAGGTCACGAAATTGAGATAGCGGTGGTAAATTGATTGTGGAAACACGCTTACCCGAGATGGAAACAGTTTCCCAATTGCACATAAAGCCGATAGAAAAGAACGACGAAGAAAGTTTTGAGCCTTAGTTTCCAACTTCCGAACGGAAGCTTCTTCGGAGCCTCCTTCATCAGATTCCAATGACGATCCAGCCACTCCTTCACCCTCTTCATCTTCCTCCTCATCCTCTTCCTCCTCTGGTTCCTCCTCTTCCAGAGAACCTCCGCCATCAACTACCGAGGTAGCAGGGTTGTTGAACATCGAGGCAGCCGTGGTAGTTGACGTGGAGGCAGCATCGCCTGTGTCGTTCACCGCAGCTGTTCCAGTGACCGAGGACTGACCAATGTCAGAGGGGCAGGCCAGTGATGCTAGCGAGTTGGCCAGGAACTTGTTACAATATTCGGATAAATTTTTAGATGCTCTGTTGCCAGCGGATATTGTCAGTTGCTGAAGGTACTGGGCAGAAGCGACTAGAATAAGGATAAATTGGTAATCATTTGCATGAAGAACCAAGGACTAACCAGAGGAGGTTACTAGCACAGAATCAAGGGTGAGGGTGATTACTGGAAATACAGCTCAGAATCTTCGATGATGATTGCCGGTGATGGAAACAGGAAAGAGTAATGTAAAAGTTGATTCTGTTAGGATCATCGTATGGCCAATAGTTTCATTTACACCGTTTTAACTTCAAGGTGTTATTACATTACCAATTGAGCAATCAGAACAAACGCATCAAAATTCATGCGAAGATTTAAAACTACTTTTGACTTAAGACGTTAAACAACATCTATAGGGTCAGATAGATACTACTTACATTTGAAGGTTATGTTTAAAATTGCTATTTTACCCTAGGATAGAGCATAGACTTGAGCCAATGACCCACAAATGAACTACATAAAAGGAAGTATCTTCGTCAGCACGGAAACATAGGCTTGACGTAACTCACGGGTTGGAAAAGTTGCACTCAAGTACTGGATGGGAACAGAGATTGCAGCAGGAGCATTGCCTGGTGGTTGGGGTGGATGATCGTTCTGCGACAACAGGTTGTAGAACTGAGATTGAGGGAGCAGGTGAGCAGCAGGCGGAGGTGGAGGTGGTAGGCAAATCTTCGGCGAAAAGACAATCAAAATAGTCAGTAGTGAAGTGACAAGAAGGTACCCAAGTGGTTTAATAATAAAGTGAGAACACAGACGTTATTGTGAGCAATCAAATCCACAGACTTGTAGATTAGATTTAATACCTTGAGTGAGCTGGTGTGAGACTTTATAAGAAGCCCAACTCTTTCTAATGGCAAAATAATTCGAAATTTCCCTAAAAATGAAGTTCTAAATTGAATTGCGCACGTGTTAACGTTACCACGCCTGATTAAATAGATGATGCTGTAAATGTGCCTAGATAACAAGCTCCATGAGATGAAATGAATTCAGACAAAATCGAATGCACAACCGAGGAAAATTAAGGACTTTTACTTTAATACGCTACCACAAGAGTGCGATAATTAATGAAGAATCACGACTACCTGCTGAGCAGACTGCCCGGCGTAAAGTCCCAGCGGTGTCTGTGGCATTTGGTACTCGCCTTCCGCGAGGTAATACGGGAAATTCTGTGATGTCGAGAAGGGCTGAATGAATGACGACGCGGTCATCAAGCCAGAGGAGAAGAACTGAGGTGTCGGCGGCTGGGAACCGGCTCCCGAGCCTGGCCATGTGCCAGCATTGCCGCCCACAGAGCGCTCCTCGGCGGCAGTCACCGGTGCCGACTTGGCGATCTCACTTTGCTTTGCCTTGGTGATAGTATAAAGGTCGAACCAACTACGCGCAAGATGAAAATGAATTTCTGGCAGGATTCCGTAGGGCGATGCGTCAGCACCTCTTTCAATGCAGAGGAGGCCGCGTTCAAGAGTTTTGGGAAAGGCGGAAAGTTGAGAAAGCGCGCGAAGTATCTCGTGAGGCTTTAAGGTGGCGAAGTCTGTGAGACTGGCCAGGCACAGTTCGGCAGCCAGGTTTGTTAACTGTAACAGTAAAGAAGAAAAAGAGGTAAGGCACCGCAAGCCTTTCACGTTTCTATGGCAAAAGGACCGTCAGCATTTCCAGATATTATACCCTCCCGAATAATTTTTCTTTACTATTTGACCATCCTTGCTTGCCCTTCCACGTCTGTGTTGTTATTAAAATATCCCGATTAAGTATCTGTGAATTGCTTCAGGTGTCTTGGCTAGTGGCTCAGTAATCAACAAGCCTCAGTGATTCTTGCTTTTGCCCACCTAAGAGGTCTTACCAGGGATACATGTTAGCATTATTGGGAAATTTAATACAGTGCCAACTGTGTGCGTAACCTACGGCGCGGTCTCGTTCGCTTGACAGTTGAAAGGCCAAGGCTGCCAGCTCCGCGGCATTTAGATGATTTTGCCAGGAGTGGTAGAGCACAAACGCCGCTGGCAATCCAATTTCGAGGACCTGCTGGCTTATCCACGTGACATGGCGCGAGTACGTCCTGCTTTGCCACGAAGCGTGCAGCGAGTTGTAGAGACCCAGGGCATACAAGCCAATCTGCAAAGTAAATAGGACTGACGGCTTTACTATTAGCAGAATTGGCAATACGACCTGGATACTAAGCTTTGCTCCAATAAACAAAGTTATGGTGACATCAATCAGGAGAAACGATGCTGTTCATGGTATGAAAATTCTAAACCGGGGACAATTATTGTGCAATCATTTCCCCTATTTAATCATATACGATATTTGTGCCTTACCGTTAAGTCGGCTTAATTGGCAAAAAAATAACGCTACAACTCTACAAAATCAGTTACATACACACAGAGGCCTAATGCGACTAAGAATACACGGGTCTTAATTTATTGAGTCGTCGATGGTGAATCACCAGACATCAAATGAGGGTGGGCAATTGGTTAAAGACACATCCTGTCCGGGAATGTCGCCGCAGTGTCGACTGCTACGACGACTACATGTGACGACAAGTCACTGTTACACACAATAGTGGCTGTCCTTTAGAAATTAACATTAAATTGCACAGGCGGAGGATTAATCCGAATGACTTTTGCAATGAAATCGCCTGGCAACAGAACCGACCGGAAATGTTTACTGCAAAACAATTGCCTAGGAACAACGCGAATATGTGGTTGTTATAGATGGCTTAAACGCTGGGATGCAGTATCAGCAGAAAGGAGAAAAAGCCCACCTGAAAGGCGACAAGTTGCAGATTGCGGTGCGCGGCTCCATGCGCCTCCGCGTCTGCGACGAACACGGACCCACTTGCACTGGGTCCACCAGCAACTAAGCGGACGGTTTTAGCCAACTGAAACATGTGGAAAGCGAAGAGTTCGGTAGGACGTTGAGGCGGCGCCACGAAACTCAAGACATCTCCGCATGCTGGATGCTGAAATTGGTGCACAAAAGAACCGCATCAACCACAGCACACAAATTGCTGCCAAGGGTTTTTGAGGTGTGCAAGGCGTGTACCTTCAATGCCAATGTCTTTATGGCCATAAATTCTACCAAATGTAATTTACGATTAATGCTAAAATTATACTTATTACGAATAATACGCACACGAATTTAATTGGAGTGCGTACAATCAATTTGTAGAAGTCGATAACCACAAATAAGTTTGACATCCATAACTGTGAATGTAAAAAAAGGAACGAATTCCCCCTAAATGAGACCGAATGCAGCGTTGTAGTTTATCAATGGTTGAAAAAATTGGCCGAGAAGTGAAAAGCATAAGAATATTCGTGTGATGGATGAGCCGTATTGGTGTGAGGCGGCTTGTTTCTGGTGGTGCCTTTTGAAATAGGCATCCACGAGGAAAAATAACCAAATACCACAGTTTTCACGACGGGGACCTTATGTTCCATCGTTAAGAGCTCATACCATAACAACCGATTGCCTCAACACACTCAAGATGTAGAAAATGACTGCATTTGGCTTATTACGCTTCAGGATACAACTCCTTTGGACCTCTACGTCTCAAAGTAAAAAGTTTTCGGTGGACGCATTTGTACCCAAAGGAGTCGGACACAGGGACAGTGCTCTTTGTTTCCCGAAATATCACGACGTTATACTATCCGTAAGATAACAAACCTACGGCGGTGAGGTTGGTCGGAACAAATAGAACAGATCTAATACAATCACATTGTAAACACTTCAGCCCGATCACACTGATCACGACAACCTGGCAAAAGTAGGTGTGCTAGGTCTCACACAGGGAAGGAATGGCCTTGAGGAGAGGCCAGACAAGAGGGACTTACTGCACAATCCACGGAGGTCTTCTCGGGAAAGTTGACAGGTTTAGGCTCCTCCCCCGTGGAGGAAGAAGGGCAGTCCGACGAGGAATCAACATCAGGACGTGCAGGAGCATTTGATCCGACCTGCGAAGGCTCCTCAGGAAGCCGACAGTTTGTAGGCGAGAAAAAGAAGCGTCTACGGCTAGTGGCAGGCGAGTTGTCGCTACTGGTGGTCTCGGGAGCGCTACTGTCTATTGCTGCCATGCCCACAGAATGACGGTTGAGCTTCCTGGGGTCACGCAGGGTAGTGCAGCGAAACCTCTTGACCCAGGCCTACACGAGTAATGGCAAAGGCGAAATTTTGCTGCTCGATTCTTTTACAACAGACATCATGACGCAATGGGAGAAAAAAATTTACACGGTAGTCTTTGCGACACATCTACACCAAATAAGACTAACTTTTGAATCGGAGAGAGTGTCGGTATCCTCGCTAGCAGAAGGCGTTTCCTCAAACAAAGTTCGGTGGCTCAGTTTATCTGCAACCGTAGAGGTGGATTCAGGGAGCAGTTTGGGTCCCTCGACTCTGTCATCCATTGACGCCACTGATAAGGCTAAAAGGTGGAAACCTACGATTAGCATAGCACCGGGTGACTTGAGGCGTTTAATTTGTTAATCACTTTACACTCAAATTGCCGATTCGCACGACAACCAAAGCTACTTGTTGTCGCTCTTTGAGTTCGACAAACGTTTTGGTACAGAATAGGTAGAACAACAAGGCACTCTACATCACAAGTTTAATTTGGATCGAAATCGAAGGGCAAAACTGGGCACACCACTCACCAGAAAAAGTAGGACTTTCGGTTTTTACGTCGCTGTCACCATCTGCACGCCCCACACTATCCTCTCTCTTCTCTTGTGATGGGGACGGCAACACCGCCTCCTGGGAAACAGCGTCGCCTTCGTCGTCAACAGGCGCACTAGCAACAGCGTCCCGCATCTGACCTGCCTCGTTTCCGCTTGCTGATGGCAGTAGCTGGGACGGCGGCGGCGGGGGCGGCGGTGTAGGCGGAGCTCCGAAGCGAAATCGCATCAGCTCTGATGCACTGGCCGAGAGGCACATCCAGAGTGGCGGAGGTTTGAAGTAGGCGTTGAGAGATCGATCCAGGCAGGCCTCCAGAAGGACCGACAAACTGCGCGGCTTCTCCTTGTAGTAGCGTATGGTATTGAGAATGAAGTCCCGCATCTGAGAACGCTGGCATTCCACAAACATGGGCGCAGCATTCTCCGAGATGCGAGTGCGTTCGTGAAAAACACGGCATGCCAATGCGAAGGCTAATTCACCATCTTCCCTGAATCGCAAGAGACAGTAACCATGCCTTTAGACCGTCCTCAAACAATTATCATCAGAGCTTTGATGTATTCGAATGTGAGGATGTTGTGCAGCTTCAGTTTCGGATCTAACCGAGTATGATTGCCACGGCTGTGCATTGTGCACGCTAAATGTGGAAACAGCGCTAACCTATTGTCACAGCAATGGGATAGACGAGCACCACGTAAACTGATGATTAATAACTCAACACAATGTGGCTTTGAGGTCTTACCTCTGAGACACAGCATCGGTGCTACCACCGCACCTTTGGATCCGCATCGACAAGGGCAGAGCGGCCGATCCCCTTAAGGGTAGGAGGGCCGAGAACGCGACAGTGGACTCGCTCGCCACTGCGTTGTCCAAGACGGCGTAAATTGAGGGATCGTTCCGCGTGTCAACAGGACCTGTGGCGGGACTAGCCTCGGCTTCGTCACCACCATCACTCGCACTGTTGTCATGAGGAATCAAAGGAGGCTGAGTTTGCGATGAACGCGGAAGGGGGTTTGAGCCAGCCAGAGTTTGAAAAAGGAATACTGCCAACGAGTAGGGAACATAAACACCTAAAAGAAGCAGTAGATTGTGGGGTGTGGGGCGGAGGACACACAATACCTCAGGTTGAAATCGAACATTCCCTGCATCAACGAACTGAAAGCACGATAAGAAAAATCAACAGATCAACAGTCACAAGCGCGTACATTTAATAAATCACAACGCATTTTTAATTACTTGATAGCATACATTACACTTCGAAACTGCATGTTGTCACAGCACTTCCCTAACTGCCACAGATATCTCCCGGATGTGCAAATAGGACAATGACCGACATAATTCAGACTTAAATAATGCCCCTTTTCCCGAAGACCTGCATATCATCCACGCCAACGACGAACAATTTCGGCATGAAGCTGGTTAGCAATTTAAGTTCAGAACTACATCCACTTGAACTTGAAAAGGCAAGTTCTAGATTAATCGCCGGAAAAGTTCAAACCGATCACACTCAGAAATGTGCTAAATTAAATCCTAACGATGCCAAACATTTAATTTTGTCCTTCAAAAACCTTGAGGCTACCCTCCAAAGAAACTTGATGATTAACGCCTTTATATTAGACAAAATCCCGAGGTCGCAGGACATTGTCGTCAGAATTCAAAGGACAAAAATAAAACTGACATCGAAGATAAACCTTTCCAAGACTTCTCTGAGATTAATTTATAGATCCAAAGGCTATCGATAGTTAGAATGCACTGAGGACGAATCAAATTAGTAGCAATTTGATCTAATGCGTAGAAGAACGTGGACTTGGCAAGACTTGGTAGGACATTTCAAAGGTAGAAAAAGCTAATGCAAACTTCTAAATATCCAACAAAATCCTATTATGAAAGTGATTACAGATATAGGAGGTAGCATTCTGAACACCACGGCAATAACCTGAGGCCGACATCAAATCATCAACCAAAACTAATGTAACTATTTGAATCGGATGAAGGTCAAGGAATTTGAAAGGCTGCAAATGAAGAAGCAAGGTTCTGAAACGGCGTCTGAAATTAAGAAGACGTTCCAGAACAAAAGTGCGACCTGGGTTTATCAAAAACAATACAATAAATGAGACCGATGTCAGTTGACAAGAGCTTCTACCGGACAGACAATTTCCGCTCTAAAACACGGTTGTAAGTGCGGACAGCAGAAGCACACAACCACGGGGACTGTAGGCCAGAAAACTGGTTAGGCGGAGACTGACTTAACTTCGCTTGGGTAATGCTTAAGGGACAAGTAATTAAGCAATAACCGCAGTGACTTACTGAGACACTCATTAAATTGTTTCAGTCCGTTGGCCAAAAGTCGAGCCTCACGTCTTACGCTTCCCAACACCCACGGACAGGCCGACTCTAGAGGCAGGCGATAGAGCCGAGAAAGCAACGTGGCCTCGTGATCAACAAACCGAACGTCAGCGACTCCGACAAGATGCTGGGGGCGCGGAAGTGCCAGCATCAGCAAGCCCAAGCGAAAAGCCAACTCTGTGTCGACAGAGCGCCACTCGGCGATGCTGGGGGGAGAGGAATGGGTGTCCGCGGCAGAGTCCTCGTCGACGGCCAACAACCCACGAGACTTAATCAGGCGTCGGTTAGACAGAGCCGGTGGATGAACTATGCGGCCGGAAGCACTTCCAGAGGAATGAAGGGTGTGCAAACAGTCCATGAGATACTGGACGTGATATACCCACTGAGTGAACTATAAAGAAGTAATTGCGCTTTGAAAATATGAAAAAAAGTCATTTTCAAAATAGAGCTGTTTACTGCTAACGGCTTTGCAAATATAAAGCGTGACAATAAATTGAAGAACATTCTGACATCAGCTTCTAATGCAAGATGCAAACGAAGAGAAGGTTGTCAGTGATTCTGTGGCGAAAGCCGTGTCGACTTTGTTTGGGGGATACGCCAATTGCCGTGGATTGCAGATATACCCACACATTTCTGGATGTGAAGGATGGCATCACGCCAAGTGTATCCCATTTGACTATGACATCAGTGAAATTGTGACCAGACGTCTGGTGAAGCACATTTACTGTGCAAGGATTGACGAAGTAGAAAATCGTTTGGAAAAGTCCTACCATCAACAAATAGAGAAGGTTCGAAAATCGTGCCCGTGGAAAAGGCCGATTCTAAACCTAGAGACGCGAATAGTTGGTCAGCAAAGCAGCCTTTCTGAAAATCCGGCGGGACTTTCGACGATGTTTTCAATAAAAGACGCACCACGTTTTTACCTACGCCACATAATAGCTATAGTGTTGTCTATTTACTAAAATCCAAATATTCCCACAATTGGTTTTTGCTGGTGGTATTTGTGGTCAAAAGATAGGGCTTGAAAACACCACTTCCGCTCAAGTTGCATATCAACGAGAAGTTTGTCACAATCTCTAGCACGGTAGCGTTGGCATTTGCAGTCCAACTTGGCTCACCGTTAGACCGAAAACAGCAACCTCCGATTTGGCGAAACGAGCCTGCGTCTTTTCAAGCTGCTCCTTTTCGGAAGGTTTTCGCGAACTCACAGTAACTGGTGAAAAGGACACAGAGGAGGTAGTTGTGTGGTTCCCCCTCCTCGAGCCACCACCTCCTCCTCCGACACCACCGCGCCTAGACTGAAGTCCCGTTACTCCAGTCGCGGAATTGACTACCGGGTTACTTCCACGACGATATTTGCGGCAGGAGGCGGAGGTGGATGAAACCGCGCCTTGGCGCGAGGTACTAGGGTGAACTTCGGAGTCTATGGACTTGCCACATTCAGTGAGCTTGTCAATCAGAACGGCCATGTGGAGACCAGCGATGGTTGCGCTTTTGGCTGCGGCGACGAATCGAGGCGCTAAAAGAAGGGTTTGGAGGGCAAGATGACGGGCCCAAGCTAGTGCTGCACAAGTATCTCCATGCGAGACGAGACCCTGACAACGCGCAAAGTCAACCTATTAGGAAAAAGGAGCAAAGTTAGACAGGAAGAAAGCGTTCCGCCGATTGACGACTCAACTGAGGTCGTTAACTGGAGCAGGCTCGAACAGCCATTCTATTAGCTAATCAAACTGATATGGGTGGTCACGCATCCTCAGAGTACAAAAACAACCACACCCGCCTCACGAATACCATCCCTCGTCGATGGTTTTGTAGACAGTTGAGTTTGCATTCGCTCGAAACATCTTTCGGACATTAAGATCTCTTGCTCCGAAAACTTCAGCCAACGGAACTAGACAAGTACTGCAATCTGATTCTCACCCGAGATTCGCAAAATGGTTCGTTTAATTACACTATTTAGACACCAGAGTAGAAGACAAGTGGACGCCCATATTTCCTTCGGCACATGGTGCTTGCGTCTCAAAATTGTACTACACGAATACGACAACTTGAAACATATTGGAGTCCTTCACACGTCAACCTGAATATACTTAACAAGTTACCACTTCAAGTTCTTGATTTTTTTTGAGCCTGTAAGCCCCAGGTTTGCAGACACTCGGAGAAGTCCGTTCAATCTCCCCACTGACAACGACGCAGTCACAGACCAATACGAACACCTGGACAAAGTGCGGTTTGCGATACATCAGGCTGCTAAGCCACCAGCTCTGATCCGTTATTGCTCAGCGCGAAGGGCAGTACCCCGAAAAGAACCTCCCCTCCGCGTATTGGCATTGAGAGACAAGGTTGGTGTCAAAGCATGAAGGCATGTCGCATGGATTGATGCTGTTAGATATGTTCGTCCAACTCAAAAACGCAACGGCTACCTACATCTAAGCCTGGCTGGCTTTGGCAACCGTGAATATTCCAAATGGAATCATATCTTCCAAAAACACTCGTCGCTGTGAGACAGAACTCTTCAGGGAAAAATTAAATTCCAAACGAAACACAAGACTCCCGACCAATTAAATTTAGGCGAAGTTAGTGCCATAGCGTCGCTGGAGTGATCGTCTGGATGAGACCACTCAAAAACAAGGAGCCAGCAACAAAATTACTCTCTAGCAAAAGGCAAATAGATGGGATATCAACTTACTCCGAATTGACCTTTGGTAGTTGGGTAGTTGTGCCAGGCCGAGGGGTCTGGTTTTGAGGTGAAGTAAGGTACTTCTTCTTGCAACAAACGCCTAACTCTCGGGTTAGCGTGATATCGTGATTCGTCCATTTGGTCCTCATCGACGAAGGCCCCATCAAAATGAGGAATCACTGAGAATAAGATTAAAAAAATCGCTTCAGTACCGATCTTTAATTCGATCGCCTACTGACAGTGACGAAAATATCTTGGACAATAAAATACACCGAGCACAAGGTTGCGAAACGTGTGGAAACAGATTCCAAGTCAGTATCCACCCACAACCACTACCACAACCACAATTGTCTCGTTTTAACATAATATCTCGTAGAAATATTTTAGCCAAAAATCAGGCATTATAGCGTTAATAGTGAAACCTCAAATTCAACTACTCAAGCATGGATAGGTATTAAGTCAAACGCGAAGTTCTGCATGCGTGGGTGTGATTGTGACGCCAAAAGGCCTACAATTAATTCCGTGTATATTTTTTTTTAAAAATCTAGGTCTTAGTACGTGGAACCAGTATTTTGCATAGTTTCGATTTAAAGTACGAAACGCCAGCAGACACCATTCTTCGAATGTTCCAAAAAAAATCCATGCTAGAGGCGTGAATGTTAAAAAAAATAAGTTGAACTTTTACATTCTGCAAATTCGTCCTTTGATAGAGCATGGCTTGGAGGCATTTCTGGTGACCACGTGAGTCTAAAAGGTAAGAAAAGAACTATCCGAGGCATCTTAAACACTACCCAGTGAGGTGCCCTGGAAACTGGACAGCCAACCACGAACGTGTCCACAACAAAAGCGACGGCTTCTGATACTGTGAGCAATGCATTTGGATGTGGAACTGTATTATGAAACAAAATATAACCAGATTTTGAAGTCACAGGCTTATTATTGAATCGTAGTTTGGGACAAAAGGAAGATAATGTCACGAATGTCAGACTTCTTTATCGTTTAAAAGAACTAAGGGAATTATTATAGAGACTAAATTAGGTTTGGCATACACGTGCGTGTAAGATTAAAAATTTTTGTTTCCCTCACACCTAGGTAATTTTGTAGCAGAGAACCAAGTGACACGACACACGCCTCAAGTGTACAGCTCAGACTAAAAGGTAGCTATCAGAAACCACAGATCCCTTTGAAGTCCTAATCACATGGGTTTCCCTGCCATGAATAGCCACACAACGAGGAATCCGATAGAGTAGCTTCTTGTCTTTTAAATTTTTGTGGTTTTGCAACAAAAAAACCCTAGAAAACAAAATCAACATTCAGCAAGTTAAGACCTAGGTAATTTTAGTACGAGTTATCGGGTATCTTTAGGTCAAAAAACGTGCATACCGACAAGCATCCACGGCAGGTTTAAATCCAGTAAAGAGTTTCCTGCCCTCAGAAGAAAAGACATTTCTAACGGGGTCCTGTGAACCAAACGAACCACCCAAAATGAGGGTTTTATGGACAAGCATTCTCTTGAGCCCCATTTGAGCCTTTTCAATCGCCAATTGATGCCAGTTGAGAAGTGTTTGGGCGAGGTGGTCCCTCTGGCGATCCCCCATTCCTCCATCGCCTCCACGACGAAGTCTTGGGTCGAGACAAACCAACCGCCAAATATCGACGACGGCCTCGCACAGCCACGTGGCAGAATAGCACGACTGTTTTTGTCTGGCCAGATTTGAGGGCTTCGACACCATGGGCAGATTCAACTGCACGACGTACCACCAGGCCATGATCTGGGGTTTGATTGAAAATGCAAAGTTCAGGATACGAATGAACTCATGGCAGGGAATCGATGGTCACGAACATCAAATGTAGGCAGTCATGGAACAAATATGAGCAAAATAACTGGACGCTAGTACCGATGAATTATTTAGAAAGCCGCATTGACCTTAAAAAGGCCTTAATTCAAAAAATCCTCTTTGCCTCAAAGTTCATTGGTACCATTAAAGAAGCATACCGATGCACAATTGAGGTAATTGCCTTGCCCTTAAAATTATGCCTACGATACTTTTGCACACGTGAACGATTGATCGTATCTTCGCCGTACTATTGCGTGCATATCTGACCGTGTGGATCACGAAATGGAATCGGTTGTTAACGCTTACAAGATAGGCAATAGAGTAGACAGAAAGGCCTTGCTTCATTAACGATTAGTCTAATACCTCGTTATGCTTTTACCAGTCCTGACGAAATAACGTGCACAGTAGTGACAAGAACCGCACCATCGAAAGACATCTTCCGCCGATTTTGCCATCACCTGGAAGTGAATTTAAGACTAACTTGACTTCACATAAATAACAATTCTCCTTAAAAGTAACTCTGTGAGACAAGTCATCATGCCAGTATTCCCTAGTAATAGTGGGTAGTTATTTGTAAGGGGCTAGAAACCTCTCGACTATGTGCATCAGGGTGCTTTCAGTAGTGATGAAGAAGCCACCGAAAAAATCTGAGACCGCATTCAGTCGAGCTGGTAACAAATTGAACTAAATGTTTGATGTTTCTTAAATTAAATGTTAATTGGGTCTTTGTTCTCAATTATACCAGTTCAGAAAAAGCACAGAGCCGGAATTCATGAATACAAGCACTGTATCGAAGACGAAAAGCTGAACTGGTTAGAGAGAATTTGGAAGAGGAATTTTGCTAAAACGTTAGCAAGTCGTCACATCGATCCAGAAGACCATTTACTCCGAATGCGATTCAAGTTTTCTTCCAGTACAGACACATTCACAGTTTTTGAGTCAACACATGCATTATTATCTCTGGTTACAAAGTAAGGGAAATATGCTGTCGAAAATTGTTGCGAAGAAAAAGCCCACGCACTCTTACCTCCTCCATTTCAAGGAGACACCGAGTTACCACCTCGAGAAGAGGAACGGCATTCCGATCGTCCCGCCGCCTCATGTCAACAATGACAACAAGCAAATCCCACGCACCCCTGGGTTCGTAAGCGCGCAGTGAACGCAGTATACAGGTCATTTCTTCCACGCTGCAGGGCGAGTGTGAGTAGAGTGAAGAGAGGTCTCCATAGAAAATGGATTTAGGTGTGCAAAAACGACGCAGAGACAGGCGCAACTTCTCTTCCAGAACCGATCCGTCGAAGCACCAAGCGGCGATATCCCCGATAAAACCACCGGCAGTGGGATCTACAGAGGAAATTAGGGGCCTTTCATGAATGCAGTGGCGAAAGGTAGCTGTGGGCCTTCTGTAAGCGGTAACTTGCGAATTCAGTTCTAGCCGCAAGCAAGTGATTAACAGGCGGGCAGTCAACTGATGAAGCACAGATACAAAGACAACCTATCTGATCCTCTGAGGTACTAGGCCCTCGCCCTCTGTTGCTGATCTACAACCAACCCGCATTAAACAAGCCTACCAAACACTTAGTCATACAGAAGACAGGGGCAAATTCCAGAGATTTTTTTGAATTAATTTGTTCAACCTTTTTGAGCAGTTACCAAAATAGAGCTAAAGGCGCGTGAAATCAATTCAACGCGGAGATTTTGACGGATCAAAATTTACCTGGTGCTCCAGCGCAACTTTTTAGCGGATTATCGAGCGGTGCCAGTAGCTGGTCCAAAATGTTTTGTGCGGCGGGTAAAATCTAAAGCAGACAAGATCATGTGTAAGTTAAAAGTACCAGCCACTAGGAAGAACGATCGAAAGCGACAGTGATCACCAATACGAAACAGCAGCCTGCATGGGGAAACTGTTGTGGGCCCCAGCATGTGGTCTTGAACCATGCCGGGGCCACGGAATTAACCCTGGCCCGATTACGCTTGCCTGATACCCGCGATGAAGGAAAAAGGCCGGAGAGGACGTGGACACAAGCGTTTACTTCAGAGGTCAACCAAAACTGGTGTCGTTATGTCGTGTGTGGTGTTTGCGCATGCGTATTTACAGCTCGGATGTGTGAGTCATACATGCGCTAACATCGAGACCTACGTGTGGGGACACTCCGAGATAAATATTCGTGTTAATGAAAGGGGAGTTGAGGATTCGAGCGGCTGGCAACATGCTGCGACAAGGGAAACCCTGTGTAGGAGGTGGAGCGACCGGATTAGGGAGTTGGATGAACAGGATTCACGACAAAACCTAAATGCGCACCATTAAAAACAAATCGCACTAAAAACAACTTTACAGGTCCCTGGTCATTTCTGGGTGGCCTTTTTTACTACCAAATATAATAAATGTACATTAAATTTATGCATCGCATTTAATTCACTTTTAGGCAAGACCCACTGCGTTTTCTGAAAGCATGAATGTTCATCAAAAAAAGTAATAATTAGTTGACCCTTGGAAAATAATCCCGTTTAAACCACTTTGCTAGGCTTATTGAAATGTTCAGGACTATAAAGCAGCATATTTCATCAATGTTGGTTCAATCGATTAGAAGTAACAGCGAGTTGAAAGTGGAGCCAAATTACCTCGCGCACGGATTTCGGCCCGGGCAGAGTGTACTTTAAAGTCTGGAACACATAGCTAGTTAGTAATTAAATTACTATGTACGACTAATTTAAACCGTTTTGTTCCGCGATACGTTCTTGCAACGAGCAGCGAAAATCTCTGCTGCGGATTGCGAAAGTGGTCAAAATGACAAACTTGCAGAATTATCGATATTTATTTCAACTTCAATCGCAAAATTAAAAAAAAAACACTCAAACTAACCTTTTTTGCACCAACTTCGAAGATGAGATTTTGGGCAAACTTTTGAAGCTCTTCTTTGCTTAACCTTGAAAGTGATTCGGAGATCGGGGCTCGCAAAATAATTCCCTCAGAAGAACGAATGCGCTTAAGGCAGGTGGCTACAATATGGGCACACCAAATACCACCACCGGATGCTAGTCCTCTTTGCTTAAGTGAATTGAGAGATGTGGAGGAGGATGTTTTAAGGTCAGGTGTTGCATCGATGATCTTGGGCGGAGGTAGTTGGGAAGTAAGCGGCTGCTGTTGAGGAAGGCTTCCAAGTTCTGTCGCACAAGTGCATGAACAGGAAGTCAAATGACCACGATCGAAGGAAAGAGAAACTCGATGAACCGATGTGGACAAATGAGGGGGTGTTTGTGGGGTCGGTTCAGTCAAAACATTCGCGCTCAAATGAAAACCTGTAATTAGAGAAATCGACGAGTTATTGGGAGAGAGACAGCAGTTCATAGATGCCCAGTACTTTGATGCAATTTGATTCACGTAATAAAAAAGTACAGATATACAATGACGTGATTGTGCAGTGAGGCAGTAATGCGTCTCACATTTTGCAACGGCGACATGCTTAAGCAATCTCATCAATTTTTAAAATGGTTCAAACTGCACAAATTTAACCTATTAATAAGGAAAGACAGGAATCCCGCCTTAGTATGTGGGAACCACCTTACATTAACTGGCTACTACTTCGTCATAACTTGCAAAAAAAGATCAGTAAAGTGAGGAATAAGTCATGTCTTTTGAAACAAAATATAATTTCACACTAAAATGTTTGGAAAATTTGGCAGGTAACAAGAACTCACCTATTTGCATGCAGTCACGAACTGCGTCCTTGGCCCATAATGAAACACCTTCGTTAAAAGCGTTGGAGCCACCAACACTGAGACAGGAGTATAACCAAATGTCAGCCTCATTGGTAGGGAAGCTGTAGAAAGCGATTAGTTTTTGTAACTCCTCAGGAACGACGAATGGGCTCAAATCGACAACTTCGAACGGGAAATGAGTGGCAATATACCTCGCAGTTATATTGAGTAGAGACTGAGGATGCGTCACTTTAGGCTCTAAGGTAGTGCAAAAAAATATGCTAATGAAGTATACTGTTTAGGAATGATGCAGTTTAAGTCCAGGTCAAATAGTTTCCGCATTAAAGTTAAAAAATCTATGTTATTAGGACCGGACATACTATATAATACCAGGGAAATTTTTAACTTAGGCACAAACGACATTTGACGCAAAAAGAAGAAATACAACGGATTGATATTATTAAAAAGCTATTATAATATAAACCAGACTCTTAAGTTTTCAGAAGGAAACATGTAAATGTGAATGCACACATACGCGAATTCTCATAATGCCATCGAGATGGAACACCATTAAATCCATGAGTTAACAAATCTAAATCCAGGTCACTGCCAGAAGAGTAAGGCGAAAACTCAACGTCACTATCCAGATCATTTGGGGATCCTGGTGAATTTGAATGAGAGCTCATGGCATTCCGACGTAGAAAACACCTGAGAACGAGTTGGTGTGGGAGCCTAGAAGTGTGCACAGGCTATTCTACCAACAATTTCATAGCTAGTGCAATTGACAAAATGGTGAATGTATTTCATGTTAAATATTCATGCCCTGTAAAAAATTTGGTCTGCATAAACTATTATTTTTTTATTAAATTATAGGTAATAAGTTTTACTATTTTTTGACAGGCGATATCTACTTGAAAACACAACCAAATAGTGGTGTCCCCAATATAAGGCTTAGCGAAATTCATTTTAAGTGAAACCGAACTGTCCATTTTTGAAATTATTTGTAATATATCAAGTACATGTTGCAAATCTGATTTTCAAATTTTACTTGCCTTTGCATTTTTTAACGGTCGCCTTTTTTAATTTGAAACCTGAAACTACCTCGCATCTTAAAAGTATTTCTATCATTAGCATCATTGTACTCTTTTATTTTCGCTAGCTCTCTCGAAGATCTTATTATGGGACACGGTACGCTTTGCTTTAATGATAACTGCCGGGATAATGATTGTGCAGTTCATAAAAAAGCTTATTCTGATTCACGACTTTTTGATTTGACCTTAAATGGGTGTCAATGCTTGTGAACAATATTGTATTTTGTTATGGATATATTTGTCTCCTTCATGCTCTTTTATTATAAGTATTTGTGGATATAGTTGATAAACCTTTTAAGGAAATGCTTACTTAAACTTACAAAGCACAAATTTCCAAGCAAACACTTTAAATTTTTAAATGCAAGTTCAGCACCCCCACATTATTGCATAAAATCTAGGTGAGCCAAGTGTCCAATTACCTTCCTACTCTTTATTCATTACTTGTCAGCTACCAAAAACTTCCAAGACCTCATTTCGATTGCTTCAACTTATGAGAACCGTTGTACTACATACGCTGAGCCTCTTCATCTATACCTCCAATTTGACTTTATTTAAAATTGTGTCAATGAAATGAACAATTGATCGCCCTACCCTCCGCAGTGCATGAGCCAGCCTTGTCTTTCCCTACTCTGTACCTCCACTGCAACTGTTCCTAATCTTACTTTGTGCTGTGAAACTCTTGAAGGCGGGTCCAGGAAAAAACTCAATGTCGCTCTGTCCGGAAAGTACGTGAGGCCTCAATCGGTGTTTCACACAACAGCAGATCTACGGAAAATGACCCCGACCACAGCTGCACGGGCGACCCCTTGATTTACTTTGCAGGGATTATCCGCAAGTAGCATCTGAAAACTGTCATTAATTTTGTGCTTAAGTGCGTTTTTCTGCTTGTCATTCTCAAAGTAATATAATAGAAGCACAATTTGTGAGTGGTTAAAAATTAACTTTCTAGAGCAATGCTTTCTGAAAACGCGGACAAAGTGGACAGGATACTGACAAATGTGGGTCGATTTTCAGGTTGGCGCTTCCAACAGGTCTGTATTGCTTTGACAAATATATCTTCGCTTGCATATTTCGGCTTTGTGTAAATGGGAGCTCCCTTTCGTAGTAGATCGACAAACTCGTTGAACGGGACCTCGGCAGCTGGTGACTCCCCAAGACTGAAAAGCTCCCACAATAGAACGCCAAAAGACCACCTAAAACCGGAAAACCGGTTGATGAAGAACAGTTCAGGAACATTGCTGAACCTACTAAAAACTTAACTTACACGTCAGATTTTGTAGTAAAAACCATCTGAAAAATGGACTCCGGTGCCATCCACTTCACGGGAACGCGACCCTTAAAATATTAAAAAAAAAGAAATATTCACCTATGGGTTTCTTCACATCATTTGCGAATTTGATATTAAAATTTTGAGTACCTCAATAACAGACGCAGTCTTTAAGAAATGGGTTAAAGGAAGCTGCCCGATAAAAATTACCATAGCTTACCTGACGCTCGAAATAATGTTAAGACAACACACCCATGGCTGCGCGCTACCTCATTTTTGTAGAAAATATGTACATCAAACTCCAGACATTTAAAATGTGGAGTCAAGAGTTTCAATGAACCAGCGCTGGTAAAAAGTGAATAAGTAGTTAAAATTGACTTCTGGACAACTGCAAGGAATTTCAGTTGATCAATCATTTCTGTTTTTTAATCAAAGAAAACAGTAGAGTCGCTGGCTGTTGGAAATAAATATTGGAAAGGACGTGGGAAAAATTGGTTAACGCAGTAGAGAATCGGTTTTGCGGCTACACATCGCTGCAGTTGCATGCTTATTTCACGTACGGCCTCCAAGCCACTTTACTGCGCTCGAGACCTCATAAATTAAACTGAAACGCACTAATCATTTAAAAAAGTAACACACTAATGTCTGAGGTTCGGATGTGATCACTTCCAAGTAATAATGCTGCACTGCCCGAAATGCCTGTCAAAACCACCTTTTTTTTTTTTAGAGAAAACTAAATAGCTCGACCTAGCTGTGACTGTCACGCTGCTGCGCATAAAAAGATCGTGACTAAGTAACCAGATTGTTGACGCATTCAGTCTGGAAAAGTACAAATGGCTGGACGGCCACATGAATTAAAGGGGCATCGTAAGGGCGGTACACGCACAGGGGTTTGTGGGCAGACGGTTTCACTTAAGTGATAGCGACTTCGCGAAACTGAGGTCAATGTGGCGGGGACTACGGCTACTGAGTTAATGGACGTGGATCAGCACTACTCACTACACGTCGATCGATGAGAGAAAAGTTTGGAAGCGATTATTTGTACCGGAAACGGGAGCCAAGTAACTCTGGCATCGTACTCAGTGTGCAATTCGTACTTTTTTACAATAGAATGAGAAAGATTCAATTATCACACGGGTCAAGACTTCGAAAACTGGTTTTCAAAACATCGATTAATCAGAAAGAACTTGAATTGTTTATTCACAAATCCACCAATCAATGTGCTAGAACATCCAGTCTGAAGGTTCCACTTCATCAGCATCGGTCAAACAAAACTATGAGCATAATACAATTCTACAGGGTTTATGGTAATAAAGCACTCCTGGTTAAAAATTGTTTAAAGCAATTCCAAAAAGAGATTAAGGATTAAATTGAGAAACCGGTCTTCAGAGGCATTATGGAAGGGCATCACGACTTCACAAAATTTGATATGAACAATGGAAATAAACAACGCACCGTTCCTCTCATTCGATAGTACAATGCTGCCTTCCGAGTGAGACCGAAGTCAGCAATTTTCGCGACTAAGTCAGCCGCAATCACCACGTTCCTTGCCGCCAAATCCCGATGAACAATCTAAAATAGGCGAACAACTGTGAGTAAATCAGTTTCTACGACACTCTTTGCACTTCAAATGCTACAATGAGCTTTTACGTAGGAATACAAGCGATCAGATTCGGCCAACGGCATCCAGTCCTCAACATCGACAATTCTGCCAGTTTACAGCAAATCTGCTTATATAAAAACCAAAATAATGTCTGTTTGGAATACGTTTCTGATATCGTGGTGAATCATCATCATCATCTTGATGGTGACGATGATGATGATTAAAAACCATGATAGTCATTTGCTAGTGCATCTAAGCACTACTGGTGGTCAACAAGCGCTCTTTTTCATGTCCCTCACGGGGAAGTTTAAATTTCGAATACACTACCTTGAATGCACATCGCACAAATGGACCGAAAAGGCTTAGGCAATCTGAGAAACGGTCGTGTCTCTGCTATCTCCCGTTTTCCTAATCTTCCCGGATCTCTGAATTGTTCTTTCACTTCTCATGTTATTCCCGCATATCCCCTTGTTTAACTATACGGGTTTTGCTTAAACACTATCCAAAGTCTCCAATGGTGGTAAGCGACTGTATTTGCTAAATGCACTTGCTGTTTAACATTTACTCTTTACTCTACTTATTGTCGTAATATCTACTGGTCAGAACAACCGCAATAAAAAGCTACCTAATAGAATTATTTTGCTGTTTTTTTTTAGATTCCAGTGCTTATATCCACCGTTGATTATGCATGTGTTGTTTATAACAGTATTGAGTACTGCATAACTGGGTCATTCGTGAAAATTCGATTGCAACAAGCAAATGAAAGCAACTTTTGAACGTTTGGAAATTGCATCTCAACCACTAAACTCAAATTTTCTCTTTTGAAGCGGCCAAAATGTGATTACAACCAATCTGGCTGTGAAAAGCCTTAATGGAGTTTAAATTTCGATGGTGTAACATTAACCAACCGGTAAACCGTTGTAACCTGCATATAAAAAAACTATGCAAAAATAAGCCGGAAGAAACAAACCGACCGCCCAATTCGTGGGATTTGAGATAATCCGCATAGGATAGGAGGCAGTGTTAACGAATGTAGGCATGGACATCAATCAAAAACCAAAACCAGGACCACGAAGTCTTCCTCTATACATTGCGCTACCGTGGCCGCTACCGCGTTCAGTTTAAGGAAAGCAGTACAAAGTAACTTTGGTTTCGGCAAGTTTGTAGCAGCTTGATCTCAGCACTACCTTACAACCCTTTAATTAACAGCCCAAGACAACTCGAGTAGATAAGAGGCAACAGTGGACGCGACCGTTTATCAGCGTCACGCCATCCAAGTGTGTCTTAGTGTGTGGATGAGTGAACGGATGGCAGGCATTGGATACAGTAACCAATGAAAAGGGGATGAGTCATTGTCACCGTCAGGTCGGCAACCAGGGTTCACTCAGGCGCGACCGCTGTTAATCCGCTACAAGTTATTTGTGCTGCCTTTAGATTACACCAACATGGATTACATGCAATTCTAAACCGAGTCCGATATAACTGATTCATATAAATCGTGGTGCCGTAGGAAAACAATTCCGTTTTGTGTGACATGGTGGGACGCGACTCGCCCCTACTTCTAACGGGACAAGAGTATTAAGCATGAAAGACTTGAAGTTTCCAGTTTCTAAAACACTAGAATTCCTATAAATGGGGAACTAACAGGAACGTACGCCTTTTGAAGCGAGATAAGCCATTCCATTAGCCACTTGACAAGCGAACGAGAGGAGAGTGGATTCGGTTTTTGCCAGTGGTTGAGAGGACAGCAACGCCCGATTTCTTCGGAGATAGTTAACCAGGCTGCCTTCGGCCGCATACTCCATTACCATCACCGGACGGCCTAGAGGCAAATTGATCTGCATAGACTAAGGTTACCATAACGGCAATGGACGGGTCAGTGGTACTGCCTGTTTTGATGGGGTGCGCACCTTGCTCAGGACCACCCTCTGCAACGGTTCGTCTTCGTCAACACTTTTGCAAGTGAAACTTCTGTTAGGCAACTTCCATTAACTTATCACACAATCCCGACATTATTATTCCAATCTTAATCGAACATGACGACTGATAACACGCAACCATGAAACCACGCATGCACACGCACGCCCCAACACGACTTGACCTGACCACTTAACCAACGGCGGTGGCTGGGGTTGCTCTTAGCGTTTTACGCTCTTTGGACACTATTCGAAGGTAAAATGAATCTGACAACCTGGCCTATGCACCGGAGAAGATAGTAGTTTCTTTAAACAGATGGATCAGCCTCCTCCTGTACTATGGAGACAGAGACAGACGATAGTTTACAGGAGATTCGGTCCACTGCAAAGTAATCGAAGGAATGTGTTACTTCCCAGTGATGGCCCATATTTGCAAAAGGTTGAAATAACTTGACTAAGTGATAATTTGATCTGCTCCCCCTCCGCGAACACTCTCAAATGCAATGTCCTACAAAAGTAGTCGTCATTTCGTTAATTTTTGGTTGTAACGAAAAATGCATTAAAAACGTGCACCAGCACACATGGTCGGATGCACAAACAATTAGACCTACCATTGCAAGTGCTTGTGGCGTATAACTGGACAACATTTTCGTGTTTCCCGATGAATTTCATCATTTCAATCTCACGTACGAAATCAACAACATCGTCTTCCGATGAGTTAACTATTATGACAAAACAAGAGGGATATTACTAGCAATAAGGCATCAATAATCGTATTAAAGGAAACCCACGACTTTTCAATAAAAGCAAACATGCGATATTAGCTGATCACGAACTTCGACAAGCACTTCTTGGTTTTATCTTTCATGGCTGTTTGGTGTTCCACTGGGGAAAGTTTTATACTCGAATCATGCAGGACGACGGGCTGATGCCATGAAATTGAAAAGTCTGTGGCTTCAAAAGATACTTTAGTAGGATGCTTCATCATTAAAATCACTGCGATAAAATGACCACGGGGGACAACTATGCCACACTTCTTGCTACCATAAATAAAGACCGATTCATCTCACGGTGCCACCGTAGTAGGGCAACGGACAAGTCTTTTGATGGCTTAAACCGACGCACAAAGTACGTTGAAATGGAGGGCCAGGTGTATGGCTTGCAAAACATTGAAGAAGATGCCAGACATAATTATAGGATGAAATGAAAAAAAAACATGCTATATTATGTGGTACAACCTCCTACCTCAGCTACCTGCCTTGCTTTCCGTAACGACTAAAACATGCTCAAAAATAGTCTCGAAGCTTAAGCAGAAGAATGAATTTACGATGACACCTCGGTTTGTAGAATTTTTGATCCACCAGGCAGGCAGCAGCGCATTTCTAAACAATTGAACTGTGAATTCCAGCCCACGAATACCAACGTGGCTGGCCTAAGCCGTACCGTAAAGAGTCTTGATGGCCACAGGCAGCGGGCCGGAGACACCGCCAGGAAGACGAACGGCGGACCCGCGAAAAACAAGACCGAAGGCACCCTGGCCGAGGTTTCTACTGATTTCCAAGTTGCTGAAGGGGATCTCATAGGTGGGATCGACGGGAATCAAATACTCCACCTGGTCAGATACCCTACGGAGTATCGGTGTAAACAGATGTTCCTTGCTTTCTAAACAAATAAACAACTTTTGAAAGGTAGAAGCACTGATGGGTATAACTTTACATAAGACGTGAGCTACAACACCATCAATGCACATTACTTGATTCCTGAGATTTCAGAGGCTGGTTTTTTGAAACTTTGACGATGGACGCTGAGCCTTCAAGACCTTGGGAGTTGATATCAGAATCGACATCGCCATTCTCGTGTATCCCGGTGGGTTCTTGAAAAATACGCAAGAATGGATTACCCTTAAAAAGCATTTCTTTTGGTAAATTGTAAAGGCCTACCATTGGGCACACTATCGAATTCTGAAAGACGAGTTCTCACATGCCGGTAGAAAGCTTTTAAATACGTCCCGAGAGGGGGATGTGGTTCCGGCACTAAGGTGACCTTGGGAAGATGATCTGGAAGACCGTTGGGTGTCTCCGTAGAGTAAAGTAAAGATCTTTCAATGACCACTCGCTTGAAAATTACTTTACGGGGCCTAGTTAGCCAAATTCCCAGACAGAAAGACGCTAGCAGCGCCACCACCGCTACAGCTGCAAGCAACGACTTCAACGAAGTTCCCTCTGAAATAACAAAGCGAATTCACCGATTCAGCAGGATTAATCCCGGTTCTGACTTTATTAACACCTTTAAACAGCCTGCATACTTTTTACGAGTGGCGTTGCAGTTCGAAAACACGCGCTCAAAAGTACAACAAACCATTAAGCATGTTTCCGGTACGTTAAGTTACCATTACAACCGCCAAGTACCCGCTACTGCGTGGTGCATTTTTTAAATCAATTTCAGGCCTTAGAAACTGGTTTCAGGTTGAACTGAACAAGTCTGAAGACAAGTGAAATGGCATGTGTCATTGTCTAATTTAACCTTTCTTTTTTTATACCCAATAGCCTATTTTCGTGATTGACAATTCGATGTTTTGGAACTTTGCCTGAACATGGAACTTACTAGAACGCCAGGCACAGGAATCTAGACACGGGGTGTCCGGGTTCCAGTGAAATTCAGTTGATTGCGTAGAATGCGAAGTGAAACCAATTATGTGTCAGTAAAGCCAATGACACTTCAATAGCGAGATAAATCTGTACCGAGTTAAGATCAAGTGAGCAAGTATAATTTACTTGAATAACACCAAACATAGGCTTCAATTACTAGATGTTTCCCCTTACTCCGTAGTCACCACTAGGAGGAGACTCACATGCGAACTCGACCTGTACTCACGCCCAACAACCAAAAGTATTTCACTGATGTTACAGAAAGGTTAAGTAAATTCTATGTAGCAAAATTAAAACTCACTACTTCTGGTGCCACTGTAAAGATCCAGGTAAATCCACTTTGTCAGAGTCCACCCTTTGTTAGACGAAAAATCTACTACTGGTTTAATTTGGCAGATGTAAGAACCGACAGACGTCAAAGACATGAGGAAATTAGCCGTAATGAAAACACTTCCTTTCGGGCTGGTGTTTGATTTGTCGTAAAAAGATTCCTAGCAGAAAGACGCGAAGTTCATTAAAATTGGCATGGCAATGGGAAGTACACTATTGACACGACACTGGAAGCGATCTTACAACCAACAGAATCTGTGGTAGCATTAACATTCGCGTTAACAAGGTGCTGTTGCCAAACTAGGAATATTGAAGTAGAAGTTTCAGATTTGAACATAGACGGTTTCTCAGGAAGCAAGAATCACCTTTTTGGCTGAAACTGCAACTATGGGCAGATGACTTCAACTGCGGGAAGGAGGGACGTGGTAAATGACCAGTTTGTTATGGAAGTAAACATCAAAAAAAGCACACTACAGATTATTGAAATCACACTTCAATTAAACCAATTAAAAGATTTTCCGGAAGGACCCAGAATAGAGAGCAAGGTATGAGCCTAGCGCCCGGCTGCTTATGAAAAGTCCTTTGAAAATACATTAGCAAAGGTGCTCAAAATGTACACAAGTACACGAATAAACTGCATTGCAATTCTCCTCAACTCTATATTGCATAAGTAGAATGTTTCCACCGACCTACTCTGGTTGACGAATGACCCTCTACCAATACATCAGACTATCGTCTTCGTTCTGAGTTTTGACAACTTGGCGTTGTAAAATGATGTTTTATTGGGCCAAAACTAGTTGCATGTTAACTCATTCACATGGAACATGTAACAATATGGCAAGTAGGCAGCAAAGCATGGGAAAAATGTTGACAGCTCGCAAAGCTTGTTAGGGTGTCAGCTTAGAGCCCCAATCCGGTATTTGCCAGACAGGTAAGCTACGTGCGGTATCTCTTCATCAATCCATGAACAGGGACTTACTGAGAATGTGCCAGCAGTCGTGCATGACCGGAAAACCAAAGCATCTATCTATCGCCCAAAACAGGGGGAGCATTACATCTCACCAAGATTACACATACAGTTGATAATCCAACCATACAGAGTTCATTTTAACTAGCTTCACTTATTTTTAAATATTCAACAAACTCCCCACGGAAAATTTAGTACGGTTAAAGCATTTTTAACAACAATAACAACACTCGGAACTTGCGTTGATAATTCTGCCATCCCTACTGTGGGCCATTTGCAATACATCGGGAAAGATGAAATCGGTTGAAATGGCTGCGTCATACACCGCCGACGGCATTTTCGCTTTTGGCAAGAAGGAGATAATCATCTTGAAGCCAAAGGCAGGAGGCGGTTTAAGATAGTATTCACAGCGGAGGTTTACTCTAGTATTTTCTTCCAGGCTGTCGGAGACGTTAAAAACAAGTCCATTGAGTTTGAATGGAGGCGGGCGCAGGACCGAACAAGACGGAGCAAAACAGAGAATTACCAGCGGGAGCAGAGGGCACCCGTAGGGCATGGTACCAACGCGAAACTGAGGCGAACTTCGGCGCATCGAGTACACCGGTTGATGACCTTGAGCTAGAACATGCACGAGCATGTGCGTCAAGGCAATCAGCTGACAGTTCCGGCCACAACGGCGTGGGAACTGACGCATGCACGTCAGAGTGCCCTGTCGCCGACATGTTAAATGTGACTGCAACCCACGCGGGGGGCTGTTCTGTCTAGTTCATATTGGAAAATGCTATCGATCGCTGCTCGCCCCACTGAGATCTGGCATTATGGCTCACAGGTGTGCCGATTTGTTACGTCGGCAGTACTAGCGATGTGATATTTCTGCTATACAGACGGATTCACTAACAAGTGTAATGGGTTAGCAAAAATTAACTCAGGTTTCGTGGTGTAAAAATGCCCTTTTGCAAGTAAAAAAGGAAATTCGGTGACCGTTTGCCATCTTTTCGGTTACTCCAAAGTCACGCGCTCTTAGAACTCTCCCGATCCTCATCCGCGATATCTAAATGAAGTGAAATTTCAGGTTGTCATTGTCGCAAATGGAAGTTTTACCGTCATGAGAATTTTGCAAACCTTAAAATAAATTGTAATCCGATAATGTATGGACAGGGCTCTTTGAGTGATCCAACATCACTATCCAACAAAAGTCCAATAATGTTGAACAAGTTGCCGAATATGCGTGAGACTGCTGTAACATGATTCACTAATTCTAGGGTGGATAAATTTGGTGTTGGTAAGCAGCCCAAAATACGAAGCACGTTTTTGATCTCATCGTGTTCTTTGTGTTATATTTACTGACCTGATTCAGTTTACGATGCGGTATGGGAGAGGGGTAGCCTTGAACCGGCGGAATCATCGTTTTTGATTGATGATATTGTAGACCCCTATCAACGCTGACACTGGATGGTTTAATTGCGTTTGATTTGCTGTTTGTTAATGGCATTTCTTCCTTGTGGATAAATTCTTGCCACCTCATGAAGAAACAAAATATCGATTAACTTTTAACTAGCTCGTGTGATCAATTTGACCATTATGCGGTTTCTAGTACAATTGCATGACCATGGTCCCATTCATTCATCTCTTTGATTTGGTCATGATCAACTTCAGTAGGTTGACCACGACGTCGGTCAATTTTGAACGACAACTTTCAAGGTCAGTAACTTGACAGGTGGGTTTGACGGAGATCATCACGTCGGGGTCACCAAATGTAGTGGCTTATCGTCTAAGCACTACCTTACAACCCTCTAATTAACAGCCCAAGACAACTCGAGTAGAGAAGAGGCAACAGTGGACACGACCGTTTATTAGCGTCCCGCCAGCCAAGTGTGTGGATGTGTGAACGGATGACAGGCATCGGGTACAGTAACCAATGAAAAGAGGGATGAGTCATTCTCACCGTCAGGTCAGTAACTAGGGTTCACTCAGGCGCGATCGCTGTTAATCCGCTACAGGTTCTCCTTAGCATCTATCAGCATAAATTTTACAAACCCCGGTGTGACCCTCGCCAGCTTTCTTGCCTTCATGAATTTAATGGGTCAAACATGCCGAAGGTTTTCGTTTGTGCATTCTATGTTGACAGTGGCCCTACACTCTGCTAAATTTTGGGCAATTTTCTACATAAGTTAAGTTAACGTGAAATCCATAATGTTTCAAGGAAAGAAAATCGCAAAATGTACAGATATCCACTTACACAAATGTATTTCCATTCATGGAAACTGAAATTGCGTTCATGTTTAGTATCTTTATGAATGAAAGAATGGAGATCTCGAGAGATCTAATATGGATGAAGGCCAGGCACATAACCACCGAAAAATAAAAATTGCAAATATTTTCGGAGTTTGTTTAAGTGCTCTCAGCTAAAAACGCTTGTTTGGTTTTAAGGTCCCAAAGTCTTCAAAAATCGACTCCACTTGAATTACACAAACCTTTTGATCCTTAGTTAAGGCGTGCCCTGCTCTTGCTACCATGGAGCTGGAACCACATGCCTCTGCCCATTTTCTATTCCTAAAATCTGCGCCAGGGATCTGATCAGTCTTTCTGGAACCCATTACACAATCTTTCATAACTAGAGTGAATCCGACTGAAGATGCTTTTCATCTACAGATAGTGAATTTGACCTCTACGACAAACCAAACTGTACTAAGAAACACTGTGTGGAAAAACCTTTTTGAAATCAAGCTTGACGTAAGAGGTAGCACCTCCTTCAGGCAAGCAATTTGCATTTTGCCACCTTTATTACCGCCTGAATCCAGCCTCAGTATAAAAGCACCGTAAAGTAAGTCAGAAGTGTTTTTTTCGATTTGTAAGGAGTTATCGCAATACAAGCAATAGGACAAAAATTTGTGTACACAAGTGAGCAGGGACATTAGCCGAGGAAGAAAGAGCACACGGTTTATTCAGAAAGGAGTGGGCCAAGCGGTAATTCCACATAAACAAACTAATAAATGACTAAGGAATTAATCGTGTGTCGTGCCTAAGAGAACTGGCCTGGGTTAATTAAATCAGGCAGAATTCGATTAACAGGATCAAAAGACAAGTGGCCATTTGTAGCCGGTAGGGGGACTCTTTGGCATTCGGATCTGCGCCAAATTGGCTTGCGCTTCCTTGAACAGGGTTTTCTTCCAAGAATTCTAAAAATAACAACAGCGATCGTTCGCTATTAACCGAATAAGAATCTAAGTAGATCGTCGTAGGGCCCTCCAGTGAATCGGTAATAAATTCGCTGAACGACAACCAACGACAACCGCCAAAGGGAGGTCATGGAAAATCTTGGCCTATGGCATTTTTACGGAAAAAAAAGATGGGCTAGCCTATATGTGTGTCAATGGGTTTACTTTGCTTTAAAATGTACTTGGAAAGGATTTTTGTTTAAATGAAATCACTACTGCAAAATGAACCTTGAATACTATTAATCAGATGTCACCAAATTTCTGTAAATTTTAGAATCCAGCTGACACCTGGATCTTAAGGCTACCAAGTCCCTACGGACTACGAAAATTCAGATTTGAATCAATAATGATGGCAAATGGTAAACAAAGCAGTTGCGCGTAAAAAAACTATTTAAAATTTCTACCTATGTTATGAGCTTACCACGAATTTCCTCCAGTGAAATAATAGCTCTGGCGGTTCCATTAGAGTGTTGGGACCGTCTGGTGAAGTCAACAAATTCCGGCTGTAGTAAGGATGGCAGAAGTGGGTTCAGCCGCCGATACTGACAGACCAGGTGTCCTCGAACCGATTCGCAAGCAGGATCCTGCGTGAACTTGGTGAGTACTAGCATGTCGATCTCTTCGGGCGAGTAGAGTTCAGTAGTGTTGGTCTGTGGATTGTAGAATTCTGAGCCAGGCCAGCTTGCGAAGGTCTTATTTAAGCCGGGCCGAAAGCATCTTAGGAGCTCAGATACTCTCTGAAATTAAAAGGAGACAGACTAAATTTTTGTGCCGCCTTAGAGCCACGAAACCGCGCAAGTGCCCCGAGAATTATGACATTAAAAAAGATGATAGTTTCAACTAGGTGATGCTCAGTCATCATTGATGTCACCATTGCACCCTTGAAATAAGCAACTAGGTCGCTGGACTAACTGGGGAACAAAATACTCCAAAACAGATCGGGAACTTGGACTCGAGAGTGATTATAATCGCCTCATTACTTTACATCACAGATAGTGTGAGGCAAAGTGAGCCGGCTGAGGTCGAGTGGCCAAGATTAACTTATTTTTGGTGAAATAGAAACAAAGTCTGCAACTCGGCAGGTGAAAAGCTATCGGTTCGATAAATGCGGGGTCGATTTTGGGCCTTTACCTTCGATTTTATGGTGTTTGGGTCACCGGTATCACCAGGCTGATGGCGGAAAGGAAGAGTTGATATAGAAATTGAAATGCCTTTCTCGAAAACTTAAAAAAAATCTCTCGACGGTTCTAAATAGTAGTGGCCTGTACAATTAGACAAATGCAGTGTCTCTTTATTGCTAATATACAGTTGTATGACAGGTAAATGCCTACATCTCGGTTAGAGGGTGTCAAGTCTCCGAGGTGTTGATCACCTATGAGATAGACGGTGTCTTTATCCGCTTCTTTGAATGCCCATTCCAGTCGTTCGTGAGAAGATGAAGGATATCCAGTGCAGCGCAAAAGCGCCTCCCCACTATCACCAAGTTTCACGGGCTTGGACATTTCGACGACTGTAAAGCCAAAACAGGTGAACATCAAACCTCTCTAGTGGATAGCTTTTAATTGACAATGTTTACAAGTACTATTTCAAAAGTCCAGTGCTTCACTGATGTCAAACTCGAAAATAGTTGAAGGTTAGGACCGATCCACCGCAATACTTATAAAAACGGCAATAATTTCATTTGAAATCCTGTTCTATCTCTGCTGCATCTCTCATCAAAGCGAACCTCCATGTAGGAAATGCTGACGTTGTGAGACAAAGCGATTCTCAAAAAAAAACAGTTGGTAGGCGGTCCTGGTCCTGTTTTCTTACGAGTATGATATCTTTGGTGCAACAGGCTACCCAGCTAAACTCACTATTGACACGAGACTTCTCCAGCAGTCAACATGGGCACTGCCCGGCGTGGAGTTCATTACCCAGCTTCTTGTGTAAGTAGTTAAGCCTTGTAAACACATGTTGTTGCCTTCGTTCCACCTATAATTTACCTTTCCAGTCACACCAGCTGAGGAAAAACACTTGGCGCAATAATAATTATTGTACTACACCATTTAAGGTGTGAACGAAAAGCGAAGTATTGAAGTGAAAACGTCGGGGCAGATGCAGACAGAATTAATGTTGTTTGGCGTTTTGTACTAACACGGCTTTGATGAGGAAAGCTTGACTTACCGGGTGCGATGACGTTTCCATGCTTTACGCACCATTTACCAACTGTCCATGTCAAAACGGATAGTTTGTGAAATGCTGTACCGGACATTAGTAACGGAGGGGGTGCATAATTTATGAATAACAAATTACATTTACGTTGAGCTAATGTGATTTCCATTCACCCCAAAACTTCTTGATCGTCAATAGTCTTACGCATGACCGCGGCATCCACGGGTTAAGCGTACAGCGAAGCTACAGAAGAATCGCCCTCCCACGCTTTTCTTTAGTGGCTTAGTTCCCTCAAATTTCTTTGTATTACCTTGACAGAAAAGGGCTAATCGAAAATGAATGAGTTCTTCGTGTTCACCGTCACTGGTTGTTCTCATTACCCAAGTTAGTACTTGGCGGGTATGTTGAGGGCCCCGCTGTGTGGAGTTTGACACGATTATGCTATTCGGATACCCGAGTAGACAAGACGACCAGAGACGGCAGGGACATAACCGTTAAGCAGACAGCTCAACTGGGTGACTGTCACGCCACCGCACATTAAAAGGTCGTGAGTAAATAAAGGTGGTTGTTGACCCATACAGCCTGGGTGAAGCCATTAAAGTACAGATGGCTGGACGGCCAGACGAATGAAACGGGTGGTGTGGCGGCGGTGTACGAGCAGACAGTTCCACCTGATTGATAGGGATGCCATAAAAAGGAGATCAGTGTGGCGAAGAATGCGACGACCGGGTTAATGGACGTGAATCAGCACGATTCACTACACGTAAAATCAGCGCATCTAAATTGACTTTACGCGAAGTAAATTGTTGCGACGGACACCTGCTGTTTGCTCAGCCACGTCCAATGGCCGTCATGTTGAGAGAACTGCTACCCGTTCAAGGGATATTGTAATATCCTCACTGATCTTATCCGTATTCTGGTTGCCGGTTTTATAAGATTCACAGAAGAATGAAGGACATTCCTATTTACTAATTATATTCCAGAATGATTTCGCGGTCTCCTGCGTTCGCCTACATTTGTCTGGCACTTGACGTCATTATCCACCAGTTTCGACTTTGGGTTCGAGGTGCCTCTTTGCAACAAGTGAGTTCATGGTGACATTTGAATCTCCAGCGGTAGCAAATGAGGCATGAAAGTTAATTTATTGTAGGTTTTGATAGACAGTGCGGGCCAGTATTTTTAGAGTTGAATGGTCAAGTCTAATACATTAAGACTTTTGGTGGTTCACATCCTCGGTAAATGATCTTCCGCACTTTTTATCATTCCCAATCGTCACAAACGTTGAGCAGCCAAATGCAATCACCTCACAAAATCTAGCGATTTCGCTCTCCACTGAGATCTTGGAAATTGATCATTTTTGGACCATTTTTTAACGGTCATAGAAATTTTGCAATGCCCAACACTTGGCATCTACCAGTTTGCTAAGATTTGATTTCCAAAGTTATTACCAGAGATTGAAAAAGGGTTTATGCAAAACGCTTTGTGAAACAGAACATGATTAGAAATGAAGCCTACAGACCAACAGGTTAGTTTTGTAGTGAATTGTACTGATTCACTTCTGTGACCTATGGCTCAAGACCACATGCAGGGACCGACAACAGGTTCATTAAAACTGTCACAAAGTGGCATGTAAAACAGAGTGGGCGTGATATAAAAGCGGCTTAGTACCGTAGAAATAGCGTCAAAGAGATGAAGAGGACGATGACCAGACATTATTCTTACGAGGCAGATTTTGCTAACGGATATGCATGGTGTAGGTTTACTTTTATTCTCTGATTACTACATGACCCATTTTCAGATTATTTATCCACAGAGAGTTGAAAGTTATGGTTCTACTTTTTTATTGGCCAGGAGTCAGTCATAATTTATCCATGAATTACGCTACTTTGCTTAAAGAAAATCAGTTAAAATATTAAAATTAACAGCCTTCGCAACAAGCTTTTGAAGGATTTCCCCTCATAAATTTCTGATCTCTTCAATTGAGTAAATCCAAAATTATTCTCTGCTATTCTTAGGTCTTGTCAAGTAAAAACTTGGTTTGGTCCAAAAATGCTTACCATGCCGCCACCAGTTTGCTGTCCTCAATTGATCTCGGGACAAACTTTCCTATCGGGAATAAACTGATAAACCTTTAAGTGTATTTTGACTGCCTTTAAAAGCCACAAGGCTAAAAAAAGTTAAGGTAGACACCCATATGGAAGTGTCTGGTATTTGATTGTTTTATGGACCTTGTCTCTAGGCTAGAGGCTAAACTTGAAAAATAACAGCAATAACCCACCGCTTTCGTAGTCGATGTCAACAGAAGCGTACTGGACAGCCTTCTGTAGAACCACGGTCATTGGCAACATTTCCTCTCGTGTGAGTTGTAGGAGTGCTCTAGGAAACGCGGCGCACACGTACCTTCCTTGAGAGGTTGGCGTGGTTCTGACACGCAGAGTCACCTTCCTGGAGGCATCCATCCCTTCAGTGATCTCATAAGGCCCGTCTTCTGTAGTGCCAAGTGCCTCAAATTTCTCTTCAGCAGGGACGTAGCGGGACCACCACAGCTTTTGTACACCCTCGTCAATACCACGGCTTTCGCAAGTCAGGGTGATGCTGTCCCCGAATTTAACCTCATTTACTGCCAGCGGCGATCGCTTCAGAGTGAGCGCTAATTTACAATTTAAGGGTAAATAACTAACAGGTCCACTTGTAAGTCCCAAACTGTTACTCGTGTCAATCGCTTTTCCATGTTAGAAGACCTGAAAAAAGCAACCTTTTCAAACCCCCCTGTCGCAGTACCCCATTCCGAGTCTATAATATCGTCTAGTGGAGAGGTGCAACATGTCAGTTTATTAATGCCTTCATGCACACTAATGCCCTGGGCAATTCCTCTGCTCAACTTCTTAGTTTTGCATATAGGCGCTTCTATAAACAGATGATAGCTATGAGGCTGGAGTAGTAGAGGGGATCAATGCCCAGATGTTAGCTTTTTTTAATTATTTGGCAGACTATGGACGAAAAACATGTCAACATTGTGTGTTATTTAAGCACCGCCCTTTATTTAACCTCCCCCAAAGCATCTATAAGAAATGGCCGTGTTTCAGTGTTAGAATATACAAACTTACTTTCATTGATGCGCAAAGAAAATGTTTGCGACGCCTTGTCGTCGCCTTCAGTAGGTTTGAGCAAGCACTGATAGTCTCCAGCATCTTCTGCGGTTACCTTCGGTAAGAAGAGGGTCAGACTCTGTCCGCCTCGGGTTGCGTTAGACATTGGAGTATGACGAGTCTGTGGCACCAGCCGACCGTCCAGCCTCCGCCAGCAAAGATCACCAGCTTGATTTGTGGAGCAGGTAATGGAGACGGCCATGCCCGGATTAACATCATGACTGTACCTGTCAAGCGTGAGATCTAGAGAAAGGATGGAAAATACTGAGAGGAGATGTAGGATGGATGTAGACACGACAACTGAGTTAGCTGAGTTCTTCAGGCAGGTTTGTAATATGATACGCCACAGGAACAAAATCAACAAATAATTGGGTATCTTCAATCGCAATAATTGAGGAACCAACAAGGTCTGCTCTTTTGTGGATATGATAGCTGGCTTCTTTAGTCACATCCAAATAACTAGGCCCTGAGATTTTGCTAAAAATTATGCTTACACGATTTATAAATGTGGCGTGGTGTTTCTAAGGAAATAAGAGCGCAGAAATACTCATTTTTAGGTGTTCGACAAGACACAAATCAGATGTCTTCTGTGTGAATACAACCAGCGGACATGCCTTACCACTAAGGTGTACTCGTGACTAATTTGATACCAACTTATAAGAATGTAGTTCCACTGACAACTAACCACTTTTTGTGGATGTCATTTTCCATGGAACAACCTTTGGTGCAAAGCAAATCGGAGGTGGCAAAGTTACTGATGCGTACATCCGAGGGACTATGTACATCATTTAGGTTGCATGTATTTCACTCATTGAAATCAATTTTTGCTTAATGAATGAGATCTGTCGAAAGTCAAAATCCGGTTTATACTTAAAACGACGGCCTTTTAGATGTGTTCCAAGGGCCTATCGGGACGTGGCTTCGCACCCATGAGAAGGCAAGACTGACGATGTGAATATTAGTATTGGTGAGCTTGCTTAACCATCACCGTATTTCATTATGTCGATTTGCTTTGAAGCTTACCATTTACAATCAAGAGAAATTCAGCACATCTTGCTGGTTGGCCATAAAAGTGTTCAACCGGGGGTTCGGGGGAGCAACAGTAGACACCCGCGTGACTATCATTGATGGAAGGAATGCTAAGGGATGCGTTGAGGAAGCCTCTTGCGTCCGGGAATGAGGCTGTTCGAGAGAAGACACCCTCTGGCATTGGCGCGCCTCCGACGCGGTGCCAGACAACCTCCTTTCGGAACCGGGCGTCAGTGCCCACGGCTGCCGAGCAGTTAAAATTGAGGCTCTCACCGGGTTCCTTGATCGCATACTTTTGAGGAATGCAAATTTCTTAAAATTAGAGGAAGCACGTTTCAACGGGACGCATCCCAAATACTTAAACCACGGTTTACTACAAGGAAACAGTTGTATTAAAATATGTTTAGCCCGAATTTACGAGGTTTAATGGAAGTAAGTTTCGCTCAGTTAGCAACAGAATCTCTCTCGTAAAATTGAAGAAGATAACCATGTAAAATTCAAGAGAAAAGAGTTGATTTTGAATGATTTATCTGTATGGATTTCTTACTATTGTACACAAATAACCAAACTTAAAATGAAAATATACACAACTGCTAACCCGACATAAACAAGACATCTAGTTGATGCCTTTTGACTTTTGGAGATGCACTATAAAAGAGATAATAGTTTTTCCTGGCATTTTTTAATGTTTAGGTTGCCAGAAGTCGTAATTCGGCCAAACAAGGATTAACTTAGCCATGAGGTTAAGAATCATGGGACTGGCAGCATGTTTCATTAGCCACTCGGTTTATGACATGCTCACTTTTTCCTCAAATATAACAAACGTAGCAAGACAGCAAACTGTTTGATGCGATTTCTGTTGCGTAAGATATCTGGGGGTAATTTAAACACATAGATCAAACGTGTGGAGCCAAAAGCTCAATGAAAACTCGTAAATACTACTCGAAAAAAGCTACTATTGAAATTTCATGCACCCTATAGGCTAAATTAGCAATAAGCTGCGTTTGACCTGCAACGTATTGTTCCTGCAGATATATTTCAAAGGGTTTAAGTTGGCTTACCGTCAGGTGTAGTAAACGTAACCGGCGGGGACATAGCATCAGAAAGTGGTCCTGGATATTTCAGGAAACCCTAAATGGGAACAAGACGGGGGTGTGAAGATTGAATTGTCTACTAAAACCAACTCATGGAAGTTGTGCCATACCCTTATCTTGTATTCCCTTCCAGGCTGCAAATTGTCCACCTTGTAAATTCCACCGATTCCATAGTCGCTTGGTTCGAGTTTAGCGTATTCCACACCCTCAATGGGCATTTCCACCTTTCCCCTCGTCAGTATTGCATACGCTGTCAATTCAAAGGTTGCGTCCATATCCTCAGCCTTCGCAGTCCCACATGGAGTCTTGCGGAAGGGCAAAAGTGTTACTATTTGGGACCTTGACGAGGCGCTTTCCTTGTCCACAGAAATTATCGAATGTCCTACAAAAAAGCAATTACGATGTACTTATTGCACATAGGTAGTGTGTGTGTGTGTTTAGTTATGGAGTGTCAATACCTTTCAAACCATGAGCGAAAGCCAACTCGGAGGGGACGCCGAGTACGGTCTGATTCTCAGTAAAAGTGCGGTATTTTGGGCTGATAGTGACAACGTAATTTGCCGGAATTTCCTTGTTTTTTAGGAGTTGGTCCACACCCCAAAAGTGGGTACTACAGCCGCTTGTCGCCGTACCTACAATGCAAGAAATATCACATTACTCGCACAGTGGTGATTTTGTAAATTTCACGCAACACCGAAGCTAATCCAAAATTTAAATGCTGTTGGCGCAGAGCGTCCTTTTCAGTGTCAAGGATATTAATCTAATATTGACGCACGAAGCTATGTTCTTTGCATCCACTAACGAGAAAGCACAACTGTTTGATCAAATTTTTATAGTAGCAGAGATTTGTCGCTTCAAAATGTGGTGTAAAATAGTGTTCTGAATTGAGGACTCAGTTTTTACTTAAAAGCAATAAATATGGCCTAGTGGAAATGAAACATCCTTTTAAAGAGTGAGAAAATTAGATGCTCATTAAGACGCAGTATTTTGTACATCATGCGTTTCCAGATAACAGCAAACCAAGTAAGGCTAAATTAACGTCTTAAGTCTGCTATTTATAATGAGACTCCCTTTGAAAAGTGCTCGTTGTACTTAATATATTCCATTAATCTATGCTTTACCTCATGGGGCCAAAATCGTCCAACCACTGCATGGTCTTGATTAATTTTTCGTTGTAAGCCAAAACCTAGCAGTTGGGCTTTCTATTTGCCCATGCAATGCCTTACCAATTGGTTGTTCTGGTGAGTTTCTCCAATGCGGACTTCGAATTAGCGATTTTGGACGACTACTGGGCATGAATTAGGAACTTTGTGCAAACCATTCAACGTGTTCCCTCGTGAATGCTTTTGCCCGTGAGGGCTGATGAATCAGTGCATTATTTTTATGTTTCCGAACCAAATTAGACTACTGCTTTCACATCCAAGTGTACCACTTTTACGCCAACAAATGACAGTCAGATCACGCTTGTAAGATCATAATTAGTTATTTTCTCTCTGTTTGAACTAACATGGATTGAGTTAGTAGGTTTTACAAATTGTGATATTGTTTTTCGGGTATTAAGGTTAGGATAAGCAATTGGATAGCTTGTAAATCCTAAATATTATTAAGAATTGGCAGGAAATAACAGGTCAGAATACATTCTAATTAGAGAACAAACACAAAAACAAGTTCACTTTGTATTGAAAACCCTTGTTTCAGTTAATGTGATTTGAATACATTTTTACCAGTAGTCACATAAACCAGCATTACCTTATAAAAAGGCCTATACAATGGCCGTTTCGGTTAACTTACAATTAAGTGTAGCCAAATCATGGAGTGGAAGTGTTTCTTTGGGGCCACAGCCAACATCTTCCGTTGAAACGACAACTGAATAATCCTTAACGGCTGGTCTGATTTCAGGCGAGACAAAAGTCCATGAAAGCATTCCAGTAGCACCCTCAAATTCAATGGAGATTTTTTCATGATCTGCTCAAGGGGAAAAACGCAGATGCCTCGTGGAAAATTTCCCACAAAATGAAATGAGGTTAATTAAATATCAAAATATATATTTGCACCAGGAGGCTAGGCCTCGAAGAGAATTATACTCAGTGGCACGAGGATAGGTAAATAAGTTGCCTGAAAATTCTACTTTATATGGCTCAAGAGAAATGTTCCGTGTCGAATCATGAACTAAAAAAATGCATTTCGAAACAACATTTCATAACTTTATCCACTAGGAAATCTGGAATCTGTATCAGTCCAAGCATAAACCAATTTTGTCGTTTACACAAACGAAATAACTTCAGGCTTAACAAGACTCGAACGGGAAGTTAAATTGTGCAACATTAAATCAGAGAAAAAAAAAACATTTTTAGAGAAAGTGATGGAATGTGCATAAAAAGTCGTGGGTAAATAAATTTGGGTGTCATCGCAGTGCATAAATTCTCGTCCTGCGGCTTCTTATATGAATTTTCCAAACCAAAGCCATTTAGCATTTGTTGCCAGATCTGGATATGCTGCTTTCTTCTAACACCGATTTCTTGTATTCGTCACAACAGCGTAAGTACTGATGCATTAACTAGTTTCTCTCTTGTTGATGACGTTAAGGTCGCATTGTGGTGTATCGGTCACATGGGGGAAATAAAGCTCCATCTCAAATCGAGTATGGTTATTTTGGTCGTAGCCGAAGCCGCTACTTTTTTTGTGCCTCCGAATACAATCTAACTGTTTTCACGCATAATCTGATCGTCGATAAGAACGACAGGCAATGAACCATTCTGTGCAAATTGATTTTTATGACAATAGGATTAAATGCGGTTCGAAATCTTGATTCCCACACTTCTCAAGATCTTTCCTGAAACGCAATGGTGGTTGAGCCTTCCTCTCTTTAATCTACGTCAATTTTTTATTTACCATTTTAGAAATCATTCAAGTTATTTAAACAAAATGTCGCAGACAGACCAGAATTAACTCAAAATTATTGCACAGTTTTGAGGATCTCGCTTCCTCAAAACAGTTACTAATTGAGAGACCTGACGATGACCATGAATCCTAAAGCGGCTTTTCTGAACAAAATGAGGATAAAAATAAAGCAGCTAGTCAAAGTAGCGACCATAAGAGGTGGCCATTCCAACCACCAATTTCCAGACGCACGCTTAAACATGCTGTACAGTGTTTACTTTCCAATAAAACAAAGGATGCTGAGTTATTTTGAGTGACCCGCGTGCGTCATAAATTAGGCTAAAGGTTTCTGGCAAAACAAATAAATTTAGCTGTCAAGTGGTTAAGTAGAAAATGAGTAACGTCTGCTGCTAGACACACAAAGTTAAACTGAACCGCAGTAAGTGTACCTCTAACGTCGATGCTCCCTTATTGTTAAACAATATACAAGCACCAATAAGCAACTGTGGCATTAGTATTCTGAAAAAAACTGCTATACGTGAAATGCAAAGCTGCATAGTGAAAGAGGACAGAAGACGCCCTCATATTTATCGCAATAGATCAAAGTCAAGCTCTTCGTTATTTCGCCATTACTCCTATTAACAACTGTGACGGTTTCTATTATATGGATGTGTCAACGAATTTTGTTGCAAGGGCTGAATCGACTCAACGACTGAAATGTGAAATCAAAAATTTTCTAGGGAAGTGATGAAGCGTCACTGTCCCGTGAAGTTCGATTTTTGTGACAATCGATTAGGCAGAACGTTCGAAGAGTTGGAGTAGATTGTGTGTCATACTCTGGTTCAATACGGAGGCCGCTCAGCATCAGTCACCACTAAGCAAACCCGCATGATTCAGAGTGGTGGTCATCTAGTCAGTAGCAACTAAACCATCTCAGAATCATGCTGAATAAATTAAATTCCACCAACCAAATGAGGATCAGTCACTTTTTCGGTGAAAATTGTACTGGCGTGTGTGGTGCGGATACAGCCACACATGAGTTTGCCAAGATCCGTAAGTTCATTAGTTCACTACCGGTGAATAGAGTTTTATGGGCAAAATTTATACAGGCATAGGACTAGAACTAATACCGTTTCTGGCCTACGCTCTAAATAGCACATAGAACGTTTAAAATAAAATTACTTCAGAAGCTAACACATAATTCTAAGCATTTAGCGATATATTGTACTCTAAAGTTACGATTTACCCTGAGGCAAAGTTGAAAAATACCAAACGAACGTTGTTGTTAAGGCCATCAACTGGGTTACTATTAGCCGTGTAATTTAGTCAAAAATGTCAAGTGTTATAAGCGTGAGGGAATCTTTGCACGTGAACCAACTGCGCACCGTTCATCCAGGCACCAACTGAAAGCCAAACTTATTTGCCCAGCAGGAGGTGCTTACGTGCTCCCACAACCACGTGTTGACCATGTGCGTGGCATCGCTGCTGGTCAATTTTCTCTCTTTGGACACACATCTTAGTGAAGTTATTTTAGAACAATTATAAGAAAATATACAAATGTGCAGATAATAAAATGCAATAGGACTAAGCTTCGATTCTGGAGCATTTAAAAACTATTAACCTCAATCTGAAAATAAATTAAAAGTTATTAACTTTCGGGACAATAACAGATTTTAGCAAATATCAGCCCGACGTCAATTCACTTAAATGGCCCACATATTATCTTTATTGTGTAACTTTATCACTTAGCGTTTAAAATAAGCATGCTCGACCTACTAGGATTATCTGTATTGCTTTTTGGTCATTATAAATGCCTTCTTGGTCGGAGGATAGACATGCCATGTGGTTTTCAAGACGCACTGCGGATGCCAAACGAGTGTTCCTTGTGATTCAATCGCACCAGTTATTAAGACAAGCAAAATTTGTAGCAGCTTATTTTGCAATGAATTCAACATGGAAATAATTTCGGTCGGCTTGTTGCATTAGTCTTTCCCCTACATTATGGGTACCTTAGATGCACACACCATAATGCTGATAGTTTTCCAAACAATTTGCCTAATACTTCGATCGTTGACTTATCAAGGTCTTCAGTGACTGAAGATTTCAGCGGCTTAAGAGAAAAGTTTTGACTAAACATTAAATGATTGAACGGGAGAATTTCACTCCCAGTCTGGCTAAATGACTCAACAAGGAATACCTCATGCACGATACATTTGTTGCAAGGTTTCGTTGGCAAACACGTAGAAGCAGTGACACACGTGTGGATAATTTTGTAGCATAACTCAGTTGAATTAGGCGAATTGTCAAAACCAAAGCTCATTGACGTAGGAAAGAATAGCGCACTCATTCTGGATTCAATAGGCAATTACCACTTTTGTGACGAGGATGACTGGCGTGCCTTGGCTGGCCAATTATCATCCATTTGTAGGCGCGCGATAACATATAACGACGTGGACGCATTTTGGTGGCTAAACCACGGCAACACCGCTGCCAAATGCCGCAAAGGTGCCAATTTTCGACAAAGCAAGGTTTCGTGATTTTGGATCCACGGTTTGGCTAAGCCGTGTCAATGGTCTGGGAACTACACCAATGTAACTCGAGGAGTCAGTCTGCGCAAAGTTCCTTGGCTGCACAACGAGTTTGAATTAAGCCCACTAAAATGCCTACAAAAACTGTTTACATCTGCTATAACATCTTAAACAGACTCTCCTTTCATTGTTTCGGATTTTATGTGGGGTGAACACTAGGAGTTAATCTGCTCCCAACCAGCGTGGGCGACATCACGTGGACGAGTTTGCCCACGGGCCGTCTGACACGTGGGACATAGGAATGCCGCTAGTGGCCCAGTGGTAGGACGTCAGATTGCTATGATAGGTCGTGGCTTCACGACCTATTGAGATCGCAGCATTAAGGAACAACTACCAAGATGCGTATGCTAAGTTTATCTCATTTCGGCAAAGGCAAAGGCCGTGCTTCAAGAGTTTTAGAAGATAGCTTGGAAAAGTTCTGAAAACAAAAGCAACAGACACATTTCATTAACATGTGTTTAAGTCTGAAAACCTGGAAAAACTGAAACCTCGAATCTTCTGCAAATTTTTAATACCAAGCTAGAGTCAGTTAATCATTGAATGCCTTCACTAAAATGGCTCACGTGGATTTGGGACGCTGATTGTTGCAGTCTTATTTTCCTTTCCAACGACCAACTCCACGAAAAATTCAAGGTTTTTCAGGTGTTTCGGAGCTCTGAAGTCAAATGTGGTGGGGACACGTCGCAGAGGATACTTTTGAGCTTTAATTGGGTTCCACGCTGGCGTCAATTTGAGACTTCCTCGAGTACAATCCAAGTTATCCAGCAGTATCTAGAAAGAAAATTTTTAGCATCACATTAACCTCAAAGTGCGGACAATTCATATCTCTTGTTTCTTCCGTAGATATTTCTCGTCGCGCAAATCGGCATGGGACATAGTTGATCAGTATACTTTATAAATCCACGGAGATGCTGATTATGAACTTTTACCATGCCTATGGACGATAGGTTAAATCAGTCTTAAAAAGCCAGGAATGAACGTAAATTCCACTCCTGTTTAACCTTGCAGACTACCCCATGGACTGCTGAAATGTCAACCCACGAATAGAGGCACTTATGGTTGAATCAGGAACAACGAAAACTGTGAATCTCAAACAAGGTTTCTTTAAAATATAACACACTCCTGTAGGGCATTTTACGTTGTCTGATAATCATGGATACTCAACCGTGATCCACAATTTATTCACAGTTCTGCAAGACCAAAAGGTCTGTCATGTCTCTTCGCATAGTCATTGAAAGCAATTCCACATGGCACAATCAATCAAATTTTTGATGCATTGCGGAAGTCAGTCCACCCAGGACAATTTTCACATCGTTGAGATTAGTGCCCATCTCTTCAAGTTTTAAATGTAGGCCACTTCAGTGGTCACACCAACTCCAAAAACACCCAGTGACAGCCTTGTCAGTGCCTGTCTCTTTTTGATCCGCTCCGTTTGCGATTGGGGTCGCTCAAAGCATTTGAAACCTGGCGCGTTTGAACGTGCAACTCGGCAAAGTGGGGCTTACGACAGACAAGGGATGTGGATATTCCTTCTCTGGCCGCGTGCCGTTTGGTTACAGGCAAAAATTAGCAAAATCATCTGGTGGCTGGCAAACGGTTCTTTCTCGATTTCCATGACACGCGCACAAATGCGACCCTGTTCAATACTTACACTACTACGGGGTCCTGCATTTTTTCCGTTGGGGCATTTAAGGGTACATGAGAAGATAACATTTTGCCCTAAGAAATTAAGTAATTCGTTGATTTACTGAAGTTTTATGAAACTCACTTACAGGCGATGGAATCTCCAAACTGAGTTCCACGCGTACCTCATCTGCTTGTGGAGTGGTGAAGTATTTGGTCACAGAAACCTCGAACTTGGCAGCTTAGAATCAAAAAAGAGGTTGTGTTAATAATTCAGGTAAGCTTATACACTTTACTGTGAAACGGAAAATCAAATGATACTTATATTGTGGGCCCCGGCATCTTATCTTGAACCACGCCGGGGCCACTGCGTCAATCTAGGCCGATTACCCTACCCTGAGTACCCGCTAAGACGAAGAAGACCGGAGAGGACGAGGCACAACCGTTTACTCGACAGCTCAACATAGTTGTATTGTGTTCACTGATACAATTGAGTGGAGTAGTAAAAGTGCAGAAGTCTGAATGGTCGCATGAATAGACCAGGTGGTAGTGGTACATACGGAGGGGTGAATGAGCCGGCGGTGCCAGTGACTGACGAGCACGCCGTGGAAAGGTGGACGTGTGTGTGTGTGAGGTTGCGACGACCGGGTTATCGGACGTGAATCAACACAATTCACTACGCCTTGTATGGTCACGTAGAGTTATTTATTGTTTAGTAATGAGTCGTGTTTATCCACTAGTTATGCAAAGTTAGATAGAAAAATTACAACCAAGAGAATGACCAGAAATGCACTTCCGACTGAATAGCTTCTTGACTTCTTTTACTTGGCATAATTAGCCTGAAATGAGTCATGTGAACGATTTAATTTGTGACATACGTAGGCTCAAAAATGTATACTGTGACTTCATTTTGAGTTTCCGAGTTCTAAGTGATTATGTTGAAAACACCAGCGCTCTTGTCTTGCAAGATCATTCAATTAAAACTGGAACCGTTGTGTTGGATTCCTACTTCCGATTTATAAAAAAAAGTATTTGTTTTCGCATTACCCACCGGAGGCGCTGAAAGTCCAGTACATCGAATCTTCCCAAATAACATGACAGTCTAGTTGCCTTCAAAACTAACCAAGGTTCTTTGAGCAACCTACAATCAGTTTTTTTTCAGGCCGCATATACATATAAAAGCAAAACCGTTTTGTTTTATCTGTATTTTGCAATAAACAAACAACAACAGCTGATATTTTATGGTCAGGTTTTGCACTTTACTTTTAGTGTATCGGTTTGGAGCCAAGATGTGGTTCCCTGGCATGTGCACCAATGCCTCTATACTTCAGTAATAAGGGTTGAAAGTAAAAGTGACTGTAGACCAGTTGGTCAGTTGGCAGTAAAGTAATAAAGTGTTGTGAAAAGTGTTGATTCACACCCCTTAATCCGGTCGCTCCACCCTCCGCAACGGGGTTCCCCCTTTCGCAGCATGTCGCCAGCCGCGCGGATCCTCAACTCCCCCCTCATTCACACTGATGTTTACCTTGGATTATCCCCACACCTAGGTCTCGATGTTAGCCCATGTATGACTCACACATCCGAGGTATAAATACACACGCGCAAACACCGCACGCGACACAACGACATTAACGTGGTTGAGCTCGGAAGTAAACGGTTGTGTCCACGTCCTCTTCGAACTTTTTCTTCATCGCAGATATCAAGGAAACGTAATCGGGCCAGGGCTAATTCGGTGGCCCCGACGTGGTACAAGACCACACGCTGGGGCTCACAACAAATGTGCCGAGTTACCAGACTCCCAACGCTATAACTATGTGTATCTAACAATCACAATCCGAAAGTCCAAGGCTTCAATGCAGTGTTTTAGTCATTTCGAAAAATATCTTAACTGATAGCATCATTTAAGCACAATAATATCAACACTATTCCTTGCCGGAGTCTGCAGTCCAGCAACAATGTGGGACATAACCAGATGTAATCGTGTGTGAGTGCGTGGTGTCCGTCTGATTTCGGTGTCAGTGATAGTTACATTGCAAGAGAAGGAAGGTGGATGATCCGCAGGGCTTTGCTCCGTTGGGTTCAAAGGCCCGATGAATCGGACCAACGCCCTCAAATTAATTTATATACATGCATACGCATAAGGTGTAAGTCTTAATTTATGAAATGTTTTTTTTTAAGATTGAAACTATATTCGAATTAAAAATATTTTCGCAGTCCTTTGTGGTTTTAAAAAGATCGGACGCCAGGTCTAAAACACCGAATGTCAAGTCTGCGTGAGCTACATAAGTTTTCAGTATAGCAGAGTGTACACTGGCAACTGATGAGCAGCACATCTGATGGCACTGCACTTTAGACGAATTACAACAAGGAAAAGATGCTTATAAACTACAGGAGGAATCAATTTGTAGTGTTTCTGGGGCCAAAGCTGTGTCTTATGAAGCGTGCGATTATTGGTACAAGCGTTTATAAGTGGGAATTTCGGTCTTAGTGACCAACCGCACTCCGGACAGCCTTGGAAGTATGAAGATGCGAAGTCCCCTGATCTACGCGAACGCAGCAAGTGGTCGCAACTCAATTAGGAGTCATCCAAACGGCGTTTACACCATCGAATGGGAAAGATTCAAGAACCTGGAAGTTGGGTGCCACATGTGTTGACCGTGCACAACCTAGGTCAACGTACGAACACATGTCTTTCACTACTTGTCCGTCTGCAACAAAAAGGACTTCTTGTGGGAAATTGTAACAGGTGATAAAAAGTGTATTTTTGCCAGAATCGATGCCAAAACAGGACATCCACTCAAAAAAGTTTCTCCTGTACGTCTGGTGAGGGGAAATGAAGGGTGTATTTGATTACGGACTCCTGGGAACTGGCCGTCAGGCGGTGACTGCAGAGAGCTACGACTGGCAATTGAACGAACTGGACAGAAAGCTCGATCAGGAAAGGCCCTTTAGTTGGCAAGGAAGCAGGCAAATCATACTGCTGCTGCGTGATAACGCTCGATTTCACGTTTCTCGCGCGACCCAGAAGACGCTCTTGAACTTGTGACGCAAATTTCTCTCACAAGAGGCATATTCACCAGACTTGGACCCAGCCGACTGCATTTGTTCCGCTCAACATTCGTACTTTACCTGAGAGATGGCGCAAGGTCATAGCAAACGATGGGCAATATTTCCCAGATCAAGTTCTTTGTCCCCTATTTTTGTGCATTGAGTACATTTGCTAAAAATTATGTGCAATTTAAGCCATACACCCTGCACACTGCAAACGTCGTCTAGTTTAACATTCTCGTATAAAATTGTTTTAATGTAAAATTTTCTCTCAATGTTAATTAGTCTTGAAAAGTTTAACACTAGTGAACTGCAATGCAAAACAATATCGCAAACATATTATTTGTAATACAGAATTGGTAATAATAAAGATCAAAAAATTTCTAAAACTTGAAAATGATCACAATTAGGTGTCAAACTGTCAATTTTGTGTGGCTCTAAAGAATTAGAAATTAGATGCTGGATGGTGGGCTGCTCTCTAATTAAAGGAGCCATCTTGTTTTGGACACTGAAATCAAACATCAGAAAAAGATAAATTAGAAAGAAACATGCGCTGTGATCGTTCTGCCATGCCATTTCATGTTTTAATCGTGCCACCTATAGGCTACCAAAATAACGCACTAAAGTGAACCGCCTTTCTTCGATGGTCACCTCCGATCATCCGAATTTTATGGTTCCTAATAAAATTTTTTTCCTTAAAACATGTTTTATATACACTAGTAAACTATTGATTTAATTAGTTGACGTACATGCTTCTAACCTGGAAATCGTCTTTTGTTTTTACCCAATATGTGAGGGAGTTAAAGATGCATAGCCACTTACCTTCAAGCTCATATTTTAACCTGACCATTCCAAAGGGCTCAATGTCCAGAATGGTAGTGCGGTTTTTGTTCACATTGGCCTGTAGTTCATACCGGTGGGATGTTGAATAATCGCGCAAGATTATGTTCACAGCCAATCCATAGGTGAGGGCTTGAAACTCGCTGCCTTCTGGAAGCGCAATTACAATTGCCTCAGAGCCTATAAGAATAAAGTTGGACTGCAGATAATGGAACTTTGGAAGTTTTGGGAACCCCAGTACGCAAAAATGTGAATGTCACGTGACCTCACATAACACCAATTGCATTTTGAGTTAGACAACCTGTTGCAGTCTACGGCTTTGAAAGATCTTACACAAAAGCCTCGTTTCCGTCGCAGGCACAGAACTTCCTGTGCCAACTTTAAAAGAATTTAGTCTGATGCCAAAGTTGGAGTAAATGCGTTTGTTTCGACATGAATAATAGGAGACATCGGCCTCTGAAATCAGCCTAAAATTATGGAAAAAGTTCTTGCCTAAAGAAATCCTGCATACTAGTGACTGTCCCAAATTAAGGAAATGGATAATTCTGGGCGCATAACTCTGGGATGCGCAGTGTAAATGGGAATCATGAATGCATGAATCGTGACATAAATATATGAAAAGGTCTATCGTTAAATGGCTCCCAGAAACAAAAAGTGCTTTTAATTACTAACGCGCTCTCTGTAAGGGGGCAAATTCAAAGAAATAAATGTTTGATAATATTGGGTTTCTGTTGGACGAGTTGATAATTGTGAACTAGAACGGTTATCATCATTTATGAATATGTCGGTAAATGGATTTAAGGGAAAAAAACTATATTGACGAAAAATAATAGCCAGACATTGAGGGAAAGGCGTAGATCTGATGCCTGGTAATGAGGTTTGTGAAAATTTAAAAAAATTGTCGAAATAACCTTAATCCTTTGGTATTTTTTTTACCACATACTTCCTGCCATATTTGGCAAAACTCTTCGAGAGAACACCAAAGTGTCAAGCACTGGACATAATTCTTCGGAGTAAAGTTTGCGCTATGGCTTAGCAAAAAATGCTGCCTTTGTTAAAACACCCAAAGCATTTCAAGTTTCAATAAACATTTCCAGTTTCTATGATAAATGCTTGGATGCCCTAATTGTTTCTTTCTAATGACAAGTAGTTTTGCACAAGATTTCCCTTGGGAAGCAAATATCAGCGACCTGACCCAAATTAAGCAACGAGGACAAATTCGGGACCAAAAATACAATTACCACTGACTGTTGTATGCAGGAACTACAAAGAAGCGATTCAGAGTGTTGTGGTCTTGTACCACGTCGGGGCGACTGAATTAACTCTGACCCGATTTCGCTTCCCTGACATCCGCGATGAAGAAAAGATCGGAGAGGTCGTGGACACAACCGTTTCCTTCAGAGCTCCACCACGTTGGTGTCGTTGTGTCATGTGTGGGGTTTGCGCATGTGCATTTATACCTCAGATGTGTGTTATACATACGCTAACATCGAAACCTAGGTGTGATTTGAGGATCCGCGCGGTTTACGACATGCTGCGAAAAGGGGGACCCTGTGTCCGAGGCTGGAGTGATCGGATTAGCGAGTGTAAATCAACATCATGATTAACCTTTTACACATTTTTGAATGGCTATTTTGCATTAATAACCGAAAACGCACTTTTTGGATGCTTTCAAAACCATTAAGCAATTGGGACCTCTTTATTGAAAAGTGGGGTGTACGACGATGAAGTCCTGAAAAATATGCTCTTTTTATGTAAAATGTCAAAATGAAAGACATAGTTGGTGTGTGTAAACAGAACATGGAACAAAGAGACAACAAGGTGGTACACGGAATGCGAGGATAACGTAACCGACCATCTGCAAATAGGCTTTGAGGGAATACATAGATGACCTAACACTCGACTTGAAGTCGTGAGGTAAATGGCATTGAAGTCATGTGAAATTTGAGAAAACATAAAGTAGGTTTAATTTGACACTTAATAGCTCATCATATTAGCCCTCTTCTCGGTAAGTTAACATGCTGACCATTCAGTCCGAAGGTCGCACTTAGATTTGGTTCTTCATCAGGGCCACATCCGTAACTCAGCAACTCCACGGAGACTTCGTTGTTGAAAGTTGAGGTGCTGTTAGAATGCTGACAGAAGACGAGAATGTGCAAAAGACTGTCAGTCTTGGAAACAACCCAAGCACGGACAAACTCAGAGGGCTCCTTATCTGCATCTAAAATCAGACAGAATAATTACTTACAATGACGTTGTGTTGGCGATCCACCATTCCCCAAGACGGCTCATCACGGGTTAGGGTTTCGCAATTTTTTACACGATTCCTCTAATCACGCCACCCCAGTGGGTGAGTCTCCCGCGGCACCCTACTGACAGTTTCTCCTGTGTTAATCTGCCTCATTCATCAGGTCAAGGTCATCCCTGACCTATATAAGGGGGTGCATTCAGACAGATCACCCGGCCTTTGGCCGAAGCACTAAAAGCTCTTTGCACGAGACCTCGCCTTGTCTTGCATTAGCGTGGGAGGGCGGAGTGGCTGGCGTCTGGTAAGGGACCTGGGGTACCGGTTATCTGGGGAAGTGTGTGGTCTTGGTTACAGGCAAAACGCAACAGGTTGTTATAAATGTTGTGGAGAAGTAAGTGAGCTTGGTGCATAGACAATGGTTATCACTAAAATTTCTGCAGCATTAGTTGCAGCTAAAGCCTGCTTTTGTAGCTGATATTTCGCTGGGATCGCATGATTGTGATTGAGTTGTAGGGAGTTCCGTTACGGTGATCTTGTGCTTCTGTTCATCCCATCAGTGTCTCAGTGAAACGAAATTTTAAATTTCTTTCTTATAAACTTCATTAGCAGAAAACGCATTTATTGCATTGTGAAACGTTTCATGGTCGTTCGTTGATATTAGTTACCATTTCAGTTTCTTCGATTTGGATAATTTAGAGGTGATCATGTAGCTACTGTCAACTTTACTCTTCTGGTTATGCTCGGGCATACGCGTCTGATATCTCTGAGTCATAAATAGCAGCAGCATGGATAAGTCTGTAATAAGAGTAACTGGCCAAATCAGATATTATCTGCACCCTACTTTAGATTAGCCACATGGTGTGGGATGCTTTGCAAGTATTAAAAATAGGAACATGCTAAAATAGTGGACAAATTACTCATTTCACTTGTGCATTTTACAAAAACAAGCTAGGATTCGGAATCACGCCTCAAAGGCACAAGTCGCACTGCGTGTCTGTAAGTGCTTTTAAGCCCGAAACGACACCTTAAAAGGAAAGTCAGGCAGGCGCTCCGAATTTGCACCGAGAATCAGCTATCCAATGAATTTGCGCGTCGTCAGTAGAGAAGTGTGCCACTGCAAGCAATGACTTGGGTAATGAAAAGCGTGCTAACCACCCTAATTACAATCTTTGTGTCTGTTTCATCACCTCTGTGAACAAACATACCTAATCAGCAACTCGATTACCGTCTGAATAACTGTCCTATATTTTATCCATATGTTGACAAGAAGTCACTGTCCTACTTTTTGGGTTTCATGGAATGTTATGCTAACCCCAATACAAAACCGCCATTTTTCATGACCATTCTTACCTAAACACCGGCCAAAAGACCTATACACAAAAACCTGAGATTAACGAACTAACAAACATTTAATGTTTTAGAGCAGCTCTCGAACGTGCAGCTGCGAAACAGATCTAGGACTAGGGTAAATTTTATCTGTGGATTTAATGTGAATTAAACCAAACCTAAATGTTATTTCCATCAAAACGCCGGTGTTCTGTAGACTTGTCAACGGGTTGGCAAAGGTCTGACGCAGACAAGCCCAGAGTTCAAACGTAAGCATCTCAAATATCTCCGGAGACAAATCTATACGCCGTACGTGTTTCGGTTCAATGTAGGCCTTAGCAAAAAAATTGGGTTTGCGGAAGTTTTCGGCGTTTCGACATATCCTTTCCATCGTCATAAATTTTCAAGACATCTACCGGGCGTCTTGGCTGTAGAATAAGCAATCGACCCAAAATGGCAGGGCATGTCCAATAAGTGGATTTTAATTGGACCAGCCTGTTTTTGGCCACAAGAGCGACTGTAACAGTATTAACATTTGCTGGTCAGTACAATCAATATTAACCTACTGGAGGTGTGGGATCGTCGACGGATCCGTAAACAAGTGAGTTGATTACTGAACGTACCAGGGTGGACCAGGGCTGGTAACGTCACCGATTAAAAACGCAAGTTCTCCTCTAGCAAAGTCGTGGAATTCGTTTACTTGGCAAGTGGAAGCATTAAGTTATATTAGTTTTCATTAGGTCAGAAAAGAGGATCAAAGACATCCAGGAACGGTTAACTAGGATTTTTTGTAATCAAGACTGAGTTGATTTAAGAGCAGAAAAAGCACCCGAACATCAGACATTCTGCGTGAGAATCTGGACTTTAATGAAGTTCAGCAATACAAAGATAGCAAAGGAACTCAAAAGTTTAAAATTTTAAGAAAAACAGCGGCAAATTTTCACTGTCGTCAAGTCGGGGTTCACATTAAACTAGGGGGTTTCAAGTAGGGGAATGGACGAATATTACGGCGAATCCATGACTGAAAGTGGCCTCAAAAGAGGACACACAATTTATAAAGAAGACTTTTAGTGCATACACAATACTTTGATATTGATGAATACGGATTTCGTGAAATGGTTTTACTTGGAATTCAACACGACAAATCGTTACAACTATTTCCTCTTGTACGTCTTTTGTACACACACTCCACTATGTGGGAAATTCCTATGACTGAAACTGCGGGAATAGAGTTAACTGAGAGTTAGTCTTAACCCAAAAAGATATCAAACGTTTTCAAATTTTGCAATGTATTATGCGCCCTTATGTAATGTTATTCGACATCCATATTCCTTAATTTCTCAGGAGGGATTTGGTTAAAGACACACTTCACTATCCCATATGTTCATACTAAATTGGCCCAACTCACAAGGCCATGCTAATGCAACAAAGTCATTTCCACTTTCGTTTTAACTTGATGCGAGTGTGTTGAGGGTTGTTCGGGCCTCGACGCACATTTTAAGGCAGTTATAGTGGATTACTTTTGAGTGCTAAGTGGTTAGTGTGAAATTTACAGAAATGAGAATAAAGTAACTGCACAAGACCAACATAGATAAATCGATTTGAAATCTATACATCACCCAAGGAGTAAACCTCCGCATCAATGACTACAAATAAGGCACTACAGTCTACTGCTCAGAAGAATTCATCTGAACCGTCTCAAAGGTTCTAATTAATACTGATCAGGTCTCACTTCAGTGTTTTTAAATGCAAGTTTTCAGGACAAGCATTCATAACTAGAAGCGTCATAAATTTGGTTCTCCTATGATTTAAGGTTGTGATGTCGTAGAGGTGATAACATGGCACAGAACCTAAGAGCGAGCATTCTAATTCAAGAGTTACTTCGAATCCAAGTAATCATTGTTAACCCCAAATCGCAGTAGATAAAACGCAGGTGAAAGCCCACTCTGTTTTTGGGTCTCACAAAGTCTATTCGTGTTTACTCTGGTCACACCTCATCGCTAAGGTAACACTGTCACTCGTAAATCAGTTGTTGCTATTAATTTGCAATTATTTGAGAGGACCACCTAAGAATTTGCAGTAGGTGAAAGTGAGTGGTGGCGCATCTACATGCGAGTGATTCCTGATAAGCAAGTCCAACTTAAATAACTCTAGGTTTCAGTTTTTTTAGACCCTGTGGTACCTACCACAAGGGAAGTCTGTAAAATGGGGCATCAGTACAGTACTGAGAAGGCTCGAGAGAATCGAGTGCCGGCCAAAGAGATACCTCATTTGTTGTTAGTCATAGTTATGTCCAAAATGTCACACTCTGAACTGCGTAAGTTGCGAAAATGCGCAATAGAGGTAACCATGGTTGTCAAAATACAGTAAACATCAGAGTTGAACCGGAGCTCTGACCCTAAAGCATTTACCAACGCATCCACACAGAAACCACTGACTAAGGAGCATTGCCCTTTCATTATAATAAAAAAAATCGTAGTCAAATAATAATCAGGCAGCTTACATACCGACATACATTTAATACCAGGAGAGATCACCTCGGATATTCAGGCCTCGAATTCGGGGTCTATTGGATAGACTATTGACAACACCGGTCGAAAACATACCAAACTATGCCCACATTATCAATTCGGATTTTGAAAATCCATCAGGTTTCACGAGATCTTCTAACCTGTAGTGTCATGTGATGGGTGCATATCAAAGATTGGTCTGCAGCCTCTGCAGCCTATTGGTCTGAATATAGCCTTCGTTAGTTAAGAAAGCTCTTAATTAATAATAGACTTAAGGGTAATCTTTGAAATTAGAAATTCAAAATATACAGCAATGATAAGTGCAAGAAGTATTCATTTATTTTGGACATGAATTTTATTCTAAAGGGGTAATGGTGAGGATCGGTCTGCTGCGCGTCAAACTTTTGAGTGAGTGGTTTATAACTCGGAGCAAAGAATGGAAACAGCCGTATTTTTAAAAGATGATCATTCAATCGTCAAGCACAAATAAAATTTCAAACTAGACAAAATATAAAATCAAACTGACTTCGCAAATTGGTCTATGACATTCGGTTTTGTCGAATCCCTGATGATACCTAATGAACAGCAACTGGTACCTCTTAGAATACGCCATAGAGATATGCTCTTCGCCTACACTTAGGGACACAAAGGCCTCTATTTTATTACAAACCACCTGAATGCATGGACTGTCTTCTACCTTAAGCTCTTAAACTTGGGAAGAATTTGAGCTACTATTTATAGTATCAAAAGGTACAGTGGGTATGTTTTGAAATCGTAAGTTTATCGCTTTTAAATGTCACGGAAATTAACCATGACCACAACCCGACTGAAGTGTGCAGCATAAGGTTTGCGCACAAGTGCTTGAATAGAAATGTATTAAGAAATGCAGGCATAAGACGTTACAATACAAAAAAACCAAAAACTCCACGTATTTTGTCTCTTTGACGGATCCCCGTGTATGAAACAGCACAGTTAAATACCATGATTTTCATTTGCAGCCCACTGATATCGTTTAAAGCGTCTGAATAAAGTAGACCAATTTAAACAGACCTTGTTTAGTTTAAAATAATCACAATTTGGCTGATTAAAATCTTGGTATTAACTACTGGAATATTTCACGCAGAAACTGCTCGTTTTTCCCGTTTATTCCAGTAAAGTAGCGCTTTTAAAAGAGGCAAAGTAACCAGAGACGACTTACCAACAATCCGGAACACATCAGTCACAACTGAAGAAGGTTGACCAGGAAATCCCCAATGGTAAGTGACAGTCTCGCCATCCCTTATATCTGGGTAGACATCGTTCGGAACTACACTGCTTGCTGTAATGGTGTAGTTGGCCAGGGCTTCAACGTCCGGGAATAGGCGGACTACATCTTCTTGGGGATGCTATGCGAGAAACCAAAGACGATTTGCAGGCAAATAATCCGTGCCGGAAAAATCATACCAAATGTTCGTATCACTGGTGTGGAAGTACTCGAGAAAGGTATTGTGTGAAACTTAAAACCAGACAAAGCAAAGATAGTGTTTCAGGCAATGTGTGTGTAATACTAACGAGCAACTTTTCAAAGGTCAATCTTTCGATGCCATTCAGCAGGTATGTGGTGAAGAAAAAAGTATTTAAGTCATGGTTGGAAGCTGTATGTGGGAGCACAAGCGGTTTGTAACACAGTCCATTATTTATAGTTGGATTTTTGAAATATGGAAAAATGTTGAGGCAAGGAGAATTTGCAATGCTTTTGAATTACTTACGCTAAGGCTATGAAAGTCACACTCAAAGTTGTCTTAGAAACGGTGAATGTGGCTTGCAAGACTGGAAGAGAATGTGTGGTAGTGAACAACCACTAAAATGGCAAAAGCTGCAACAAATACAGATGAAGAAGAATATGGGTTAGCCTAAAGATTAAACTACATTAAGCACAAGAGCTAAGAGAAATTTACTTTGTACGTTTATTTCACAACAAAAACAGTCCACTGGTAGATTCCAAATTAGACCAGCAAAAACTATGGGATTTACCATCTTGCTTTTATTATGCGGATTTGCTGTGCACAAGACCATGTGTTTTAATTCCGTGCATTCACCGCCTACAAACTAACGAAACCAACTGTTGTTAAATTATTTTAGTGGTAATGTGGGCGAGAACCGTAAAAATAGCCACATTAAACATGCAGCATTGTCTGTAGATGACGGCACAATGAGTTGACATTCTAAAGCTAAATTCGTGTAAGCAATGCTGCACAGGCTGGAGTGAAATATTGTCTGAAAAAGTCTAGACTTTTAATACTGTTAGTCTAACCATAATCGATGCAAGAAGACCATCTCACTTCCATTTGGCTTTTGTGTAAGTTTTATTTTGTTGGTCATGAAAATATACGAAATATGGTGTTTTGGGTTAGGTTTTTCATCATAACCCTTAAGGAAGCGAATCAAGGCCTAAAGTAAGTTTAGTCGAAGGGCAATGCATTTTATGGAAGTTGACAAGCGTATTGATGATTACTCTTGACGCCTTGTCCGCAGCACTCCAAAGGATGCCACCATGCTTGCATTGAAACCTTTCATGTGGGAGCGTTTTAGACGCACTGTACTAACTTACTGACGCTTCGCTACTTTTCGGCTGACCATCTTCAACCCACTCAACTTTGGTTTGCAAAGTGAATGCCAATGTGAGAGCCCTTGCGGCCATTTGAAAGTAGCCTCCGTTACCCGAAGTTGAGAGGACGATGACACCGCTGGTTCCATCCTTTAATTCTTGCCGTCCACCGAGGTAAGCGACGGAGTAGTTGCGTCGAAAGACCGCCTCTAAATGAAGAGTGCGAATTGTAGAACAGAGCTTAACTACCTCTTTTCCAGTGCGCGTCATAGAGATAGGCAAATTTTACTTATGTTTAGTTAGATTATTATACAAAATTAAAGTTTCCTATGTTCAATGCACGTGATGTGAGGCAATATTTTGAAGTCGGTTAAATAATCACCATTGAAGTCTACACCCTATACTTCAACGGACCACAATGTATTATCGACGCAATTGCCTTTTTTTGCGATTAATCAAAGTGTTAAAGTTGTCGTGTTTTTCATGCCTGTAAATCTCTGAATTTGTGCATCGATCTGATTGGTGAACCACTTCTTCGTTTAACCGAACCAAGCATTCATTTTGTAAAATTAACTTCCATGGGGTTTCACCATCACAGTCAAAAAACCGTCCATGCTGTTTAAATTATCGATGAATAAAAGGGTTCAGTTACTCAAGTAAACAAATATGACATTATAATCCAAATGTAATTGGCTAGAAGAATTGGAAAGTGGTATTCACTGGGAGGAAATCGGTTCTGATTAGTAAGGATGGACAATCTAAACACCATACTCAAGAGAAACCATGCGTTTTGTTTAGGGATGACGAAGTGGTAAGGATCTGCTTTAAGAGAGAATTTTATTCGTACACGCCATTGCGTCTTCTATGTTAGCAACAGCATGGAGGATTCTCAATGTCCGTTTTACGTTCTGTGTTTTTGTTCGAAATTTAGGAAAAGCGGCAGATGATCCCTAAATAAGCAAACGCTTAAAGCATCTCTTGTTTGCCATAGTTTTAGACTACCAAATATGCGAAACCTATTTTCACTAAAAATGAACCTACCGTTGGCAAAATCGCTCGTTTGGAAAGTTGTAGAGGTTGAAAGAATGCGCGTTTTAATTGCGTCTGTAGAATCACAGGCACATTGGTATTGGCCAACAAACTTGTAGGCTAGAAACGTGAAACAAATTATAACTCAAGGCTGCTGTTTGAAAGCTTCGAAACAACCCCTAACTTTCAACTTCAGGCAGTCATTTAAATGCAAAGTATATGCACACTTAGATCTAGTCTGTTAGGGCAGTATGCAAAGTATGTTCTGCGGAGCAGCGAGTCTCACCAGAGTGGTAGACTAAGCAAATTTGATAAACACCCACCATTTGGTGGATTTGCTAAATTCTAGTTCACGCATTTTGGCCTCTCGACAGCCCTTGCGTTCTGAGTAAAACTAAGGGATTTTTGAAGCATGTCGTAAATGAGAGTGAAAATGTTCTGCAAAACGGCCCTGAACCCAACACACAATTAAAGCAACATTTGGTAATAAGAAGGTAGCTTTTCGGGTCTATGACGTGTGCCTCGGCTGTAAAATTGAGCCTGAGGAGTGTTTGATTGAATGAGCAAAAACAGCACCACTAGAAGTTAATGTCCGTACAGTGAAAACCTCGGTGAGAAGGTGGGTATCAAAGGATTATTAAAGCAAGGTTAATCCTAATAAATGATAAAAAGCATGCGTAAATGAAAAGAGGGAAGAAGCTTGGAGTTAAGGTTATGTGTAACTACAGTGTATCATAGGTGAAAACTTTCACAAAACCAAAAGTTAAAAATACATGCGACTCTTCTAATGTTCGTCGTACAATTTTTTGTTCCATGACTTTGTAACCTTGAGAAGAATTAGATTACTAAGACGTTATTGTAGCTAACAAATTATTCTTCTACCAGTCGAAAACCCATTAAGTGTTGCATTTCCATGTAAAAGTTAAAAGGAATGCTAAGAGCAGAAAATGAACTTTAGTGAAGTTTATTGGGCAATCGATTGGACATTAAACCATTAACAAAGTGACGGCATTTACTTGCCCCGAATTTAACTGACTGGGATATTATCCAGAACGAAAAAACAAACAACTGGTCGCAATGGCAGTCATATTTCATTCAGTTCACTTAGATTCGGTTGCCTGTTACTTAGGATGGTGCGATTTGTGGATCTTCAATTCACACAGGCACACATTATTTATTTGGTTTTTTTGCCAAAGTCGAAATTTACTTTACAGTTAGCGAATATTCAACTCCATTTTGGAAAAAGTAATTAAGCGGACGGGGCCACATATTGGATCCAAAGGTCATTCTTTTAGCGTAGTAATTGTTGGATGCAAATATCAAAAAGTATTCTCAAGAGAAGTGATTTGGATGGCAATGAAGGATGAAAAACGCTGAGTTTAGACTGTGTGCTGATTTCATTAATGGGTCGAAGTATGATCAAGCACGTCTGCCGTGTCCTTAAATACTTAAGGAAAATTTTCTTGATAAACAGGTAAAAATGCTATGCTCTTTATTTTAAGATTTCCAAAATTGAGGGCTTTCGGGGTGTTCTTTACATGGATCCCACCACCAGTCCGATCTAAGTTGATCGTTAATGTTGATTATTCATTAGGTTGAGTTTAACAAGCTTAGTTTTTTTAAGGATTGAACCGTATTTGCCCAGAACATCAAATCTTCCTTCTACACAACATTATCAATAATGAGGACAATGATAACTTGATGTCCGCAATTCACAGATGACTGAGTCAGGTCATTTGGGTCTTCGTTAAATTTATTGGATGTTGAAGTAGATTTCGCTTTTCAATGCACGCAAATTTTGCGCATCTTCAGAACAAAGACCCTACAAGGGTCTTTTTAAATGAGTTATTTAAACATGTGTCCTTATCCCATTCCTGTTTGGCTCGTAAAAGCGATGGGTGCAGGTATGCCGCTACATCTATTCAGCTGTTAATTTTAGTACACATTGTAGGTCCAGCCAATATTTTTTCTAATCTAATTTGATTCCATTTTTTAAAATGCTACTGCCCACATAAAAGCATTTGGTCCTAAATCATTGTTTTAAATTTGTTGGAATATTTTAAAAAGTAAGCCACCAAACACGTACTCCTTGGTATTCTTGCCACCATCCTGGAATCCTGATTTACAGTGATTGTGAGATCCTGAAGAAGTTCGCTCCACAGGGGTCGAAGTTGACCATGGTGGATCACGACCGACGAGGCACCACCATGCAGGGGCTGACGAAGCAGCATCAATCCATCGCACGTGGCAACCTCGCCCAGGGAGTCGCACGACTCCGCGCAGGGCACTGCTGTGCACACCACATCAAAGACGGGGCTGCCCTCGCTGTTTGTTGCTTCACTCGTTGAGAGTGTTAACGTGGGATATTGGACTAAAAATGATTAAAAATAGTTTTTTGCTGCGTTTGGACAAATTATTTTAGCCATTCAATGATCCATATTGCGGGGATCAAAAACTTTGTTCTGGAATATTCCCCTACACTTGTGATTTGACTAGGTTAAAATTAGAAGACCTGGTTAAAACGGAACTTTGACTTTTTTAAATCTTAATAAGGACAATGACATCAGCCATACAAAAACCAGATTAACAGCTGCATTAAATTCACAGTAAATTCACACCCAATTTTAGGCACACGGCAGACTAGTGCTAATAAGTTTCCCTATAACTATTGTTTATGGAAGAAAAATAAAAATTTTACTTTGTTATTTCAGAACTCTAATTACCACCTGCAGTAACATGACGTACAGACTTGTTATTACTGGTATTGAAAAAAATTTATTTACAAAATAAAACCCAGTGAAAGCCAAAGTTGCTTACTTGCCTGTTAGTGGAAAAGAAATACGTTTTTTGGGAAGTTTGACGATGATTTATGGCCAGTGAAGTTTAGCATAAAATCACATAGAAAATAAGTTATTGTTGTCGTTACCTTGGCTATTGCCCAATGATCGCCCGGTTTCAGATCAAATGCTATTTAAATTTTAGGATAGATGCATCTGTTTAAAATGGCTATGGTCTGATTACGATCGTTTGAAGAACGATTTTTCTCCAATGTTATAATGCCAATCACGACGTTACTTGTCCCTGAATGACTTTTCAGGCTTGAAAGACTATAAATTAACACCTACTTGCAAATAACCGCGATTAATGTCAACATGTATGTTGCATGGTAAAATACTCCACATTTAGAAAATTGTCCGAGGTAAATTTACTCAAGTCTATATAGAATCTAAGAGATAGGCAACGGGTTTGTCCACAGACAGAAAAGCCTTGACAACAATTGACTTTTGCGTAGATTTAGAGGTGAGTTAAGCATTGCATTTTGAGATCCCGATACTAGAACAGAGAGGTAGAATAAACGTTGGGTTAGTTGGGAGATTAAGCAAAATGTGAGTTGATTACTCCGCTAAATTATGCATCTCAAGTCTACATGATCACGTGGTTAAGGCAGAACATTTCATGATCAGTCAACTTTTAGAAACAAATCAGGTACTAGTGAGCCCAGTAGAATGAACCAAATCAGCCTAGTTTCATTGAATATTCAGAAAAAAATGCCTACACGACTAGGCAACGATTTCACTTCTGTAAGTAGGATCACATCGATCCTTAGTATTGCACTGGATGTTTAAAATACTTCTTTGTATTGAGGAGGCCCCAAAAATATGTTTGCGATGCATCATTTGCTAATTTACAAATTGTATTAAACCTTCCTTCACCCGACACTTAATTCCAGTCTACCTTTTTAACCAAACTGATTTTTAATTGATAATTATCTCGTTGATTACCATCTGGGTTACCTGATCGTGGCACTAAGTTGTTTTTCTACTAATAGTGAACGCAATAATTAGGAAAATTGCTAGCATTTCTAACGGATCTCGCGCGTGTCGAACTATTTAACTTTGTCAGTTAATTCCTGCCGTTCACGCAAACCTTAACAGATTAGTTGAATCGATGACGCATCTTATGCTGTTTTGAAAATGTTAACATTCTCCGCTGCAACGAAATTGGAATTATAATTTGAGACGTCTACTTGCCTGATTGCAACTCCACTGTTCCCACTAGCAACTCAAAACTCAGTGATATTTGATCACGGCATCGATCTCGGATCGCCCAGGTAAATATAAGTGTGCACATCTGAGCACCACCCGAATTCCGCCTATTCGTCTTGGCCTCATATTGTACTCGAACACTGGTTTCAGACAGTAAAGCCAAGCCCTCCGTACAATCACTAGTTTTCGCTTATTCTTGGAAGTCCCTGACGTGCAAAACTATGGATTCCAGCTATTAGGTCAGGGATTTGCATCAACATACTGGATAACAACGTAACAGCTGTCCACACAGATCCACATTAAAATGTCGAGGGTCAGCACGCTGTTTGTAAATTACAGTTCTACCACCTTTTATGTTCGGATCATTTTAAGTATTATCAAGGGACATTAGGGTGCTGATGGCAAATATGAAAAAAAGGGATTCATTGTAGGGATATTTGTGCTGTCTAGGGCCATCCGCCGCCTTAAACGAGAATAAATCTCACTTCAGTAGTTATTCAAAAGTCGGAGTAAAAAATAGCTTTACGACAGCCTCATGTGGTAACTGCTACATATCAAGGACTTGAGACGAATTATGAGTGTACAATTGCCTTCACTAGGCACCCGAAATTTACCCTATGATTATTATTTTCTCCATTATGGTGCCATATTGTTCGGAATATAGGGAGAACTTGTAAACTCATTTTTGTGCTATTTCTGCTGCTTTCGTTTGGACATGTTATTTGTGTTGATTTTTTAAACCTCCGTCAGGCTCTTGTGATAGTTTCGATGTTCCCGTGAACCAACAAATTCATACAGCAGGTGATGGAAATGTCTATTAGATGTTTTACATGGAATGGATTTTTGATTAAAGAGCCAGCCTGAAACCGAGTACAGTCGGTTGGCAATCAAAAAAGCCAATGAGACCGGGTTGCTTTTGCAAATAAATCGCGACAGGAGAGGTGCTTAACCAGACACCATTAAATAAGAACACGGCGTTATCAATTTAAGGGCTCTCAATTAAGTTTACATCAAAGTAATCCATTTCTGATATTAACTACTCAAATATGGTGATGACTGGCAAGGTTAATTCATCGTTCTAAAAGCAGTTCCAGTTTTATCTAATTATAAAAAATAGGAATATCCGACTCGAAACCTTAAATGAACACAATTTCATTAGCTCAAATTAGGTGAATGCATACAGTCAAAGGATTTGTTTAACCCAAAGCAGACGTTAGTCTAGAGGTTCAAGGTACTCGCTTGGTAGATGATGACTTTGGTGTGGTTTAATATATCGCATCTTCTTGTTTGGAGAACCGTAATCACTGATTGGTCGCTTCAACAGCATGCTTTCATGGCATGTGACAATTTTACGATCCCACCAAATTGAATGCGTGAAAGTTTGGTACAAATTTGTTGTTGTACCGCATTAATACCATTTTTACGCTATGAAAAAGGACTAACTTCAGTTGCATTTCGGCAAGACAGGTGACCCAATACATTCCTTTAATCAGCTGATGTGGCATTCAGAGACGGATCTTCGTGTCACTTAGCTTCAAGGTGATAGGTTCAAACCCAATCATCTACTGAGTTTAACATCGACATACGGCCACAAGTCATTAAATGGTGTTTTGCATTGATCAGGGACACTATATAATACTCTGTACTTTTATAATGACAAGGCAATCAGCTGGGTTTGCATGTCCGACAACAAAGCACTACTCTCTAAGGTGGACAAGGTGGTTAACTTGATTGGCTTTATCTACAGCATAGGAGTGCTAGAAGCATGCATCACGTTCTTCCTGTTCGCTGGCAAAATAACCTGGTCGAACTAAACAGCGCCCTGCTTGCTGCAGCATTTCTGGGTTCGCATTAAATGTAAAAGCTAATTGGTCAAGTGGAGTTAATGATGGGTGTTTTAAAGTAGATGGGTTACTTTTGCTTGCGAAAAAGTGATAAAAGTTCTAAAAACTGACCTAAACAACATTAGATAAAGCATCCCAATGTAATGGGGTAAATTTGTTTATATGAATGGACGCATCTGATCACCACTCATGGGCTGACAATAATCGGAAAGCATATTTTTTAAACAAAATGAAAAGTAGTGTGTCTCAATGCTTAAAATTAATGCAGTTTAAACACGTCTCTACCAAGACGTTAAGAGTAGTCCCAAAATGTGTCAACAAATTAGGTTTTAGTCGATGTACCAGTGAGACGGGCGTCAATCATGCAGTCTGTTTCCTTGCTGCTACAAGTGGAATTGAAACCAAATCACAAAGGGTTCATTTTAGTTATTGTAAGATGTCTGTCCCAGTAGCAACAAATGCTTCATTAAATTAGTTAAAACCGGTGTGACAAGAACAATAGCCGGCTAATTTACATATGGAAAGGCAGAAAATGGGTGAATTTCAAAGTGCACCGCGTTTGCAAGGTATGCATACGGTGCGCTTTAAATTACCTAGAAGACTTTGCAAACATGACTAAATATGCGGCCCTAATATGGAGCTAGGTTGTAATTATTAGTTCCTCGATGTGCGCATTCGGCCGAATTCCAAGAATTCAACTTACACGGTTACACAGTGACTATGGGATTCTCGTTCGGCTTCACATCGAGAAAGACAATAGAAAACGTCTTCGTCCCGAAGGTTAAAAACTTGAGGCCTTCCCGTTAATTAAGCCACCTGTCTTCTCGCTTTAGCTACTATTTGTTTTTAAGTTGTAAACCAAAAAGGGTCAGAATCAGGACATAAATGTAAATAATAATACCAAATTCAGCTGTAACTTCGCAAATTTTAACACCAATCCCACACTTTCCCCCAAAGTAAATTTGCATCTTGAAAGGGGATAGATTCCTAAATAAAAACTTACTGAAAAGGCACATGTTTGAGTTGATAACAGCAATTTCATTAGGTATTAGTCACAAAACTGCACTAATAGCAGGGTAATGCCTCAAATGATGTCTTTAGTTAAAAAAATTCGGCAAATTTTTCAAAGCTTTCAGGAAAATAGTTGTTATGAGGGCCTTACAGAAGAAAAGAACGACGGAGGCAACTTGTAGTGGTTGCATCTTAATGTAAAGGGAAGTAATTGTGCTAGAAGCTCTTTGAAGGGAACAAAACACTTTCAACTCTATGTAGGCCTGATTCGCATTCGTATTATCTTCTGTCAATAATGGCATATCGTTAGCTGAATATATTAAAAATGTTAGGTATGATCATATTAAAAAAGCCTGAATAAAAGTTAAACTGTTTGCGAAATAGAAATATTGTCTCTGTGTAAGATCAATTAAGAAGTTGACTTCCCCAGAAGAACATAGGCAGTTTTATTGCTGAATTGATGGATTTTGTTTAAACATTAAGCGTTGTACGTTAACTTACTCGGAACACCCAAAATTTTTAGCTTGTTGATTTCGTCAGTAGAAAATTCAACTTGATTAAAAGGAAGGTTGTCGAGAGATTGAGGTTTGCAGCTGAATTGCATGTAGCCGTCATGGTCGTCAATTGGCTTACAGTCACTCCTAACATTGATGGTTAAATTGCGCACCTCGAAGGATCCAAATCGTAATTCTGTAAATTAGGGCATGCTGCGTTAAATAAATAACTTGTATATAATTAAAATTTGCTTATGAATGGTGAATTATTTAGCTGGTCTATTAATATTATTGCATGTTTCTTATTGCAGTTTGGTGTAAGAATGTTAAGTGACAGGACCTACAGAAATTCTAAAAAGAAACAGTAAATTAACATAGCCCTCTCACTTCAAAAATAAGTTTGGCTAAATTACTAATTTGGAAAGTAAAAACAGTTTCATTTAAGGTACATGAAGTGAATACGCAAAAAATACGCCTATGACACTAACCAAAAAGTTTCACAAAACAAGTAAGCTGTCGCCTAGTATAACATTATGTGCTATCAAATCGCTTCACTGTATTTAAGGTTTAATTACGAAACCTTAAAGTATACTATAGAGACTGAATTAATTTACTTAATAACTGCCTTCCTTTAAGCTTCCTGACCTTTTTTAAAACAAAAAAATTGCATTTAACAGGCTTTGTCAAATATTAAATATCGAAATGTTTATCAGCTAACAATAAAAAATTGACTTACGGCATTCCAGATTGTCGTTTGAAGGTATTGTGATCTGCAACTCCTTAATGATATAATTACGACCAAAGTAAACGACCATAGTTTCTGGGACTTTGAATACTCGTCGTGGAAGGGAGCTATCTACAATTTGCCAGTATTGCTCTCGACAATATTTTTCATCTGTCGGTAATAGCTTCTTGATAATAAAGGGTTTTCGCCAAGCAATGCTCACTAAAAAAACGATTGGTTACAAATATTTGTACTGATTGCAACAAAATTAAATTGTACCTAGACTATTTTGATCAATGTTTTGAGACTTAACAGGGGTGCCCTCAAACGAAACTTCATAAATCCGAGCCCAAGAGCCTTGTCCTATTTGTCTTAGTGTCCAAAATATATGCGTTCCGAGAACGGGCAAAGATAGGTTTCCATTTACACAGGGGAAATGACAAAATTCAACACTATTCAAGTGTTCACATTTAAATGGCAACGAACGTTGTGTTGTAGGTTCAAGATACCCCACGTGGATTTGGTGGATTGTTTCGTTTGTGGTATCGGCTGCAAAAAGGAAGACGATGAAAAAACAAAGACAGTTAACTTCAATAAAGGTCTGCACCTTGACATACATAAGCATTTATTAACCTAAAAATAGTTTCAATTAAAAATCACTCTACGCAATCAAAAATTCATACATAAATTTGCTTTGTGATCAAGAATTGACGTGATTTGAAACAATAATGCTAGTCAAGTATACATAATGTCATTTTGAATACGAATCCCAAAATTTCTTAAATAATTCAGCCTGCAAAAAAGCTCAGCGAGGTATAACAAAATACATGAATTGAAAAAGCCTGTATTTGAGATTTAAATATTATTGGGTTCAATAGGCAGACACATAGAACAATTGCACAAAAAATCAGACCTGTTATTAATATCGATTCAATAAGATGCTCTTCCTGTAGCTCAAAGGCCACCGAAAAATCCTCACTGGATTGTATGAATATGTCAGCTGCGGTCTCTAATTCATCATCCAATATATTCTGAAAATTGTGGTCCATTTTTGCAGGAGAAATGATCCTGTAGGTATTCACTTGAATTTTTCCACAAAGTATTCCATAGCATTGTAATAAAATGTAAAAAGATAAAAACAGCATGTTTTTAAATTATGATACTGCGCACAGCAGCCCAAATAGTTCAATAAATTACGCAGCTTCAAGGTTACCTCGATAAATATTTAAACAGTTTTAGTAGTATAATATAACAAAATGAATACCAATATTAGCAAGGTCATTTTCGGGTACACAAAAAGCCGCGTAAATCGAAAACAGCTCTAAATTTTATATATTTACGTAATTCTAAGAAATAATGCTTTTTGAGGTCGAAGGCATCACGTAGTTTTCTTCTTAAAAATTTATATCTTTGTAATGCCAACGTGTTTTTTTTACTTTCACCAGTGTTGTGTTTATTGACTGACAAAGAAGTAAAAATATTTGCAAAGTATCAGTTGGAACCCCTTTAACTACTAGAATATACGTTATATTTCAAAATGAATTTTTTATTAAAGTCTACCCATCCCTGCTGTAAGAAAAGTCCTATGCAGCAATTCTACGTTTTTAAAAACCAGCTTTTATTGTAGTAAGTCATTTTGATTCGCATTCAACAACCCGGGTGCAGCAGCCCCATACACACGTCCACTTTTCCAAGGCGTGCCCGTCAGTCACTGAGACCGCTTGCTCATTCACACCTATATGCGTACCACTACTCACCTTATCCATATGACCATTCGGGCGCCTGCATTTTTACAGGTCTACTCAACAGCACTAGTCAGCAAAACATTAGAGTCAATAACTATCTTCGCAATTTCGTGAAGCTATCTGGAATAGTGTCGTGTCTGCCATCTCTTGTCTTATTTCATTTTGGAAGCTTCGCGTGGTATAGGGTCACAACCAATTGGTGACCATAAATTTGAAAAAGTCCACTAAAAACACTTTTAGATGCTGTAATACATTCCAGCGCATTCAGGCCATGTGTTAAGCTATGTTGCGCTGCAGTTTCGAAACAATCAACAATGCATTTTCAGCATTTTGAGAGAAAAATTTCTGCCATTGAATTAGTGCTTTCGAAAAGAGTTCCTAAGGTAAGTAATGACACAGTAAACACGTCGACACAAGTCCGAATTTATTTGTTTAAATGCTTTTGCATATCATTTCTTATGTAAAAATATTAATTGCTGTTAATGAAAAAAACGGCTTTAGCATAATTGTTGATTAAAATATGATAATAGAAAAGCAATTTTTTTCATAAAATGGTATCTATGATAAGCACTTAATAAAAAAAGCGTTGAAAAGCATTTTTGCACACCTGAATTCCTAAATTCGGATTTGATCGAAAATAGCAGGCTGTAAATCAGATTATTTTTATTTAACAATACCTTCAATAGTTATATCTGCTTTTGAAGAAAAAAATTTACCCCATGGTTTGTTGGAGATGCTACGTAGAGTATTCGATAGAACTACATTACAATATTATAAATGAGCTCTGACTATAAAAACACTGCGGCGTTTATGCATTCATACAAACTGAAAAAAAAGCAGAAAAAAGTGCAAAAAATCCGTAGTAATAAAATAAAACTGTTTGGTTAACCTCAGTACGAAGTTAAACCTTTTTCTTTAGAGACTTTGTAAAACATTTTCTTATTTTGCGTTTTATGGGGCACTTTCGCATGTTTTCTGTTAAAAAAATAATGGTACAATTACGTATTAGTGACCTTGGTCAGTGCTAGTGACGGCGCGTTACCTGATTTGTGGTAATTGAGTGAGCAGTAAAATGTCGTGGAGGGAAATGCGTAATTTTTCTGAAATGATGAGAGCACTGGGATACCCTCGAATTATTTCGATCGAAAATTTTCGAACTCCAAATTTCCCGCTTCTTTCCGAGATACTGAAGTGGCTTGCTATGCGTTTCGATCCAAATGTTGACGTTCCTAAGTGTTTGGACACAGAACAGGATCGAGTTATTTTCATCAAATTGATTGTACAATTTATGGCAACAAAGGCGTTTATTAAGCTGAATGCAAAGCGACTTTATAAAGCTGATGGTTATGCTGTGAAAGAGATATTGAAAATAGTGAATCTATTATACGCAGCACTGAACATTGAAGCTAAGCCGGATGATGAGGAATCAGTAGAATTTAACCTTGCAGAAATTGTGAACGTTGAAAGGGTACCTCATTAGAATAGAAAATTGCCCAAGCAATATGTATTATATATATTTCCATACTTAATTTTATCTTAAGTCATTACAGCCCTTGTTTTTTTTAGCTCAAACAGCTTCAGCAAACCCGTGCTCTGGCCAGCCAGCTGATAACTGCAGGAGCAGCTTTGCATTCATTTATGTCTCGCGAGGTTGACCTTCGCCAAACAAGAAATGATGCCATTTGTAGGCAATTAGACATCGAGTGGGTTGAGAAGTGCATCGCCAGTGCGCGTGATTCAATTCAAGAAGAAATTGCCAGAACTGAGTCTGCTTTAATTAACATTACAGCAGATGAAGGGACCTTAGATGGCAAAATTGAGAAGAGGAGAAATGAACTAGAAAGAAATCAGAAACGCCTATCGACTTTGCAGGTTGTAACCTTGAATTTTCCCGACGTTGTTAAATTGAATATGTGCTAACTTTTGTTTCTAAATCTAGTCTGTCCGTCCGGCCTATATGGAAGAATACGAACAGCTAGAAGAGGAGCTAAATATTTATTATGAAACTTATCTAACACTCTTTCGTAATCTATCTTACCTCGAAAACCTAAAGGAGGAAATAATGCAATCGGACGACACGCCGTTCCAGGAAAACGATGCACCAATTAAATTTTCTCTTGATGAGATTCAAAAAACAAAGTCCGTAAGTCTATTTAACGAATATTTCTATATTACTGTAATTCCAGATGAATTGCCTTGGGAAACTTAAGACGTATTTTGTAGCAGATCTTCTATATTTGGCTTCTTGTCACGCTTGTTCCCATCTCATATGTTTTATTCTTGGTTATATTAGTATGCTAGGGCGTATTTTCGAGATGGCCTTGTGATTTCTGCATTAATAAATTCTGGAACGGCATGTTATCTCCCCTCAAAGTTTGTAATTAATATTAGGTCCCTAAATCAAACATTATTTTAAAAGGTATCCATGCCACTAGTTTTGTAATTTTTTGTTTCTTTTGTGTGTTTTCATATTGGGCAATCCATTAAAAAGGACTAAAAGTTTAAATTCGCCTGCCCTTGCATTCGTAACCCTAATTTTAAGTTAAACAAGTATTTTCCATATTCATGATTTAGTCGATTGTTGACGAAACTAAAATAAATGGTTTGGCCACTTTCGATATATCACCACGTCAATAGCTAAGGTACTACCAGCGTCCGAAATTATTTTGGTTTCATAACCTGCTAGATTTAAAATCCACCTTTCATCTTGTGTCTCAATTTTGGTTGGTTTTGAATAAATTTCTTTAATTATGTATGCGGTCTGGTGGTGGCACAAATGTGGAAGTAAACATCCGCTTTTAGTCCTTTAAGTCCAGTTTACCTTGTATTATACATCAGATAGTAGGTCATTCCAATCTTCCAGTCATTTTATTTTACTAGTACTGGGTTTATGGTTGTAATATCAGAACACTGTATGGGTACTAATGATGGCATTAATTGAATGCCTTTTAAAGTTTCTCTAATTTTCGCCGATACGTCTTGCAATTAGTCAAGTAATTGAATCAATATTAAAATTAAGTGACAACAAACACTCAGAAACCACGCAGGTCTTTAATCGAGTTGTTGACGCACAGGATATTGCAGTTCCTGGAGCCAGCAGACCAGGTTTACTACATTTCAACAAAACTAACAGGCTTTTGAAGTAACACGTCTACGACGTTGCAGTTTTAGGATTTAGACGACTTGACACTATTCCGAGTCCATTAGTTGGCCATTTCGTTTGCTGTTGGTGAAGAACACAGTGGTGGAATTTTGGTATAACGTGAAGAATTTTAAGCGTTAAATGTATTTTAGGTATGAAAAGCGCTGACGAAAACTACCGTTTAAAATTCTAGTGAAAGTACCGGAACCTCTGTTTATAGTCAAATGCTTTTAATCGTTATTATAAAGGCTACATTTACTGGCTTTTTTACAAACACGTGCATTGAACTGCATAGGAACCATTTCCATAAGCCGAGAAAACGAAGTACATATTATATATCTGAGTAACTTACTGGTTGGATAATCTACGCTGTCATTAACAGTGAACAAACATGACTAACTCGTTGTATACCTTTTTATGATCTGTACGCAAATCTTATGGTGTTTTGAAAGAGGTAGTTTATTCAAACGGGTAATTTTACACTTCCTCAGACTGATGAGGAGAATTGATTGGATATGTCGTGACATTTACAGAAGTTGGTGCTCTGTATCAGTGTTTTACTTCTACTCGCTCACTTCAACAGGAAACAGAGAGCCACTTTCAGGTAGCTGGCGCAATTGCCAGTGAAAAATCCCATCTCCAAAAATCCCTGGCTCTAACGGGGGTCTCTCAGGTCACCAATAAGGTTCGTGACTTCAGCAACACCAATGCAGACACAGGCTTTGAGCTCTGCGATAACACCGAGGATTCAGGATCCGATAACGCCAGCGAAGACTCCTCCGACTTAGTAACTAATGACAGCAGTAGTGAGGGGAACAACGATTGTGACGATGACGACGTCATCAAGGGCCTTAGCATCATTGGAACCGGCTACCAAATGTCGGGCAATTGGTCTCCTGGTCATTCACTAGCAAATCAAAGTAATGACGCGCGACCAAATAATATGAACGCAAATTCATTCGGAATGCCGGTAGATATCCACTCTCCGGAGTCGAAGGGAGTAAGGTGTTTTGTGTCACCCATAAACAAAGGGAGTTTAGTGGGCCGTTTTGCCTACTTTAGTTGATGTTCCTGTTTACTGGTTAAGGAATTCAAAAAGGCTCAGCACTTATGAATTTATCATTTTTAGAATGGAGAAGTAGGGGACTTCCGCACGGAAAACGTAGATCGAGAATTATCTGAGACAACCGGAAAAGCAAATGGCAATGTTGGAGGTTTTGGAGGCGTGTTTAGAGGCACCATCTCATCGACTCGCGTCCCCGAAATCCCTGAGGAGGATGAAGATGACGCTGATGATTTTTAGATATTCGTTTTAAGTCGCCGGCACTATGTGCTACTGGCATGTAAATTTCCAGATCAACACTCAAATACACTATAGTAGTACTTCACCGGGGCTGTAATCTGGCAGCAGAACACAATGGCCACCCAGCCAAAATTTTAAGCAAAGGAGCTGGTTATTTGTTAATATCATGAAGCAGAATTCATGCAAGAAACCTAACTACTGAAGTTAATCGATTGCAGGCATATGAAAATTCAACTTCGACGTTGCATAGAGAACGTGATACATTTGTCTAAAATGAATAAGAACAGATTTCCAGCTAAATCCGCCTTTAGTGTGTTAGTTGAGGGAGCATCTACTTTAATCAGTGAACTCACTGTACGTTTTCATATTTTGTTACAGCCTTCGTGAAGGCAACCATTTTATAGTTCCCAAAACCATGTTTTACGCAGACATTACTGAGGAAACCTAGTTGTATTAACAATAAAATTGCCATACAAGATATTACACATTTATCAAATACGGACAACTGCACATGAGACAGTCAAACGACATTTAAGTACCTAAGTGCCGAGGCATTGTGCAGGAATGCTCGAACGAAATGAACGGCAGTTGTTGAGAAATGCAGGCAATGAGTATCGGCGAAATGTTGGCTCAATTTCACCACGGCATATTCTCCTCGCTCTCCTAATCAAAATAATAGGCGTTAGGTTACGTTGCCAGGAGATCTCATGGGTGAACCCCAAATTTGTCAACTGGATGAGCCCAGCGATGAAAATTGCGTACCACCTATCAGCAGGTGTCTAGTAGCACTCAAAATTGAAGAACAAGGATAGACAGTCGAATCTACTTCAATAGCGAATTTTTATAAGTCAGTGAAAACAGTGGCATACAAAGGTGATGTTATTTTGGTCGGATGCGATTGATCCCAATTCTTCGCTAACCTAAATCGCAAATTTGAGCTTAAGTCAACTAGCGCAGTCGGGAAAGATTTTTGCTTATTAAGAAGAATCCTTTAACTAGCAAAATTTTTGATTGCTAGCCAATTATTAACCCCCGATTTTTGGAGACGTTTGAAATTGGCTTAAGCTGTAGAATGCGACCGTAGAACTAAGCAAACAGAATTCACATGCACTACCGCTTGCTGTTACTTTAATAAACTTGAACAGCAAAAGAATGAAATCGCGCAGCTACACAGTTCCAACGCATACCCTTATTGAGAACGTCAACAAATTTCATAGCTTTTTTAAATCTAAGCTATGAAGGAACAACAAATACAAAGACAGGTTACAAGGATAGACTTACAGTGTTTATTTTCTTAAATTCCACCAGTTCCATCAATGTAAGCTCAAGGATATTCCTGGCTGTGCATTGTGATTGTGGCAGTTTTTGGGCAATACCACAAACTTCTCCGCAGTGCAAAATGAAGTATTCCAAATCTTCTTCTGTACCTGGGGGTCATGAAAAAAATCAACTTTAATATACCTATCAAGCAGTTTTCATGTAAGACAATTTATTCCCATGGTCCGCTGAGCTTTGGGGGCATCAAAACAGGGAGAGAGGTTGCAAACACCAAAGCTTTGCCAGAGTAGCAAAAAATTATCTCACACTTGTTAGCTTCCTGGGCTAGGCGAGACTTTTCCGAAGAGAACTGTTCATCAAGATCAAACAGTTCCAGGGATGGAGGTCCTGGCTCGCGGAAATTAGGAGGAAATACCTATTTTTATGAAAGAAGCTAATAAATACCTTAGAACCACTATGTATTTGTCAGTTACCAGCTTCCGGCTACAAAATCAAATAAATCGATTCGTCAACGCGAATGACACACCTAACACCCAAATCCAATTACGTGAGTTTTGTAATTTGAAAAAAAGCACAATTGTCAAAAACAAGATGGACTTATAAGCATATGCAAGCGTTCTTTATTTGCTATAAATTACCTAACCATTGACTTTGCCTTAAAATAAGACTTACTGCCGGTTGTAGTGGAGGTAGCGGCGTTTCGAATTCGGGAGTGATCAAGCTAAGCGGCTCATGTTTCACACGCAATTTTTCGTAGGCTCTAAAGTGTTGATGAATAGATGTCTTAAAATTCCCACAAAAGAGCGGTTGACAAGTTAAGGCCAAAATATTTTGCTTTTGGACGAAATTAACAATACACGCATTTAAAACCTTTATAAAAATAGTAACTAATGTAAGTTTATAATTATTTTAGAAATGGTCGACTGGTAACTGGGAGCTAAACTGCACGTTTATGCTCAGGTCGGCCTAGTTTGAGTGCTGCCATCTTATATTGTAGAGGCAAGAGGAAACTTTTTCATACAAAGAGATACGGTAATCATTTGTACAAGCAACAAAACAATAGGACTCTCTATCACCGCATTGCATAAGAATTGATTTCACTTTGATAAAAATAAATTAAGGTTTGGCATTATTACTGAGCATTTGATGCCATTTGACTAATAACAGACACTTTCAACCTGGCATTAGGAAAGTTACTTAGGTTTACCGGAATAAAGCGCAAAAAATCTCTGAACGCCAACAAAGAATCAGAGGTAAAAGTGCCCACGGCAATATAAGTTACTCCCATACGCAAGTGCTTTAGGCACCATAGAGGTGTCCATTGCGTAAAGTTTCTGATCGAAAACGGCATCGAGGTTTCTCGGGATCTCTTCACTTTCTTGCAGACAGGCTTTCAGGTTGTTGGCAAGGTTGGCAATATTGGGGACCTGGAAGTACGTCTCAATTTCTGGATCCTGGGCGTCGATGGCATTTAGTTTGACCGCATCAGACGCAAGATAAGTGATGAGTACTTCAAAAATCCTGGCATTGTCTTCCTTATTTATGTAAGCATCAGTAAACATTGCAAGGCTACCGACGACAGCCAGTTTTCCAACCGCACCTTCGGGAGACTTACAAAAAAAGCAGCTATTAGGGAGGACAAAGCATTTTTAGGGTAGCATTTGTTTAATTTTAAAACGCAAGAAATTCTCTCTTGGCAAAACGTTTGAGTCTGAAACCATTATATTGATATCCGAAGGACTCTATGGCTTTCACAAATCCTAGGATAACCTGAATCAGAGACTTAAGATGGTGACTAATCTCATAATCAAATCAGAAAAACGTTCATGCGGCATAAGGAGTAACGGACACAAGGATACTACGAGAATACATAACTAGAGAAATTATATTACAGAACTCGTACATACTTTGACTGCTAAATTCAAGAATTTTACTTACAACAACTTCATGAACAGCACAAACTGGTCGATTAAGGGGAAATGCAACACTGCCAGTTGAAAGAAGGACCTTAGCTGGCTTAGCAACGTTTAGCGTAGCACCAAAAGCGTACAGGAATTGCAACGCTTGCTTTGGACAAACATCATCGCCTCCAGGTAAAGTAGAAACTCTTCCAACAGCTTCGCCTATAGCTCTTTCAAAAAATGACAGTCAGTTTGACCATCAAATCTTCATTACAAATGGTTAAAAAATCAAACTGATAGTGAAAGCAAATGGAAACGTCTCCACCAAAAAAGTTGAAGGATTTATGCAGCTCTTGATCGAATAAATCCCTAAAAACAACAATTGACTAAAGCTCTAGAACCCATTAATGATAAAAAACACCATACAGAAAGCTAAGTTGTTAAAGAATGCCCAAATCAAATTAATAAATGGTATTACTAGTGTAATAGACAATAAATATGCATACATAAGACGGCAGATAAAAACTCAGTTATATTCCCCTCTGACAAATTACAGGAAATAAGAAAAAAGGTTTTGCGGATATGGGTACAGTCAAAACGTGACTTATTAAATACAAGTTACCGAATCTCATTCATATTTTAAAAGCCAACCAATTCCTATGTACTATTAAACTAAGTGTTACACATATTTGTTGTTAGAACTCGATAGTCTGCCATAGTGTGCACTGATGGAACAAATAAAACGGTGACAGTGGTGAAAAGTCGTATGTTTCTTACCGACTTCTAAAAATTTCAAAACTTACGATTCTTCATACCCCAAAGTTTACAGAAGATACAATCATGAATGTAAGGGCTTACATCAATTTATGTTTATTTGTATATTTTTTACAAATTAATAGCTCTTAAAGATAATTTTCTGTCATTAGTTGAAAAAAAACAATGTTCAAACTTGCCTAAAAAATATGAGTCAAGTAATTGTTACCACATTTCCATAACAAATTAAAAAGGCACACATAATCACACAAAAGTATTCATGTGTACAAATTTAAAAATTTAGTACCATAACTAAAGTTGCCGTTCATAATTGCTGATAATCAAAAGTGATTTTTCGATTACCCAATGTTATGGAACTTTGAATTTAAAGGTATGATCTACGGAATATTGCAATGCAACTTGCACCACAATTCACAAAACTTTCTCTAACAGAAGTACGAAATTTTAAATAAAATTCAACTAGCTTCCCCTACCACAGGTTCTTTAAAACTCCAATTGCAGATCTAACTTGCGGCTCATTTATTAATAGTGCAACTTAAAAATTCGCACAATTTATGATAAACCTATACAGAGTTAACACTGGCTGCAGTTCCATTTCACGATGCCGTTTTTCAGAAATTATAAGACAGAATAAAACTAATGACCAAATTAACGGTTTAGGAAAAATTGTGCTTAGGCACCTAACTGTTTTCCGACTCCTAAAAATTGCCAACATCCAAAAATGCATGCAACCACTAGGAATTTTAATTTAAATTATCACTCCTTAGTGTATGCATAAATTTCTACAGTCTTTTGTCAACTAGAACCCAGAATGTTAAATATAAATATACATTAAACACCTGTTTAGTATTCCGTTTGGTATAAGAGCCTCCTTTGGGTGAAAGTATTTGTAATATGACGTCCTGACTACAGCATCTGACACAAAAATTAAGAGAAAATGAAAATACCATTATTGATCAGTATTCCATATTGCTCCAGTAAGTAATTGATATTTGTCGGGTACTTGCTTTCACCATTTTCACCAAGGACAACCAACACTGACCCACCTTTATTCAAATAGGTATTAATGGCTTCAAACTTTGGTTCTCGAAAAGAAAAGTTGGGCAAACCTCATTTACACTAAATTTTTCTGTTGGTCCAGCAATAATAAAGACCTTAGCAGCCTCAATCCGACTTATAGTTATTTCATCAGTGTTCCTATAAATTTTCGTGCGATGCAATTATAAATATCATACACCAGAATTTTCCACGAAGTTTTTAGCCGTCTTTGTAATTCCTTAAAATGTTGATTTAATGACGCAGCCTCTCCCTTTGACTGATCGAATAAGATTACACCAGCGGCCGAAAGACGTTCTTTCTCAATTGGGACGCGCATCTTCTGATGAAAAGTCTGGTTGACAAGTTCCAAGGCCACCAAAAATCAAATTTATCGATAAGAACAAACTACTTAATTTTGCAAATTTTTAAAGTAAAAGCAACAAATCGACCAAGCATTTTTTCAGTGAATTTGTTTAGCACAGAGGTTTTTTTATTTAAATATTCAAGGACATAATTATGGTGAGCTTTAATTTTACGGAAAATATCTCCTATATAGTTAACAACCGGGTAATTTTTTAAATGTTTATAATACACCGCTGCAATTCAAAATGTTTTAAAAATTACAATTATAACACGCATTTCTCATGCCTTTAATCATCAGACAATAATTTATACCTCAATCGATTACGTAATAATCAACATTGTTTTCGGTCTATGAATACATAAAAGAACATTGAACATGCATGAAAATAACAGGAATAAGTTTGAGCCTTATATGTTTTAGTTTGCAGCATAATTGAGCATGCAAACTGCAGTAATATGTCCAAGTCACAAATTTGTATATGTTTTTTTTTTCAAATAGTTTATTTGGGTATGCAGGGTCAGTAAAATCAAATATACGAATTACTGTGGGCTAGCTGTCGTCTTTAGCAAAGTATCAAAGCCAGTCATTCTGTTAGCTTTTAGAAAATCCTGGTGCACTTTGACCTGTCTGTTATCGTCAATGTATAGATTAATTGTCGTACAGTCGTTACCCTAGGTAAAATTCATTAGTTAATTGCCAAGAGGATTAAAAGAGTATATTTAGACATGTAAGAATAAACACTTAAGTTGAAGTAGCCTTGATGCATCGATACTGATGAATGTTTTATCAAAGATTTTGTAGAGGTAATGCAACATGGGAATAAAATTGATTAAATTGACGAAATGGATATAAAAAACTTTAGATTCAGTACACATACAAATACAATTCTAGGGTACGATATTACAAAGTGTCTCTCTTTTCAAAGACCAGTCATCATAGGATAATGTAGGGTCCAATACACCGTTAGCTGCAATAGCGGCAAAAAATGCTTTCTATGGTTTCCTACGCTACAAGAGGTAGACAATGAGGAAAGCATGGTAATATGAAAATTTATACACAAAAGTGTGTGGAAGTGTAGATTTAATTGTTTCCATCAATATATTTAAAAGCGGAAATTAAAGCCATCTTCCATTTGTAAATGCAAACTTGTTACTTAGCTTCAAATGAAGGGGAAGATTCAATTGGTGACATCTCAGGCAAACATTGACAAAATTTGAAATTTGCAAAACACCGAAATTGATCATTCAAATACCAAAAGTAAGATTCATGGTGCTAAAACTTGCAAACAGTCATTAGACTTAAACTCCGGACATCAAATTTGCCTTCAGAAAAAATAATTTTGATTCAGTGAAATATAATTGCGTGTCTTATTTGAAAAATACACAAAAGAGAACAGCGAAGTTCGCTTTAGTCATTGGTAAAAGCTTGTGTGCATTTTTTAATTGAACAAGGCCAGATTTTATCACTTATATTTATTCGTTGCCTCTTTATCGCTGCTTCGTTTTTATTCGCATTATTAGAAAGCTAAAAATATTTAGTAGATACAAGTTAGTTCTGCACTTATTAACGAAGGGCTATACAGTTATTTAAAAAACGGATTGCTTTACTGCCCATCTGGGAGTGAAATTTAGTTGGTACGGTTCCTAGATTGATGAGAAAGCACGATGAAATTTGCAAATCTTAGATGTTTTAAAATTAGCATACACTAATATCGTTTTAGACCTTCCAGGCGTGTTATATATTAAAACTAATTTTATTGACCAACTTAAACTAATAGCTGATCCACGTAAACGTATTCTAGAGATGAGATTGAAACCTCAATCTCTTATTTTGATGTTTTTTAATCATAACATTTATTGATGGTTTTAAAATTTATCAAAAGTAAAATGTTTTAAATTTAAATAAATAAATGAAGAAACTTTAAGAACAAGCCTTGTTTAATGCACTCAATTCGATCATCAACCTTGACGGTTTACAAAGCTGATTGGTTATTACTGCTGTTGTTCTACGAATTGGAAACTGTTGTTGTTTTAAAGTTCGGAGAACTTGTCAATAATTTATGCAAATGAAATTGGTTTACGCTTAGGACTTTTTTGGATTTGAATTGCAACTGAGCTTGTTAAAAAACAAAACAGGGTAATCCAATCTAATCTCGCATTATATTTTGAAATTACTGTTACGATTCATGTTTTCAAATGTTACTACGAAGGAATTTCATGTTTGAAAAAGAACTTGTCCATAAGGTTTAAAAATAACTTTGAAAGCTGAATTTGTCCTATTCTCATCTTATGACCGTTGAAGAGTGGGGTTTGTTTGAACCTTGACTGTGCCAAAGCTCCATAAGTTCCTAATAAATTACGATTTTAAGCGCGTTAATATAATTAGTTGACTAATATTTAATTTTATTATTTATAAATGCTTCGATTCAAGTAATGTCTCTTTGTGTTTGTTAAACGAAATGTCGTGCTTTTCAAATTGTAAATTTTGAATCACTTTGTCTCCATACACAATTGTGTGTTAAACCAGTTTTTAAATAAACCTGAGTAACGAATATTTTAGTGGTCAGAGTAATTGACCAACTTACAGGTTTTGAAGCTTATTTTAGGGATGTTTGCAGGGCCTAATTCACATTATTGACATTAGTGAGAAGGATTGCGAACCGAAAAACGAGGCTTACTGTTAGGTTTAGGTTTTTTCGGGATATAGAATTTTGTGCAAAATATATTTTTTAACACAAATTAACCAATACATTATATTTGTATCACTTTGTCATTGTTTACAAAAAGTGTTAGGTCATTAATTATCATCGCACTATTATTATGACTAGGTATAAGCAAGTTGTTCCGGAGCTTGATTATTTAAGTTTGGCTCAACCGTTTACCTTATAGTTTTTCTTTATTAGTTTGATTATTAATTAAGTGTTGATTTTATGTACGTACTGATTTATTGTCACACACAAACTGGATAAGAAAGGTAAAATCCATACATTTTCCTACTTCAGCCCCCGCCCTCTTTGTTTTGTCATGTATATCATTCTTCATCCAACCGCTAATGCTAACCATCAAAGTATCCAATTAATATAGTAGATAGGCGTTATTGGAATTAGTTCTTGTGCAAATTAAATTCTGAATTATTTGTAAATACGTACTTAAAACTAGCCTGAAAGTCATCTCGTTTTTGTACCTCGCCTTACGTATGTTGTTTTAGACTAGATTTTCTCTATGCCTAAAGTTAAAATGTCAAATGAAAGCTTTAAATGGACACTTAGTATAGTCTAATAACTTGTTGTCAAGCTCATTACAAATTTTTAAACCAAAAAAGTCAAATAAATAGATAAGCAAGCACGTTGATTCACCGCCTAAACTAAACGTTCCACTACTTTAATTCACATGTTGCATTTAAAAATCTCCCTTACTTTAGTCATCTTGTACTTTTGGTTCCTCCATGGTAATTAATGGTAATGTTGGAAGCCAAAAAAAAAATAATCTGTGATGGGCTTGTATGTACTATGTGCTATTTACTAAAAACTACAACTTTTACCTATATTACCACTTTCACTAAGGTTTTCAGGTAGATGCCACATCCAATTGCTTCATGCAAACATAGGCCGGAGAGTCACGAACTGCCACAAACTTGGAAGTGTGTATTGACCTCGGAGAGAAATGTTGTCAACTATGAGCAAGGAATATGTAAATGGAAACTTTGTGTCGTTTTACTATCAAACAATTTAACCAACAAATTAATGTCATCCAAATATGGAGCGTCCATTGCAGTTGTCTAAATTGTAAGAATTACATTGGGTGAAAATACATGCTGGTAAGGACATGAAACCATTTGACACCTAACTTGACAATATATTTATCTAAGCAATCATCAAGATTTGGAAGTGCTTACTTTCACATTTCCTAATTGAATAATTAGGTAAAGCCTTATGTTTGAGGCGGAGCCCAGAATGCAGTCATCTGCCCCATCTGGCTCCCGCATGCCACCACCTCCGTCTGGACAATCAAACCCAACAAATCGACCTCCAACTACCTCGTCCTCTCACCCAGTTTCAGGTCTCTCCTCACCCTTTGATTATCCTTCGATGCACGGCGTAGTGCACGGTTTCCGAGGTCCCCAACCACCTCCTCTTAATGATGCTTCTCCGACTTCTACATTGCCATCTCCCTACGATATGGCCGCTGCCTTCTTTTCTGCTTCATCCTCTACCCCAGCACTTAGGCCTTTTGGATCGTCCGCGCAAAAGAGACCAGCTGCTGCATCGCCTCCGAATTTGGGAAGTGGAGGTAGTCCTGTGGTTGCTGGTGGAAGCGAAGGCGGTGCAACATCCGCCTCACAGTCCGATGAGGCAGAAGGGGAGGGTGCGGGAGGAGGCAATGAGGCAGATGGTGTTTGGTCCACAGAAATCGAACAATACTTTCAGGAAGCCCTGGAGCTCTACCCGCCCTGTGGTAGAAGAAAAATTATTTTAGCAGAGGAGGGCAAGATGTATGGTATGTTTTGTGCATTCTTCTTCAGTTTCAGAGACCTACCTTATTGACTTATCTAAACGCGTTTGTTTAACCGAAGACTTCGTAGCGACAAGATTTTCACAAAATCAAATGCTTTTTTGAGAATATGCCACTAGTATCCATTATGACAAAGTAACTAGTAGCTATACTGAATGTTTACATTCTGCGTTTTTACTTTTAAATTGGTTTTTGAATACAGGCATTACATTGAATTGTTGATTGTGCTCGAGTGTTTGTGTAACATAAGAAAACATGACTGACTTCAAAGGATGTTGCATGTGACTTTCTTAGGATACAAACTCGTTTTTTAAGAATGTTCATTGCAGTTCGTTTGAACAAAGGTTTAGCAGGTAGTTGCATATCTAATAGGGACGCCGTTTATTGTCATGAAGTAAGCATACTACACAATGGTGCATAGTAAGAGCAACAAATTAATCGGAATACATTTCAAGCACCATTTTTGCTGGTAATCAACACTATCTTCTATCAGTGATTAAAAATTGGATGTGAAATCAGCTTTAAAGCTTAGACATGCACTTCAAATAGCATTTGCGCTACTAAGGATTCAGGTAGTGAGTGCTTCTGAAAAAGCGAATTAGTGTCAAACTGAATGGCAGCAAAGGTATTGAGAGATTTTTAAGGTTGAAGTCCTTGTGAAGCACCGGGGCGCGTCAGGCCGATTTAATTCACAATATAAATGCTGTAAGTTACTCCTAGATTTTAAATAAAACCAGTGACATTCTATACTATGAAAACCAGTAGTTTTTGCGCCATCATTATTTTGTCGTAACTGTAGCTGTTTGAGTGGATATAACCGTAGTTTCAGATTTAAATGCTAAAGGTTTATGAAAAACAAAGTGTGTTTACAGAGAATATTTAACTTCGGACCAAGGCATGGATAACACACAAGATTACCTTTAGTGATGCCAACGATATTGACTTTAAGCACCATTAAGGACTGCAACTTACTTGGACAATATGAGGAGAATGTGTACATGAAAGTGGTCACTTGTGTCAACTCAAATCAGACTCATTAAGGTCGGTAGGTGTAGCAAAGAGTTTAAGGCCCATTTTTATGACCTTGCTATGTTAATTAGTTTTGCGGCCTCGAGATTGCTCTCCTTTTAATGCCCGTTTTGAATCCTTTTGAAAAACTTGTAGTATTTAATACATTCAAGCATGAGAAGCATCAGTAGACGATTTCTCGGTCTCTGTTTAAAATACTTTCACTTCTGAAACCCCAAGTAATGGACTACTGTGAGCTAGCTCCTCAGGATCCAATCCCGAACAGGGATAAGTACCTGCAAGTATTTGCAGGCAAGTGGCCCAGAGACGGATCTTCGTGTCACCAAGCCTCGAAGTGATAGGTCCGAACCAAATTAGCTATTTATTTTAACGTCTACCCACTGACACGTCATATAGTGGTGCTTTGTAATGACCAGGGACTTGATATAATGCTCTATACTTGTATGATGACTAGTCAATCAGCTGGGTTTGTATTTTCGATAACAAACTATTTTTCTCTAAGCCCTGTAACCATATTCTGCATATAAAGTTGTTTACATTATTAGCTCAACCAACAACACAACGCTTTGCAACAAAAGGGCTACCCTTTTTCTCCTGGTCAGTGGAGTGACGAAATAGCTCCCTGCATGCCACAAAATTTATTGAGTTCGAAAAATATACTAGCTCATGGGTTAAGCTATACCGTAAGTCAAACAACGGTAATGACGTGGATTTTACTATTACTAGGGTTCATTCACGAACGTAAAGGTGGAACCGGCTTAAAATCTGAGTGAAAGACACAGTTACATCAAGATTTACTATTACATTAGTGTTAAAATATTGATTCCTCAAGTCCACGTCGATAATGTTTCTTTAATGACCTAGGTATGTAAGGAATTTCTGATTCAAAGCTTATATATCGAGGACAACAATCTGTATCGCCACTGAAAATTCAGGTTGCATCAGAAGGTGCCTAGACATGGGAAAGAACATATATGTAAGGGGAGGTAATGCGAGCGTGACTCACCCGTGGCTGCCATTAGTGCCGCTTTATTTTGACCGGTTACCCACTTTGGCCTCCAGCCTACGCGCTTACCAGTAGTTGGAGGGAATTCCTATTGCCATCAAAAAGTTGGCAAACGTGTTTAAAATAAGGTTGAAAATGGCATGGCCACTACTTTAGTTGTTTGAGACCCTTAAGGCGTGTACACATAAGCCTACCTGTGCTTTCGAACTAATAATAACAACTTAGACATCCCATAGTGTGTCGTCACAAGCCCTCTCCTGTTGTGGACCCAACGTAAGCGATGCTAATGTGTCCTTGCACTACAATTAGCATGTGTTAAGGAATGAAAAAGCACCATTTTCAAGTGATTAAACCACTAATGTCGTTCATTTCCTTAAGTCACTTCTATACTCCACATTCTGGCAACCAGATAATCAGCTAAATACTCTACTTATTTGCACCTAGGACCAATTTATGTGTCCAAATTTTTTCGAATCAGGTATTAACGTCTGCTTGACTAAATCAATTATTATTTGAAGAAATACATTGATTTTAAACAATGTCATTATTCTTTGTTAACCCGCGGTAAAATTCTATGCTCCGCTGACACCGGATGTGTGTATTCTTGTATTTTCAAGTAAAATTCTGACCTTTATATGAGTAAATACAGTAAACGTAGGTTGTTGTTTAAGATCTTTTAATTATGTTTTACAAATTAATAATCGAATTTTATAAGGGTCACAATTTTTTTAGAAAGCATTAAGCCTAACATGGGACATGTCAATTTGGTGAGCAGTTTTTGGGTGCAGTAATCTCTCGATTAGTTAAGGGTGTGCGGCACTTGATCTGATTTTGAGCATCTTTTCGCTAACTCATAACCACTTATGTGATAATATATTGTGATTCAACACAGATTTTGCCTTAATTACTAAAGTATTTTCACTTTCTCACTTGTAGTCTCCAAGATACATTTTCGGTTTGATTTACCTTAGGAACAATTGGCCCTTTAATTACAACCTATGGGTGTTTTGAACACCGATTTTTATTATGTCAGTCGGAAGACTTTTTTTACAAAACTGGTCATTAGTTTTAAAGATGATTTTCTGAGTAGAGATATCAAACTAATGCATTCAGTCTTAGGTTATCGTTTTCACATACAAGGTTACATTTTGGTCAAATTCAACCCGATATTATCGTTTTAAAACTGCAAAACTACCCCTGATGTTGTTATTTAGGCAAGATAGCAATGTTGTTGCAAACATGAAAGCGATGTGGTGGAAACTGTAAAAGATTAAGGAGTTTTACGAAATGTTTTGTGGAAGGTGTGTTGTTTTAAGATTGTATTAACTATCTTAAAATGTACTAATTTAAGAAACGTTTAAGTTTTAAAAGTGTTATCACTTTGACATTTCTGGACTGGGAGTTTGTACCTTGAGAGATTATGCCGTTTTTTAATTCACAGGTCTTTCTTTGGCCAATTTTTCATAGCGCACAGCACATGTGCACACGTACTGGCTTAACTTTATACTGATGTGCGTAATTAATGCCATTGAGATTTTGATACCTCGGGTGAAAATCAATGGGTGAATTCCCAACCAACGAGCTTAAGGTGCTAAATTCGACTGAGTAGAGTAGTAAGTTTACCTCATTGGCAACATGGCTCTTCTTGTACTTAGTAGTAAAGGGGTCAGTCTCGTTTTCGTAAAAAAAATATCGACATGCGCATTTGCAACGATTTCCACTTAACCCAAACCTCATTTCACGGGCTGGTCGTGGCAAGGACGTGCTAAGGCTTAAGCAGTCAGACTGGTGTGAGTTCTGCAGAGTAAGATAGTTTTTGACCGTGAATAGGAAAAGATAGGTACTGTAATAAAAAATAATGTTTTAGTTAGCACAAGTCCTCTGAAAATGCCTGAAATTGTATTTCAAAATACGCCTGTATAAGTACCCTTTGTTAAAGTTGCTTGATTCATTGAGTAAGAAATTATTTACATAGTCCATCAATGGAAATCAAGTACACCGTGAATCTGTGGCGAGTTGCACTTTTTTATGTAAATACAGCAATAGGTAGCTAAATCCAGGCCTAAGTTGTCTTTATTTTTTAATTACTCCTGAATTTCAACCGTAATTCTTTTTAGTGATGGATGTGTACCTATCCAAATCTGAAATTTCATTATTATTGCTTCTTAATGGTGTTACAGCATGTGACGACGAACAAAACTGCATTCTTTTATTTATACAATTCAATTTTCGAATCCTGTTAAAGGAATACGCTGCACTTTTGAAATCCCTGCCTAATTTCCGTAACAGTTCATGCTTTTTGATATACTGCTGTTTAACCTAACTTCCGAGTCATAAGATTAATGAGCGACATTATGGGTTCGTGCGTTTGGTCTGATCCACAGCTAACTGCCATTTATGATAAGAGCATAGACCCTGCAAAGAAATGCTGTAAAGCCTGGTTACACAGAAATTGGGACCATAGATCAGACTTCTTCGACGGATCATCTCAAATACTGGTGATATAAAGCCTTTCAGTTGCCTTGAGGAAAAAAGCCCTTAGACGATAAATGTTTTAATGTTAATCCATTGTAATCATTGTTAATGTTAAAAATCAACACAGATATGTCAAAAATTGACTTTACTCAGAATTCGGGACTAGGGACAGTAACCGTTCATATGTAAAAATGGTTTCGATGACATATGTATATATAGTTAATTCTTATAACATTAAGTTCTCTTTTGAGATACTTATGCTTATGAAAATCCGGAATACGTTGCATCTCTGTAAAAAACCTATTAGTTTTAAACTCTTTTTAAAACCTATTCTTGAGTGTTTCGTTTTTAATGTCGTGATTTATTATCTGTAAAAATCAAGTAAGCGATAAAAATAAATATTCTAAATGGATCAACCACTTTAACAGTATGTAGAGCTATTTATATTATCATTGGCACTTGCCAGTTCCTTGAATCTCATATGAAAAACACAGTTTTTTGGCACTCCTTACGTCTTTGATAAATCCTGCGATCTAAAAGTTCTACAGGAAATTGTGTTGAAGACGAACAGTCGGGGGTTGGTAGACAAAAAATAGCCTTCTCAAATCCCAGATGAAAAATCTGGCAAAACATTTTACGCACACAACTTTGACTGTGATTTTTCTCTTATAACTTTCTCTCGTTCAGTTATCCTAAGCTAGATCAACACCATCGTCACATGCACAAAGGAACTCTGACACTTCTCACTGACTGATTCACGGTTTGTAAGTGCCGAGAAAATCAAATCAACACTCACTCGCACACACACACACACCCCAAGAAGGAATGCACCAGGTTCGTCAGATTATAAAAGCATTATGAGTCTATGCAGTGTTTTGATAGCCCAGGGTCAGCACTTAATTGGCTTAAAATGCATTCATGACCTTAACTAGGTCGTGGTTTTCTGCCTTTTGTGCACCGGAAAAAGTTTTAGTATGCAGACTCGAGAGTAGGAAGCCTGAACTAAGCAGCATCCCTGTTTTCAAAATCAATTATAACTTTTGTTTTAAAGCAAATCGATGAGCCATCGCACAAATATTGAATCCCAGTTGGTTTTATTGTTCTGATAGCAAACACGGTAAACTGCCTTCGAAAAATTTGCGCCTTTTTCAAAATGGCTTTTTTAAAAGACAACAAAACATACCTCTAAGGTACTTGGTGAAAGCATCTTGTAAGTTAACACTGAAATACTGTATTTTTGCAGGCTCAGCTTTAATGATGTCTGTTTGTTCTTCATTCAAATGCCATACAACTGTTTTGCAAAAGCCATTTTGTATCCAAACATGCAAAAATATGCTGTGTACAATGTGCCACGTGAGGTAGTCAAAAACGAATACGACTAGCCCATGATACTACTTTAACCCATAAATTTTGTCTTAATTCGTAACAGTAGACGGCAAATTTGGCATCTTTAATGAGCAGCAAACGGCAATATTTTTGCCTTCCTTCCATGTGAATGAAATTTTGTTTCAATTGAAGTCTGCAAAACGCTTTTACATTTGACGTCTACCCGCGGATGCAAATGCTACTACAGAAAATATGCACTTAAAACCACGTGTGCTACTTCTTCAGATTACTGAAACTGAAATTTTGTGGTTTTTAAAGATAACTGTTTGTCAAACGTTGTAAAATGCGGTCTGTAAATGAATGCGACTTCTCACAGTGATTCTTTAATATTTCTACTTTTACCAACTGACTTCTAGTACTGCATGATATAAATCACTTAGAAGTGACAAAGCACCTTTTATGAATATGCTTTAGGTTTTTATTAGCAGCATTGGTAGACTTTGAATTTCAAGACTATTCTAGAGAAATTACAGAATTTCAAGATTTTTAAAATACTGTAAAAATGTGCAATTCCATTCGATAACAAGTCCATAATGATACCCCTAATTACTATGTTCGGACTTCACATCTGCTCACCAACAGTGTTCAGGTTGCGTACAAAACTATAACAAGTTCCATTCGTTAACGGTGATCTGTTAGCTTTCACATTCGAAATTTGTCATGTGTTTTGGACACTCGGTAAATTGTTTATAATGTTTACAATTGTTCTTCTTGTCCATTTTAATCAGCAGTGAGGACTCCTTTTAGTGTGGCCTGATTTACATTGTGACAGAGATAAGAATTAACCGTCTTCAGAAGCACATTTAGATAACAAAAAAACAATAACAGCAATTACATACTTGGTCTTAGTAGACTGTAAATGCATGCATATAAATATGTGTAAAATTCCTGCTTCCTCAAAATTATTGTAATTACCAACGTTTCCAGTTAAATTAATGTGACATGTTAAATAGTGGTGTTAGCTCTCCAGAAGCGAAAGTTAATGCAAAGATATGAAGATTTACATTTCATTGTAAGTTGGGTGTTGCGTTTTTTCGAATACAAAATATGCAGGTGACAAATGGCGTATTACGGTGCTATGCTGGTGAGGTTTACTTTGGTTCCAATTTACGTTATCAGTTGAATATTCAAACAGAGTTCTGCTGTTTCTGAATGAAAAAATCCATTTTCGTTGACAGAATAAAATAAGATTTTTTTGCTGCGAAATTTGCAGCTTCTGGCCAGATAGAACCTTTTATTTAGGTGAACCAGTTAAAGTGACGTTGGTTGATATAAAGGAGAGTGCAGGATTCAGATAAAAATTACCCTTAAAATGACCGATATTGACCAAAACACACTGTTGTTAATTGCCGGTAATATCACCAAATCAAACATTCTGGTCAGCATAACATATGCCCAAGACAGAACTCATGCGAATTGGCTCTAAAAATAGTAAAAAAAGAGACCAAAAATCTTAAAGTAAATTTAAATGAATTTGAGTCGGTTTAATGGCGAAATTATTTAAAATATAGCCGAAACAGCAGGTAATTTGTTTGAAATGCATACATTATTTTGCATTAAAAATAGTCTATTTCGCTCTTCCTGTTCATATTTAAAGTGAACGAAAACAATTGTTTTTTTTTTAAATTACAATAGCATGTTCCAGTAAACCAACATGAACTGAACCAGGAAATTTATTGAATGAAATAGACTAGGCAATTTAATCCTCCAAGTTTTTAGTGCAGCAAAGAAATTCATGTTAAGACGTTCAATTTAGGTTATTCTGAAGACACGTTTGATTCTATTTTCACCCCATTATTTCTTGTATGATGAGTGTTGGCTTGGCACGCCGCTTTGATAGCAACAAGATTTGAAAGCAATTTGTAGTGTTTCTCATTGCCAGAAGTCAGTTTGACATTTGCTGTTTTACGTAATCAAAATCACAGTCTTTCCATTCGTTAATCTTAATGAACGTTCAAATAAATGAGCAGGTCCTTACCTGCTTTATATTTCTCTTTTAAACACACGGCGGTAAAACCTGGACTGTTGCATCAGGAGTCTGGGCCCCTGGTATTAATTTTTACTATATCTTCATTAAAAACATATGGATCTCTAGTCCGTCTGAGGTTACACTCATATCACAAACATTCACTAAATTTACCTTATTAACACTGACGTTCCCAATTTCGTTAGGCAGATTTTGCACAAGCCACTTTCTTCAGTTCCTTTTTAATACTGCTGGATTAATTGACACTAAAAGGAGGTTTTTTTAAAAAAAAACTTTAAAACATGACACAGCATCTTCGCAGCAAAGTAATTCAAAATTCCTGGTTCCTCAGTTAACAGGTTCTTCCATGTCCCTTATGCAAGTAAACGTTGTACATGAATGTCAGTGTTGTAATAAATTAATTATAGAAGTGTACGGAGTTTGTCGTGATACATTTTTGTCATGGGAGAGGACAATAATGACTGGTCATAATTATTAATCGGTAACTAATTTATTATTTTATTTGTGTAGTTTCTGTGGGGTGTATTTTGTTTGTAAAATTGTTGCCGTAATACTTACTGAACGGTTTAGCAACACTGTATGTGTTATGCTTGGCTTACGGTATGGCAATGACGCAAGTTCAACAAAGGTGCCTCTTCAAGTGTTTCCTACAAGAAACACACATTATAAACGCATTGTCTTCTCCAGACGTTTCTACCATCGTGCTATTTACCCTAAACAAGCCTTGCACTTGAACACCAGAATAACAAAACTACTTCCGGCTTACAAAAAAGATACACAAAATTGACGTGGCACCAGCTCATTTTATAGATCTAAATCGGATAACTCTTTCGTCATATGACGTATTTCCCACAATCGAGTTGTGTTAATTTCAAACGCACTTCCAATAGGGCTTTACTTGTAATCAATACTCGGAGAAGGAGTTACATTAAAAATAAGTGAAACACACAATAATTAAAAATTGCACGAATTAAAGTAAATCACAAACGGTTACCTACGTGTTCAGCTTTAAAGTTATAGATTAAGTTAAAAAAGGACTTTCACAAGTAGGCATATTCTGCTATGAATTGTAGATGGTTAAATTGGATGAAATGATATATAATCATGTATTGATATTTCTCGCAAAGGTCGCAACGAGCTGATTGCCCGGTACATCCAGCAACGAACAGGAAAAGTCCGAACACGAAAGCAGGTCTCCAGCCACATACAGGTGCTGGCCCGTCGCAAGTCAAAGGAACTGCAGGCCAAAATTCGCGACCCCGACGTCAAGAAGGAGGCGATCAGTCAGCTCGCCAAGCTTTCCTCGGCTCAGATTGTCTCCCGAGATGTTGCCAAGGGGTTACAAACCGAAAGCGAGATCAAGTTCCATCAACAGCCCCATCATCAGCATCAGCGGCGCTCGGAGCTGTCTCTCCCATCCCCCTCTTCCTCCACCTCATCCTCCGCTAACCAACTACACAACTTCCACGGACATCCACCAGCCCACCATCAAGTGCCCTACAGACAGTCTAATTCCGCCCGAAAGTCACCCATTTCTGAGGGGGCCACTCAAAGAAAAATTATGCGGATAGCAGGTTTGTGATTCACCTTCAAGATGGCTTGAAACGTTTAGTCTTACCCAAAGTTAGCTCTTTACAATTGTCATACAAAAATCGTTTTACCTTCTAAGAATAAGTGTCATTTGTATCATTGGCTGATGTTTAGGCAGGTGAGTGGTTTCATTTAAAGTAATTTTTACTTTTAAGTATTATACCTGGGCAGTGTGAATGCCGCCTCTGAACTAAGTGTCTCTACGATCTGTGCACTAATTTCAGGACATTCGAAATTTCTGCGTTCAACTTGAGGATTGATGTACAACGAATTTCGTAGTGTGCTTCCGTCCAATACATTTGTCCTACTGACACGCCAAATGCATTATATTTTGGGAAAAGACAGATCCAAATTGCCATTTTTATAAACTTCAGTACCAAATCCTGTTGTGTAATGAGCCTAAGCAGATGTTAAGTTGAAAAAAAGTGGTGCTTTTGAAGTCATGTGCCTATCTAAGTCACCGCACATTCACTTTTCATCGAGCATAGAGTTGGACGTTCTAACCTATTAGCAAAACCATGTTTTTGGCGTGAAGGATCAAAAAATATGCGAGATTGTTGCCAATGGAGCCCTGACTGTTGGGTTAAAAGTGATTAGCAGCAGTAGGAAGTAAACACCAAGCTGCTTTCATGTCTTCTTTCCGTATGCACATCGAAAATCTCCTCGTGACCTTGTGATCCAGCAACTTTTACAGGAATGGCAGCTCAGCTGTCGTGACAAGTCAGAAAATATCTGAAATAAAACTTCTTTTCAATCCCACGCGGTTGAGTTGAAGTGAGACAAATATTTGCAGAAGAAAACCACAAGTTTACAAGGTCCTTGAATTTATCGCTAAAAACGAAAAAAATCGCAGCGAAGCTCTACGCATCAAGATGTCCATCGCAAATTTGCGCAAGGTTTATATAAACCTTTTCGAACAAAACCTAATATGGTAATAGTATTCGGGTTTCAAAATAAGCTTTGTTTTATCCTATTTGAAATAAATTCATTTACAGAGAAGGAAAATGCATTCAGGTTTGGTCATTCCTAATTATTGGCATTGTGTGAGGAAATTTCAGTACATTTATTCAGGCTTAAATTATGACTGCCTAAGAGAATTTGCTGCTTTTTTCTAACTCGATGGACAATTGGATTAGAAAAATCTATCCTTAACGAAGCCCGCAAAAGAGTGACGTTGAATGGAATGTTCTTTGTTTTACTAAAACTCATTTACTTTTGCATGGGCGAATTGGATCCACGCCATTATAGGCGTCTGTTCATTTACGAACTACGCAATTTTTTGTACCTAAAATTGGTATACAAGAAGTCAGAAAATAGTTTATTTTCCTTAACACTCAAGGTTGGTGCATAACACGCTTCAGTGGCATTTTAGGTATAAGGAGTGATTATACTACAGGCATAGATAAATAAAATTGTAATTCACGGGTTGAAGGGCGCCCTGGTGTAATTTTGTTTGCACCTTGCACGCGGCACCCACAACCTTTGCGTTAAGTGATTTTCCTGCCATTGATTTGCGGCACTTTATGGTCTTTTATAAGAACACTACTTCGTCAGGCAGCAGGCGCTGTGCTTAGTCTTGGAGCCATCTCGTTCACCTTTGTGTCAATCACTACAGCAGTTATGTCTTTTGTGTCCGCTTTACGATACACTAAATAAGAATGGCCTTTTAGGTTTTATGGCCTACTTTAGAGGATGGGATACTTTTGAATTTTATAGTGCATCGGGGCTTATAAAGGCGGAAATCGGATTTAAAAACGCACTAATTTCCAACGCTTTCAACTTCATTTCTGGAGGTGCACTTAAGGAACATGTTAAAGCTTAACAGAAAAAAGTCTCATTAACTTTGTAGACATACTGATTTTCCACCATTTTTGTAACTGCTGGCTCACAATTTTGTTTATAGTATATAAGGTACGTTGTGCGATTTTTTGTTAAAACTCGCACGTAATAGGTCACATTAATGGGGCTATCAGTGTGTAAAAGTTTAATCGCTTAAACTTCAAGAATGCCTCCAATAGAACTGCATTGCAATGGTCGGCTTTCACGCTGCTAATCATCTTATAAACACTCAAAAATAGACAAATGCATAATGATTTAGAGAAATGATCTGAAATTACCTTGTCTTGTGTAGGCAAAATGCAAGTATACCTGATATTCGTTAATATTATGCCGCTTCTATCCTCTCTATCAACTGGGTTAATGTTAAACGCATTTATTAAGAAAAAATAGTGTGGCTTTCGGTATGAATTTACATTCAAAATTCCACAAATTCCTACATACTATGTACAGTGTGGCATAAACTCCCAACTTCTCATTTAGATTTACCCAAATTCGCCAGTTAGTAACAGCGATTTAGAAAAAATCGAAACACAATCTTAAGCATAAACGTGTGGTTAAGTTTAAAGGTAGGTGGACTAACGACATGTGGCTTTATTTTTGTATGTGACTAAAAATAACGAAGGGCAGTTAGTGACCTGTGGTGGTTTCTCCTGAATTAAGAAGTGCATTCTCCTGTGGTGGTCCTCAGATAGGCATTTCATGTGCATTTAACTACGATGAAGGATGTGAAGGCCGTCAACCAACTGTAAACTCCACTGACATTGGTAGGCAGCAAGACGCGGCTTGCACATTAACCGAAAGATGAAAATTGCACATCAGCTAATTGGTAGATCATTGATGTAAACTCAATGGCCTGCAGCTATGCTTGTAGGAGGATACCGTGATTATCAATTAAAATATAAATGTATCCACAAGCACATGTTATCAATCAGAATATCAGCAGAAGTTCTGTCTCCTTAATTTTTACATTTAAACCAATTCGTGCACTTTAAAATCTTAGTAACTCCTGACGTCATGTTTAATTAATGTTCTTTTATTCCCAATCAATTTAATGCTAAGCTACTCGCAAAATAAATCAATTATTTGTAAAAAGGGAATCTAATTTTCGTCGTAACATGACATAAAATCGGCTTGTGTTGATTTGGTTCTATACAGTGTGTCAACTAAGCCAAGGTGATTTCGCTGTGAAACGTTGGTATTTTGAATCTATATTCCAGCTACTTCGCCAATTCAATCATTAATTTCATCGTTATAATTTGAAAGCATTCGAAGTTTATGGTTTCTTTTACTAGATATTACTTATTGTTCAGATATTTTATAGTTAATTTCTCAATTATGAATTCTACAGGTAACTCAGAGAGCTGACTTTGATCAAGAAACGGATACTTTAGCGACAGTCATTCAATGTAAAAGGACGCGACTACCATTTGGTGCATGTACGCATCTCATCAGCTTACTGAGATAAAAAATATGTTTAAGAGCATAAATGACTTATTATTCAGTAGTCTTAATCATCAAGCATACTTAACGTCTTATTATGTTTAGGATTTACGTAATACTCCGCCTAATTCGTTGCTTCGACTGTTTCATTTTGTTTCCTGTTGCACAACTTGGGATGACGTCACTCTTGCTGTGCTTTTAAACTGAAAGTGTTGCATTCAGTAACTCGAAGTGGACTTCTGCACAATAAACTGCGGCAAATCTTGTGCACACTCATAGCTTTGTATGATGTTTTACTCTCAAATTGTGACATTTTGGTTAATGGAGGGCTTTTAAGCTGTGATCTAGACTATTGTTTTCCTTATCGATGCTGCAACAAAATGATACGATATTGCTGTGCTGAGAAGAACAGTTTTCCCTTTTGGTTTAATGTGTTGTATTTAAACTTGTTCAAACACAATTTCACAAAGTACTCAGATAAATCATCATGTCGTAAACACCTCTTTCAGCTGCGCCTTGAGTCACTACGCACCAGGCTCTTTCACACTCTTCAAGTCTTCTCTGGACTGGATCCAGTTATGCTATACCTTGTCTTACTGACGTGTGGTGGCTTGTCACATTGTTTTTTGTTTTTCTTAAAGAAATTTAAAACGAGAATATGACAGAGATGGGCCCCATCATTTATTAGTCTTTCTATAGTGATAGAATAGGCAAGACACAATCACCATAAACACAACATTTCAATGATGAAGAACCACTGCTAGGCGCTGATCGTGAACGAGGTTCTGTAAAATCACCACATGCACCTTGTCTAACGCAGTAGTTTTCCACAATGCCACCTGTTCGGGAACATTTTTTATCACATGCACCACTTTTAACCAAAGTGCCCATTTCCCATGACTCAGTCTGAATAACTGCAATGGAAAACATGGGGTTTAAAGTACTAAGAAATAGATGGAGTTGGTTGTGACCAACCACGTTTGAATGACCAACGAAATTTGATACTCAACAGATGAAATAAAGTGCATGAAAAAACCACCGTATGTAACACCAACAAAACCGAATCTTGGGAATTTAACCTTATTCTACTCCCCTTTTGACACTCTGTCAGCACCAACCGGAAGTCACTGTGTGCTTGATTGCTTGACTACATAATAGTCATAGTCTGCCATCCGAAGAGGAGCCATGTTTGCACTTTTCTGTTCACAAGAAGTGACTCCACGTCTAGCTGACTGTCCATTTTCATAACTCCACAAATGCACTCTTAACCTAATGCTTTTGGTAAGGCAAGAGTTGGCACAGCATTTCCGTTAAAGGATCAAACGTTTCCTGTGGAAGTGGTAAGAAATTGGTCTAGCAATCTACCTGTTTGTTAGTTACTATCAGTACTGGAAGTGAATATTAAATAACATTTGGTGGTGATTCGTGGGCAACACTAAAATGCCTTTCATCATCGCGTTAGATTCCCCTCAATTAGGAAACCTTGCATAAACAAACAAAGGCATTAAACTACTCAGTCACCTTCACCCGATAAAATGTGAAATCGTGTGGAACGCGAAACTCGCTAGTAGACCAGTGTTCTGCTCTTGATGGCTTCGTGTGTCGGTGTCACTGAGGTGCGCGTAATGAAGTGTGTTTACGAATTATCTGCAGTCATAAAGTACTTTGCCACAGCGCCATTCATTTTCATGAAAGACCCACACCTCAGGAATG